TGCTATAGGTGGTTAAGGACTATCGCAGCCAGCTTTGAATGCAAGAGTATTGGGCTACATCAAATGTGAGGATACTTAAGGAGCTCTAAAGGAACAATCTTCAAGAATATTAGATGAAATATCTAGCAACAATGAAGTGTAGATTTACCTTTCTCTTCAATTTGTTGTTAGGACTGTTAGATTCACCATCTTGGAGCACTTCATGAGCGCAGATACGCTCCATGGAATACCTTCCCGATTTCCCATTCTCCTGAACATGTAGCCGCGGAGACTTGGCTGAGTGATCCATCCCTTGGCTGTTGAATTCATCAGCACACACTCCATTCGACGGCTCTGTGAAACAAGCCAGAAGTTATGTCATAAGAAATGGATACAGTGAATCATTTTGAAGCTAGTTAAGCAGAAATCTGAGTTAGTAGAGAACCAACCTTTATGGAGCAAGACTAGGTTCTTGGACCTCTCCAGCTCATATCTTCGCTTCCATTCAGCAGCCTCAGCTTGGGCCAATGCCTTTCCTTCCGCAGATCCCCTTAGAGCCTTTGCAACAGCTGGAAAAACCTTAAAAGTAAGTCCCTAAGGACAAAGAACAATACAAAGCATGAAGCTTTTTGTTTCCAAAGCTTACTTCTCAAAGCCTCTGAAAACTCAATCAAATGGTCATCTGTTGCCTGCATAGGAGTCTGCTGAATAAGAAGCTCCTGAACAGCCTTCTCTGATTGAGCAAGTGAAGACAGCTCGCTGAAACCATTTACTGGGTTTGAGCATGTACTGTTCGCATCTCCATTTCCAATGGATTCCTGCCAAAAAGCTCAATAATTTAAACAAATGTTCTGATTCAAAAACACAAACTTTGAAAACATAACCAGCAACCAAAAGTACCGATTCCTAAAAAGACAGCTCTAAGAGAAATTTCACACATTTTTAATTCCGAATTCAATTTCAATAAATTTCCGGCGAACACTGCACGATAATAAATCCCCAGAGACTCGAAAAATCCCAAATTGAAGAGGAATATAAACAGCGAAGAGATTTAAGAAACACGCAATATAGCCAATTCATGAAATTACAAGGAAAGCAGAAGAAATCAGAGTGAAACGAAGAAGGAGGGATTGAAGTACAGTGTAATTGAGCTTGTAGGTCGACATTGAATTCTATGATTCGAAGACGGGACGGTGAGAGAGAGAGAGATGAAAGTGCGTCACACGACGAAGAAGCTGATGGATATCATCTGAAGACGGCAGATTCATATATTTATAAGGAGAGAAGAGTCGTAAGCATCCAACTTTTTCTGTGAAACAAACAGTAATTTGCTTTGAAGTTAACGAGCGGATCACATCTTTGACTCTGTATATAAAACTATAAATCAGACAAACGAGAAAGGCAGAGAGAAGAAATAGAGACAGGAGAGATAGTAAAATGAGATTATGAAAAGGAATCTCCGATTATCTTTTTGCTTTTTACATTTTTCATACAACATTAATATTTACTATACAACAGTAATAATCCTCTCCACGATAGTCTCATAAACTTTCACTAGGGTTGGACCCGCGCCCTGCACGGGTGATATTTTTTATTTTTAGATATCTTTTATATAAGTATCATTCTAGAAAAATAAGGTGTTAGAAAATAAAAAATTATGTCAGTTTACATTAGAAATTTTTTTGAGTGATGTATATTTTTTTAGCCTCGATTGGAACATGACGAAATATTAAGTGACACAGTTGAATCCACATATATATATATTTAATAAGTTTGAAATAGTTTTATATGGCATATATATTTAATATTTTTGATCAATTTTAAATAACTAAAATAGTTTAACTTATATATTAAGTTATTAGATTTTATTATGATTTATTTATTTAGTTCAATTAAAGAACAAAATTAAATCAAATTAAAAAAAATTAAAGTTTGGAAACCTAATAAATCAGTTTTTTTACTATGGTTGATCATTATTTGGATTTTTTTTATAATAGGTTTTTGAACTATCATCCCAAAATATAATCGATATGAGACTTTTAACAATTTTAGAGATTTTCTTCATTTTAAAATTTTCAAATCATAGCATATGCAGAAAAAACTAATTTTGTTTTATGAAATATTTTGACCCAAAATATAATCAATATGAGACTTTTATTTTAGAGATTTTCTTCATTTTAAAATTTTCAAATCATAGCATATGCAAAAAAACTAATTTTGTTTTATGATTTTGATGTAATGATATAATTTAGTTAAAAATTAAAGTTAAAAAATGATAAGATAATAAATTAATTTTGAAACAATTAATATAATACAATTGAATAAACTTTCCATATTTTACTGATTGATTGATTAATAAATAATTTTAAATTTATTTATAATTTTCGTCACTACAGATAAGGAAATAGAAAAAAATAATTTTAATTAATAATTATTTTTCTGATTAAATTAATAATAAATATTTCAGCACTTCCATAATAAGAGATGTTATTTTTAGAATATTTTGAGAGTGTGGCAAATTGCGACGCCTCAGCATAACATACTTGAAATTAAGTTTGAAAACAAAGAGGATTTTTATAAATGTCTTCTCTTTTAATATATAAGGGATACTTTCTCATGCTTTGTTTTTTACTAGTTTTGTTCATAAAGTTACTTCTTAAACATGATTCACGATCATTAACGATAAGATTGACATAATCATTTAATTGATACAGATTCATTTAATGTATGGTCTGCTTAATTAGGAGACAAGATGTAAATTGTAGACGATAAGAAATGAGGTTAATACATTCGGAATTCAGATTATAAAAAAAAATGGTATACATCTCTAAAATCTTCGGAGATACGTTCACGTGTCGTATCTAAACTGTTAACGAGAAAATTTATTTTACACATTAGTATTTGTTTCCTAGTAATAAAGATTTCGCAAGTGCACTCTTCTATACCTTAATCTTACATTTTATTTAAGAAAAATACATAAACAAAATTCAAATGTGATGTTATAGTACTTCGTCGAAAAAACTATATACTATATCTTATTGGCTTATTGCTCGTTTTATAGAGAGAAAAATAAAACTATTGTTGCTCGTACTACGTTTTCTCACTACAGCAAAGTTTCCATGATCGTTCGATTAATCAATAATGTTTGGTAATTACATTGGAAAAGCCATCGGCATATTTAAATTTCAAATATTGTATTTGTATGATTATCTTTCGGAATACTTGATCAACAAAATGATCAACTAATCATTACATGATCGAATACAATATACTGACCGAATTTGGATAATGTTTTTAAATTGTTACTATATATCAACACCTTGGCGTAATATGCAATACTAGACACGTTCACATGTTTGAACCACATCTATTAATAAATATGTCAAGATCTTTAATATCTCAACAAGCCATATTATACGTTTATACTAATGACATCACATCACACAAACCAAAAGTTTCAAAAATCATTTCTTACTTGTGTAGTTTCAAATGTCCTTGTAACCAAATCATGATGGTGAAAATCGTTTCTCATTTAGAGAATTTGTTACCGACTCGTTTATTCCATTTTCAATCATTTATAAAAAACTATCCTCATCTGATGACCAGTTGATTAGTGATTAGTACTAAATTACTACAAGTAGTAATTACTTGAGCAATTTCAGATGTAAGTGGGCCCTCCATCAACGCGTACGTGGCTGTTTTGGAGGACTTCGATTTTTTCTGGTCCTTGACACTCACCGACTCACGCGTTGTGCTGTTCGTGGGGTTTTGGTTCCACTACATCTTACTGCACGCTTCTAGTGCGTCAAGATCACGACACGTGGTTGTCTCTACACCATAACTCTGAATCTCTGATAAACGCTTTAGATTTGATTTTTCCAGCAAAAATGCCGTTTTTGGACTTGGACGGCAATTTCTGTTTCATGGAAATATTCAACCAAGTTGACTTTCTATTCCCCTTTCTTTTTTTTGTCGTATATTCTCTTTTTAGTCCGCAACAAATATGTTCTTTTTCCTAACGACTAAAGGTCTTCTCCTTTATATATGTGAATTGTTTAGTCTCCTATGGATATTGCGACACTTTAATTTAAAAGATAGTTTACACTTTATTGATTACAATAATCATTTTCAATTGCATGTGAATTACTTTTCGTACTTTTGTGACATAGTCAAATTCTACTTACTATCGACTTTAATTTGATCACATAAAGAAAAACTATAGATGTCCGTAAATTCGGAAAATAAATGGGAAGAAGTCAGCAAAAGCTACTTTTTTGAAGAACATTTTACCATTTTTGTCTTGTCTCGAAAACAAAAGGTCTTAAGACTTTTGAGTCTCTTGACCAAATAATTTGGTGGTAGGTCATCTCTCCGACTCGTAGTTTTATTATGTGTAATCACCATAAGTTTTCACATTTGTGTTTCCTTAACGGAATTATTTATTCTTTCAAGTTCCATTTGGAAAACTAATGAATCTACAAACTGAATAATGGCATGCATATCCATTAGAACTTTAGACATGCATATATTAACATTGGATCATCTTAGTTAAACATATGCTTCATAAATTATGTTTAAGGAAAAAAAGATATTTAATTGGTCGTTTTATCTCTGCATGATCTCAATTCAACATGGACATATTTTACAGTCCTTTAACTTTCGTTGAAGATTCATCTCAGTTTTTAATGCATTTTATAAGAACGATCCAACCATGCATATATATAGAACTATTTGATTACTAAATATATGTGGCCCGGGTCAAGCCGACTGTCGATGACAGAAAGCTACACTTACCTCTAACAAACAAACAAAAAAGAAAGAGAAGGCTACATTTACATTGACTCGGTTATAATAGAGGACGTAATAGTTTTCTTCTTATTCCACAAAGATTAGTAAATGAATATGTAAGATTCCTTCTAAATCGTTGTTGTATATGAATATGATTTTCATTTGGTCATTTAAAAATATAACTATTCTTTCTTCAGTCCAGACACAATTATTCTTTGAAAAAAGTTTTATAGTGCCCCCTACCCATTTAAACCGGATATTTTGGTGTAGTAAGATTTTCATTTACTATGAGGAAATTTTTTATTCTCCAACAGTGACAACGAAGCTGATTGAGCAACTAAATGAGATCATAATGAAAGTTGCACAACAGTAGTACACAGTGAAACTATTACATCATGTCTTTCTAGTAGTGGGCTGGAGAGTTAAGGCCTTCTTGAGAAGAAAGTGAACGGAGAGGCTGATGTCTCCTTGAAGACATTGAAGACAGTGACAGAGACAGAGAAGGCATTCTCTTGAAAGAAGGTCTCCTGTCTAGGTTCTTCATCGTTCTTTTCGCCTGAATCGCCTTCAAAGCCGGTCCTGCTCTCTCCCTCAGCTTTAAGACAACGAAGAAGAGAAGCCTGTAACACACAAGGATTCCTGCAACCGCAGCTAAGTCCCACCATTTCGAATGTGTCACCTGTACTCTGAATACCTTGTTGATCACTTCTTCTCCTGTCATTTTTGGCTCACCCGGGAATAGAGGCTCAAACTCCAATCCGAGAAAGTCATTCTTGTATCCTCCCTGCAAGAACACAAATGTTACTTAAAGTTTAACAACATCAAGAATCAAGATCCAGTCTTTATGTTCTTGAATTCACAAGAAAAGGTCACTTAAGTTGCTTTCTTGACTTACCTGGATAGCCCAAGATCCGTAGCTTATGTATGAAACTGGATAACGCCAAAAGATTTTGGGAAGATCAGGAAGAAGACGGAAGAATCCAGATGTCATCATGATGATTCCCTTTCCAAAACAGAATATTCAAGATCTTATATACTTAATGGTAATTTTTTAGGAGAAACAAAAAGGAAACAGAGGTTGCTCTGTTCTTACAATGAGGCCAGCACCAGTGATAAGACCCATCAAGAAGTTTGGAACAAGTGAAGCCACAACCATCATGAGACTCTCTATCACAGAGACTGAGAAGAAGAGGTTGAGACAGAAGAAAGCGTAATGCGAGAACCCTGGACGAAACTTGACCAAGTTGTAAGTAATTGTTCCAGTGATAACCGAAATCGAAACCAAGAACGGGAAAGAAGAGATGTAGTTCGACAGGATATAAACCGCAACGCCGTAGTAACCACTCATCCTCTCCTTATAGAACACCTGAAACAAGACATGTTCACATTTTTCATCGACCGAGCAAATCAAGATTTTGTGAGAGATTTAATAGTTTACCTTCATTTCTTCAAGAAAAGAAGGGAAGCCTCCAATGGACATGAAAGTCATGAAACCGGTGATGAATCCGCCACAAGAGACTCGGGCTAAGATTGATGTGTAGCTATAACCAACATCGTAGAAGATGGTTCCTACGCTTATGGAAACAACAATGTAGCTTACTATTCTTGTCCAGTAGTAACCGATGTCACGACACATGTTTATGAATGATCTCGCTGTTAGTGTCCTAAGTTGTTTCCCCCAGCTTGCTTCACTTCCTCTTCTCATTTCCATCTCGTGCCCTTCCTGAGAAACAAACAAACAATTCGATATGGTATCCAAACAAGCTCATGATTTAACTTGAATGTGGAGTTGGTTTTAACTTACGATGTTAGATAGTTCTCGAATCCTAGATTTTGCGGATTTCGCATACTTTGATCTCCGGTAGTTCTCAACAAGCCTTGCTCTGATCACAGGTGTTGCTAGGTTCATCAGTGGATCTGATGTAGGTGGTGTTTCCTGTAGTAGCAAGTCACACAAACGATTAGAGTATGAACATAAAATAAGTATTGACAAAGATTGAAGTCTTTATTTTTTTCTTTCAAAATTCTGTTACAATACAACGAGACAAGACATTGATGGTTACTCTCACACCTGAATTCTCTGAGAGCCTTTGAGTGTAGCTGTGACTGTATCAAAGTCCGAGTTTATGCATCGCAGGAAATGATCAGAAGGATTCCTCTTCTTAGGGCAGGGAAAGCCCGATTCGGCAAAGAACTTCATTAAAAAGAAAACAAAACAGAGTGTTTCTCCATTAGCACAACAAGAGACAAAAGAACTTTAGGGTTTCTTGTGATGCAAGCAAACCTAATGTTTAGGGCTTACCTCAACAGCAGACTTTGCTTCACCAAAGTAGACAGACTCACCACTTGATAGCAAGAAGAGATCATCGAACAGCGCGAAAACCTCGCTGCTAGGCTGATGGATAGATGAAATAACTGTTCTGCCATCGCGAGCGATGTTCCTAAGTGTCTGAATCACGAAAAACGCAGAAGCACTGTCCAAGCCGGTGGTGGGTTCGTCGAGGAAGAGGATCTGAGGGCGAGTGAGGATCTCCAAAGCGATGCTGACACGTTTCCTCTCGCCGCCACTGACTCCTCTCGCGTGCCAGTTTCCGATGGCTCTGTCTGCACAATCTTGAAGACCAAGCTCCATGATTGTGCCTTCAACAATGTCACTCACTTCCTCATTCGACATATCACTTGGAAGCCTCAAGTGAGCTGAGTATGTTATTGTCTCCCTCACTGTTAGTGTCCCCAGCAATATGTCCTCTTGTGTTACATATGCCTATAAATTATTCACATTATCCATATAACTTCAAGATCAGTGTTTTAACAACAACAAAAAAACTTCAAGATCAATGTTAAAAACTAACAATACCTTACTCTTGTATTAAATCAAATGAAACTATGAAAGTAAATCTAAAATCTGTTGATCATGTTCTATATAAGTTGGGTTCTTGATATTTTGAAGGCATTATTTTTTTCTATGAATGGGCTTATTTCTTTACAAAACTGAAATAAAGATTATTGACCTTTGCACGGTTTGCACCACTATCTAGTTAGCTTGGATTGGATCTGTCTTAAACTCTGTTGCCATAATTATTGAAATTTGATAACGTTTCTCAACCAAAAGGACAGTCCTAATGAAAGTAACAAGTTATAGCTGCATGTTTTGGGATGGTACTAAAGTAAAATATGAATGAGGAAACTTACTACGAGACCATAGTCTAGTCTGGCTTTCTTGCCGTTCAGGAGAAGATTACCGGTCATGATAACGTTTCTTGCGAGCCTACCTGTGTATAATTAGGGGATTTTAAAAAGTTTTTACTCTACAGTATTTACCTTTGACAAAAAGGAAACAGTATTTAATTACTTTCTTTTATTGTATTGGGATGTGGAAATGGAGATAAATATCACCGTTAAAGAGATGAGAAATCAGAAAGGGCAGCACCAGTAATAAATTTTGCATTTATGAGTAAACTACTGCAGTATTCTGTCGACTTTTCCTTGCATGCAACCGAAGCTTCAAACGTATAAAGATACTATAAAAAAATTCGATTTTTCGAGAATTGAAAAACTTAAGGTGATAACGACTAGACTAAAGGGCTTATAAGAAAATCTAGCAGATTATGATACCTCTGATAAACCAAAATACAACTGACCAAAATATTAGTACAATTTTGTAGTCCATTTTGACATTTTACAGACGTTAACTAAAGTCAATATCATAAACAAGAATTTGTCAATCAATTAGTGATATATAACAAAAAAAGCAAATAATGTCATGTGTGCAATGGCATCATGCATGCAATTGAATAGTATCAAGAACGAACCTGCGAGAGAGTCAAGAAGAGTTGACTTTCCGGATCCAGAAGGACCCATTATAGCCATGATCCGACCCGGTTCTGCATACCCGTTTAGCCTTTGGAGTAACCTTCGAGTCGGACCCTCACTGAAGTTGGGTATAACCACCGTCAAGTCTTCCCACGCCAAATACGCTCCACGGCTCATCTCCTCCTTTGACGGAAGCTGCCTCCGGCCACTACTCGAGCCCTCTACTTCCATAGTTTTTAATCTTCTCTAACTATCTAGTTTTAATTTTGTTTGTTTCCTCTAGTTTCTTTCTTGTTGCTCGTAGAATGAATCATAAGAAGGAAATAGAGAAAACAAAAGGATAAAAAGACTACATATATAAGCTTTGAAATCACCAAACAACTATATTCATTTAATGGGTCGTCTTTAATATGCCAACATCTATAACTACGCATGTATATCTACATACATTAACCCTTTTTCAAAAAACAAAATGTAAATCTACTACATACGTATAGTATAGTACTATATCTTTCACTAGTAAATGCGTTGAAGGAGATAGATCAAGATACTGCTCCTATGGTCGATCATGTTATTAATTACAGCCTATGGTTTACGTATACGATATGTTGTTGTTGTTGTGTCACCGGTTTAAATCATGTAGAGTGCAACTTATTAAGAGAGAAAAGACGAGAGGGTCTAACTGTTATAGACTTACAATCGTATAGATAAAGATGCCTAATGGTTATAGTCTAGCTATAGATCCTTTAGTCGTAGAGAGGGTCTAATTGTACAAAAACAAAGACTCTACATTCTCAAATGTAATTCACTTCTTAATTATTTCCTATTTTTGTAGGATTCACCTGCTAAGAATTCGGATCTGGAACACAGAAAAGTTATGCACTTCTCCTTTTAGGAAGCGCACATAGTACGAACGTATAACATAATAAATTTGCCTCCTCACATAAATTTTTAGTTGATCGAAATTCTATTACATTCAAATGTGAAACAGAACAAAACCACTGAAAATAGAAAGGGGTTAAAAAACGGAAAGTCACGGGTGATAATGAAAATGGTAAATAATTAAATGCGAGGTACAGTAGAGGCACCCATCTGCTTATCTAACGTTACATTCATTTTTGTTTTTATTATATGCTTCTCCATCTATTATAGTTTAATTTTGTTATGGCCTAACTTTGTTTAAGTTATCTCTTCAACCAAAGACAAGATCCCATATCACAAAATCAAACTTGTAATAAAATGTTGTAAGTATTACAAATCCTTAGTTGGGTTGCCACAGTCCTCTAGACCCAAACTAGTATGAATTGAATTTAAACAAAGAGGGTAATAATATAGAAGAAGAAAAACAAATAAAAAGAGATTGAATAACGTATATATAGTCACAGTCACATAAACAACGACATCTACCCATTTTACAAAAGTGGGAACCTATTTCATTGGTTGGAATGATGGTATTGTCAACACCTATTTAGCTATATGATACATACATCCACCCATTTTACAATACAATATATCATTGCTACATGGGAGTATAATGTTTTTGTAAAGTAAATATAGTTGGGCCGGAGACATGGTTTTCTTGTTTAGAAATGTAATGGGCTTTTTGGGCCTTTGATTGACATGCAAGTTTCTATCTTAAAGCTGGAGAAAATTGGTTTGAAGAATAGCTTTCAAACTAGGGAGCAAACTTGCCGAAAAGAACAAAGTATGATTCAAAATTGTGAACATGATTTGTTTCTTCGTCTTTTACGGCATTCATGATGTGACACCTACTCATACACCTAGGATACTAAAACTTATAGCCATATTTAATTAAAAAAATGTTAGATACTGGTCCTTGATAGTCATCATTGTTCTATCTATTTCCGGAAAAATGTAATACAGTGTTTAAATCTTATTTAGTCAAATAATGTTTTTTGTTGTTTTGGTAAAATGAAAACTACAGAAAAAATAAATACTGTTGAAAAGGATAATTATCCCCTATGAATATTTAAGTATTTACTTCTACACTAAGTTTATCTTATCGACTTCAAAGTTACCGACTTGTCATAGTTTAATATTTTAGTCCCTCTATAAATAGAGAGTTCGATGCTTGTTATTAAGTTAAGTTTAATACAAAAACAGAAAGTTCAATAGAAAGAAATTCACTCTATAATTTCTCCTTCTTCCTCCACGTACAACCTATCTCTCTCCATCTCCTTCTCACCTACATATGTAACTCTCTCTCTCTATCACACCTCCTTCTTCTTCTTCTTTATTATTAAACTTAATCATCCACTATATCAAATATAGTGGTACAGTTTAGTTTATTTATAACACGTTATCAGCACGAACTGCTCTTATATTCTGTCATTTTTTTTATATGTATGCCGGGATGCTAGGTTGTACCTACTCCGAGCAAATGATCATATGGTAGACTATGTCACCTTAGATCATATAAGAGTTGATGGTAAAAACCTCCTCTTGGAGTTGAGACTTTGCCTCCTCCTGAATATTTACTTTTCTGTAATTTACTTTTTCGCTATTTACTTTTCTGCCATTTAAATTTCTGCTATTTACTTTCTTGCAATTTAAATTCAGCACCTTATTTTTACTAAATTTATGCTGTTATAATGCTCAAATTTTTATTACGCAAATTTGAATTTAATTGAATTTAATTAATGAACTGGTATATGATCTATGCAGATATCATGTCAAATTTGGCTAAGCTCGAAATTTCCGCCCTTGATATTTCTGGAAACAATTATATGACATGGGCAATAGGTGCAAAAATGCATCTAAAAGGAAATGGGCTTCTTGATGCCATTGACAAGTCGAAAGAAGACATCCGATGAGAAAAAGGCGAAAGCCATGATCTTTCTACTTCATCACATCCACGATGGTTTAAAAGATGAATACATCACTAAAGAAGATCCTGCGGATCTTTGGCAATCTTTGAAAGAAAGATTTGACCATCAAAAATATATAGATTTGCCCAAAGCCAAATACCAGTGGCTACACCTCCGATTTCAGGACTATAAAAGTGTTGTTGAATATAATTCTGCTATGTTCAGAATAATTTCCAAATGGTGCTATGTGGAGAAAATGTGAGCGATTATGATATGATTGAAAAAACGCTCTCCACATTTCACCCTGGAAATATAGTCCTGCAACAACAATATCGGGCAAATGGCTATACTCGTTATTCAAAATTAATGGAAGTTCTCCTTGTTGCAGAACAGAATAACGAGCTTGTGATGATGAACCATCAGACTCGTCCCACTGGAGCTGCTCCATTCCCAGAAGCGAATGTAGCATCGTCCAGCCAAAATAATGGACGAGGACGTGGACGTGGATACGGTCGAAACCGAGGTCGTGGCCGTGGCCGTGGACGTGGTCGGGGACAAGGAAAAGAGTACCGTCCCGACGAGTCCAACAATGAAAGGAATATAAAAGATCTCGAGCAAATGATTACGGCCGAGATTCTAAAAAGCAAAAAGAAAGTGTTTGCTACAGATGCGGCATGAAAAATCACTGGGAGCGTACTTGTCGTACACCCAGACACTTAGCCGATCTATACCGGGAATCACAAAAAGCAAAGGAGAAAGAAAGTGAGACTAACTTCATCTCCAATGAACCCGGTCCTTCCTTTCACGGCCTAAACGATGATACTCATCTTGATGTTTCAGATTTTCTGGTTGACTCCGAAGAGATCAACGGAAAAACAGACGACTAAAAGGACATGATATACATAGTTATCTTCCTGAATAAGATAACCTAAAAGTTTGATCTTTTTGTTGTAAAATAGTTTTTAATGTGGTATTTTGTATCTTGTGATATAAGCTTTGTATTGTTTAATACTTATTAATGCATCTTTGTTAAATCCAGAAATGACGAAATTTGAGACTCGTGATGGAGATATGTGTCTTGCAGACAGTGCTACAACGCACACAATACTCAAAGATAAAAGATATTTCTCCGGTCTCAAAATTAAAGATTCCGTTGAAAGCGTGAATACCATTTCTGGTGGTGCAAAAATAATATTGGGCTCTGGAAGAGCCAATTTTTCAATGCCAAGGGGAACAAAGTTTGAAATAAATGATGCATTATATTCCCCGAAGTCTTACAGAAACTTATTAAGTTTCAAGATATCCGTAAAAATGGATATCACATAGAGACTATAAATAAGAATGGCATTGAAATCCTTTGCATCAAATCGGAGGGACAAATATTGGAAGAATTGAAAATGATGTCCTCCGGATTATATTGCACAAATATTACTCTGACTGAATCATATGTTACAGTAAACCCGAAGTTTACTAGTACATTCAAAATCTGGCATGAAAGGCTAGGGCATCCAGGTTCAGTCATGATGAGAAAAATTGTGCAAAACTCAAATGGCCATCCGTTGAAATACGGGAAAATTTTAGAAACGGGCGAGTTCATATGTAATGCATGTTCTCAAGGAAAACTCATAACTCGGCCATCACCAGCGAAAGTTGGGAATGAATCCCTGTGTTCTTAGAGAGAATACACGGTGATATATGTGGGCCTATTCACCCACCATGCGGACCGTTTCAATACTTTATGGTATTAATTGACGCATCAAGTAGATGGTCACATGTGTGTCTTTTGACAACACGAAATACGGCTTTCGCAAGATTCATTGCCCAAATAATCAGGTTGAGAGCACAATTCCCTGATTATACTATTAAGAAAGTGAGATTAGATAACGCTGGTGAATTCACTTCACAGCCTTTAATGACTATTGCATGTCATTGGGAATCGATGTTGAGCATCCGGTTCCACATGTCCATACACAAAATGGCATGGCTGAGTCTTTGATTAAACGGTTGCAACTGATTGCAAGACCGTTAATAATGAGAACAAAACTCCCAATTTCTATATGGGGTCATGCTATTTTGCATGCTGCAGCGTTGCTCCAAATACGACCAAGTGCTTATAATATATATTCCCCATTGCAATTGGCATCTGGTCAGGAGCCAAACGTATCCCATCTCCGTGTTTTTGGTTGTGCGGTTTATGTTCCGATAGCACCGCCACAAAGAACAAAAATGGGGCCACAAAGGAGATTGGGAATATACGTTGGGTATACGTCACCGAGTATTATTCGGTATCTTGAACCTCAAACTGGTGATATGTTTACGGCACGTTTTGCCGATTGCCATTTTAATGAAGATGAATTTCCAGCGTTAGGGGGAGGAATTAAAGAGGTTCCAAAAGACCTCACATGGTGTACACCGAATTTGTTACACTTTGATCCCCCGACAAAACAACGCGAATTGGAAGTTCAGAAAATTATACATTTACAAAATATGGCAAATCAATTACCAGATTCGTTCACAGATACAAAAAGAGTGACGAAATCATATATACCCGCTGCAAACGTTCCATCAAAGATAGATGTTCTAAGGAACAAAATGATGGAAGCATAGCAAATGCACCCAAAGTCCAATTAAAGAGGGGGAGGCCGATGGGCTCTAAAGATAAAAATCCCCGAAAGAAAAAGAATTTGGGAGAGAAGGTTCAAGAAGAACCTAGTAAAGAAATATGTCCTGAAGACATAAACAAACTGGTTTTTGAAGAACCAGAGAAAGAGATTCGTCCAGAAGACGAACATGATACAGAAAAATTTGAGATTTCCATCAACTTCGCCCAAAATGGAAAAGTATGGACAAGAAATGAAATAGAAGATGATGATGGAATATTCTCTTTTTCTGTATACAAAGAATTGATCATGAAAGTGATGATCCAGATCCAGAAACAATATCAGAGTGTCTGAAAAGACCTGATTGGGAGAAATGGAAAATGGCCATCCAAGCTGAATTACTCTCCCTCAATAAAAGAAGTGTTTTTGGACCTATTGTCACAACTCCTGAGAATACAAAACCCGTCGGGCACAAATGGGTTTTTGTAAGAAAAAGAAATGAGAAAAATGAGGTCACAAGATATAAAGCCCGACTTGTGGCTCAAGGTTTTTCTCAAAGACCGGGAATTGATTATGAAGAAACATATTCCCCAGTAATGGATGCCATAACATTCAGATTTTTGATGAGCTTAGCAGCGTCTCAAAATCTTGAAATGTATCTCATGGATGTTGTGACAGCATATCTATATGGATCTCTTGAAAATGAGATATATATGAAAATCCCAGAAGGATTAAAAATGCCTGAGGATTTGAAATCAAAGGCTAAGGAGATCTGTTCGGTCAGATTACAGCGATCACTTTATGGACTAAAACAGTCCGGACGCATGTGGTATAATCGCTTAAGTGAATATTTGTTGAGTAAAGATTACGTCAACAATGCGATATGCCCTTGCGTATTCATTAAGAAATCCTCGTCAGGATTTGTGATTATTGCTGTATATGTAGATGACCTGAACATGATTGGAACTCAAAAGGAAATTGATGATGCAAGAACTCATATGAAAGAAGAGTTTGAAATGAAAGATCTTGGAAAGACAAAGTTTTGTCTTGGGCTCCAGATAGAGCATTTCCAAGATGGTATATTTGTGCATCAGTCAAATTACACTAAAAGAGTGTTAAAACGCTTTTATATGGACAAAGCAACTCCTTTGAGTACTCCAATGGTTAATAGATCTCTTGATGTTGAAAAGGATCCATTCCGTCCTTGTGAGGATAACGAGGAAGTGTTAGGTCCTGAAGTACCTTACATGAGCGCTATTGGTGGACTAATGTATCTTGCAAATTGCACTAGACCAGATATAGCATTCGCTACTAATCTGCTTGCAAGATATAGTTCGTCCCCTACGCGCAGACATTGGAATGGAATAAAACATATTTTTCGTTATCTTCAAGGATCAATTGATTTAGGATTATTTTATCCTAAAAACTCAAAATGTGTTTTAGTTGGTTTTGCTGATGCAGGATATCTATCAGATCCACACAAAGCTAGATCACAAACAGGTTATGTTTTCACAATTGGTGGAACCGCGGTCTCCTGGCGTTCGCAAAAGCAAACTTTGGTTGCAACGTCTTCAAATTATGCAGAAACTATTGCTCTCCATGAAGCATGTAGAGAGTGTGTGTGGCTCCGGTCTATGACTCATCACATACAAGAATCAAGTGGAATAGTCACAGAGAAAGAGCCAACAAAAATATTTGAAGACAATTCTGCATGTGTCACACAACTCAAAGAAGGTTATATCAAGAGTGACAGAACGAAGCATATTCCTCCAAGATTTTTCTCATACACTCAAGAACTCCAGAAAAATCAAGAAGTGGACATCGAGTATATTCGTTCAAGTGACAATGCAGCCGATCTTTTTACAAAGGCGCTTCCTACTACAGTGTTCAAGAAGCATGTTCACAGTATCGGAATGCGTCGTCTACAAAACTTGTGAAAAGAAAAGATTCTATCTTTTCCAGGGGGAGATTATGCTCGGTACTCTTTTTCCTAAGTCATAGTTTTTATCCCATTGGGTTTTTCTATGACATAGGTTTTTTAACGAGACCGTACATAATACAGCGGATAATTAAGGGGGAGTGTTAGAAAGGATAATTATCCTATGAATATTTAATATTTACTTCTAACTAAGTTTTCTTCACTTAATTACCGACTTGTCATAGTTTAATATTTTTCCCTATAAATAGAGAGTCATTGTATTAAGTTAAGTTAATACAAAACAGAAAGTTCAATAGAAAGAAATTCACTCTATAATTTCTCCTTCTTCCTCCACGTACAACCTATCTCTCTCCATCTCCTTCTCACCTACATAGTAACTCTCTCTCTCTATCACACCTCCTTCTTCTTCTTTATTACTTAAACTTAATCATCCACTATATCAAATATAGTGGTACAGTTTTAGTTTATTTATAACAAATACTTCGTTTTCAATGAAGAAGCATTTACTTTTTGTTTCATTATTGTCTGATGCATGGTTCTGGCGAATAATACGAACTCTGGTCAATTTGACTATGACCATTGATAACCTCACGTGTCCCCGTAAAGCTAATCTTCGCCATCAACACTTACTTCTGCTACAGTTTTAACGGTAAGGATCTGAAGAGAGTATTTAAAGCCAGGTGCACTCGTTTGTACTGGAATATTTCCAAACTGGGGAAAAAAATTAATGTCACGCGCGGGTTTTAGTGAGTCAGTCAGGGGAAAGTAAGCGCCCTTATCGAAGTAGCCCGCCCGGTTCCAGATTTTTGCGGTAAAAAGAGTAAAAAGATTTGGAGATAAAATTTTATTTTTGTTTTCTGTTAAATTTGTTTCGGTATAGCTTCAAGAAATCTGTAAATGGTGATGATAAAAATATATTCTGTTGAACCAGAAAACCGTATGATTAAATCTAGTATAATTTTTTTATTTTTTTATTTATTTTCATATAAACTACTGTTGACAAAAAAAATTGACAACATATAAACACAAAAACAAAACATAATGATCTCAAATAAAATCTCAGAAATAATTTTCTAGTTTTAGAAATCCATGAACCTAGATGCGATGCCTAAAATGAAGATGAACTAGACAATAATTTTTGAAAAGCTATGTTTTGATGAATATAAATCGCTAACATATTAATATAACAGATAAGTCATAATGCGAAATTAATACGTTAAGATGTTACCAAAACATATCATATTTTGATTGGACTTTTCGAACTCGTATATGTAATAGTTTTACAACATTTAAATTTCAGTTATTTATAAATAACAAACCAATAACACCAAAATTTAGTAATTTTTTTAAAACATATGTTTAAAGTTTAGGCAGAATTTAACACTCACAAAACTTTACTAAAGTTATGTATATGAATTTCGAGAATAAGAGCACGATTTTCTATTTAAAATTATTTTTTATGAACAAAAATTACTTAAAATCGCTATGATACTTGAATAACACGTAATTTTACTAGATTTTGTTTTTTAAATAACGTAAAAGTTTGACTAAATTATACAAAACTACAAATCAATAATCTCATAACATATAAACTTAATTAATTGGAATTAACGAAAACAGTAATTCTTACTTTTAGTTTTAGTAAGATTTAGTAAAGTTTATGAATGAAAGACAACAAACTGTTCATAGAATTAAATTCTACTAGAGTTGACTACAACAGCAAATCCAACTATACTAAAATCATGCATCCAATCTCTATCAAGAGAAAAGAGAATCATGCATCCAATGGGGAATAAGTGAATAACCCCCGGTTTGTTGAAAAAATAAATAATAAAATATTGTTAAAACAAAATCTCAGTAACAAAATCTTAACCAAAGTAAAGGAAACTGAATCGATTTTTAACTATAATCCTGCTCTGAGTCTCGTCGAAAACTTGAAAAAAAACCCTAAACCCGATAACGAAAACAGAACCCGAAAAGAAAGAATACATTACGACGAAAGTGGTTTTTTTTCTTATCATTATTAATTTTTCCTTTTTGATAAATGCTCATTACAAGACAAAATCATACTCAAATCTCCAAAAAAACATACATTTAACGCTAAAATAAAAAAACCAAGTAGTACCCACTACTCTCTCTCTCTCTCTCTCACAAATAAAGAGCCTCTTCTCCTTCTCCTCAATCTTCCCTCTCTCACAGAAAATAAAAAACAGAAATTTAATCTGGCCATGGATCCGGCAGATCCTACTTCCATTCTCTTTTCAAAGATCAGAACTTTAGAACCAGATTTCGCCTCCAAAATCATTGGCTACTTGCTGTTACAGGACTTGGGAAACAGAGATTTGAATCGTTTGGCTCATGGACCTGAGACTCTCCTACAGTCCGTCTGCCTCAAGGCTAAATCCGCTTTAGGTCTCTCCTCCAATGGATCTTCTTCTCCGTTGAACCCTATCTCCAGACCCATTAACATCCACCGTCACTCCCTGTCTCAGTCGTCTCCGAGAACGTCGGGAAATGGGTTCATGGAGTTCTCGAGGAACCCTCTGTCTCCTTCTGTGAACACTCCTGGCTCACTCGGAAGTAAGATTTCGAGTCCGTTTCAAGCAAGTTCGTCGCTTTTCGCTTCAGACGGTGGTGGTGGTGAAGCTAGTGGAGGAAACGGCGATTTACTCGATGAGCAGCAACTCGGCAACTACTTGTCGTTCCTTAACGAGTCGTCTGCGAAGAACAACGACGAATCCGCGGATCTGTTCGGGTTCTCGGCGGAGAATGACGACGCGCATTTGCACAAGAGGAGTTTCTCGGCAAGCGACGCTTGTTTCGGGTCGGAGGAACATGGATACGGCGGCGGTTATAATCGGTTCCCACACGGCGGCGGCGGTGGTTTGGGTGATGATTTCGATTCTCCTGGTGGTTTTGGCTCGCCGGATTACATTTCCAGACAGCAGGAGGAGATAGCGAGGATGAAAGTGGCTCACAGGCAGCGAATGGCCGCTGCTCAGTACTTGGCGGCTACTGGCTCTCCAATGTCGTATGATAAAGGCATCAATTTCCTCTTGCATTCGCGTAATGCTCTCAGGTAATCATGAAATGAAGCTCCTTTTTTTTTGCCTAAAGTTGCAAAATTTTGTGAACTCAATTGGTCAGTTACGAGTGAAGAAAAAGTTTCCATCTTTGCGCAATTTTATACAAGTCTGGTGATTCTTTTAGGTGCCTTAGATAGTTAGATGCCAATTATTGCTTATATTGTTGTTGTTGCTATTGAAGTCTCGTTCGTATGGTTTACTTTTTTGTTGTTCCTTTTACATGTCAATGATTTGCTTTCTTTCTTTCTTAGGCTCAGGTTTTGGTTTATTATGTTGTTTAACTCAGTCTAACGTTTCAAGTAAGGTGGAGTAATTTGGATCATACAAGTGTAAATTCAAAGGTTTGTTTTTGCAGGTCAGGAGCAGGACAATTTGGGGAAGAGGGTTATTGGTTTGGTAGTCCAGGACGGCATGAAAGGGAAGAGCTTTTGGGGATGGGAGATAAATCTAACTCTGCTTCTAAGCAGATCTACTTGACGTTTCCAGCTGATAGCTCCTTCACAGATGAAGATGTCTCCAACTACTTTGGGTAACTTTCATCAATACAATTTGTATCAAAGCTGTTATGCATTTGCAAACTTTGTGGTGTCTCTGTTGCTAAGACTAATCATGTTTGTTGTTTCTCTTGTAGCAATTTTGGACCGGTGCAAGATGTTAGGATTCCATACCAGCAGAAACGGATGTTTGGGTTTGTCACATTCGTCCACTCTGAAACTGTGAGAATCATATTGGCCAGAGGAAACCCTCATTTCATCTGCGACTCACGTGTGCTTGTGAAACCGTACAAGGAGAAAGGAAGAATCCTTGAAAAGTATGTTGAATGAAACCATAGCTCATGCCTTAGTCCTGTTTTTCTCTGTTGTGTTCCCTTTTCTTATGAGAATATTTTCATCAAACAATAGTAGGAGGCAGCAGCAACAATTCATGCAGCAAGTAGAGAGAGGGAACTTTTCTCCTGGCTCAAGTCCGTCTGGAATGGACGCCAGAGATCTCTTTGATTGTCACATCGGTCAGTTGAATCTATTTCCTCTGCTTGAGACATCATGTGGATATGGATGTGGTTATTTTGTTCTGAGACTAGTCTTGTTTTGTGTTGGTACCAGCACCGAGGATGTTCTCTAACACACAGGAGATGATGAGGAGAAAAGCTGAGCAAGCTGACTTGCAACAAGCTATTGAATTCCAAAGGAGGAGATTTCTCAATCTGCAGTTGCCTGACATGGATAGTGAGTCGTTTCACCAACACCAGCGTAGCCTTTCTATTGGATCCCCTGTTCATTTTCCCTCTCGTGTCAATCAAAGCATGCTCTTCCGATCAGATAACGCTGCTGAAGAAGGCATTGAAGGTCATTTGACTTCTATCTTCCCCATGTGGAAATTGGCTTTTCAATACCTTATATTCATCATTTTCCATCTCCTGTGTTTCATCTTGGCAGGTAATGGTGATTCAGGACATTTCCAGTCTGAAGCAACCCGAGCTTTTCTGAGTGATACTGATCATAACTATCTTAACAAAGGGTATGATAAATTCTCATTAATTTTAGGGATTTAAGTTTTTTCTTTTGTTTTCAGATTAAAATATGTTACACACATGCTTTTATTTTCATGTGTTAAGGCAAGAGACAAGTCTGGAGAACGCTCTGCCTGATAGCTTCTTTGCTTCTCCATCAAAGGCCCGTGAAAGCCAACAGCCCGAGTCTGAAAAAGAGAACTGTGCTACACTCTCTGTTACTGTGGAAGCCTCGACACTTCAATCAGCCTAGCTATTGGTATGTATGTAAAAAATTCTCTGTCAAGTCCATCACATGATCGCATAACAATCATCAACACCTTCGTGAATTCTCTCCCTCGAACTTTCCAGGGTCGATGGAGGCAAAAGGGAACAAGTGAATGCGTGAAAAGGTAGGTACTCTTAACTTCTAAGTCATACTGCAACTTGAAGCTCCGTTTCTGTTTTCAACTGTCGACATTGTTTTGATATCTTTGGTTGCAGAAAGTAGAGACTGATAAAAAGCAGGAAGTAGAAGAATTTTGTCTATATGTAGAAGCTAAAGACGGTTTTATAACAACATGGAACAGGAAGAAAGGGTAGAGAGAGAGATACCAGTTAGGATTTTTACATATTTGGGAAAAAAGGCGGTTTGTGGAAATGCCAATCTGCGATAGAATTACAACTAAGTACTAACCTCAGACAGAGCATTGATAGGGAGATCAATACAGTGACTGAAACCTTATGTTTTAAGCTTTTCGTCTGTTCATCTATGATTGTGTACTTTTTTACCGGGTCACAAGCCCTGGTTATGGACAAGGCTACTTCAGTTGTCAATATAGATGAATTTCTTTTAATTTGGTTTTGTTCGTCTTGGTTGCAAACAGAGAAGATCAAAAGCAAGAATGATGTTTCTCTGATACAACTCTATATTCCAATTCGCTAAGCTAATGTAATATCGAAAGTAAATGAATTCAAGCTATCTTTCGTTCATAAAATTACGACATCACAACAATCAAAGTTGACACTGAAATGGATCAAGAGACAAGACTTAATGCTCTCTGCATATATCAAAGATCAAAGTTGACGGAGAGAAGAAAGTGCTTGGCTTGTGTTTCTTGAGATTCGGTCATGTATTGGTTCCTGTCGATAAAACTACGGATCAGTACTCTTTAAAACCGATTAAAATCTCAAACTACAAACACACAAGACAAGAAAATACCTGAGTCGGAAGAATGTCAATTCTTGATCCAGTGATAGTTTCATACAAGAAAATGTACCTGCCATCATCACGGTCTCTTCTATCAGTAATTATAACCAAGACTAGTAGCGATAGCTAAAATAGGATCTAATCTCAGAGTCTAAAGAGGATCCAGGTATCAAAAACATGTTATAGAGCAAGCCTATATTAGACTTTACACATTAGAATACATACCTCCAAGCTAATTCAGTTACAAGTTCTGCTGGAGCAGCGGGCAGGACCTGACAAATATCGACATTGAGACACATACAATATTAACAGATGATCTCAGATAAAGCAGGGAAAAGATGCATTGTTAAGATGTAAGCATACCTCGTCCTCGTACGGATTGCAATTCTCTTTAAACCACAATCTAATGAACTCCTGTTTGATTTGATTTAAACAAAGAGTTAACAAAGTACTCCAACACAATGAAACCTGTCTTGAGCTGTATGGGTTGAGAGCTAAAACAGGAAAACTCACTCACCTTATCAACATTTTCAGGCTCAAGGCCTTTCTGAAAGCGCTCTTCATATGAACCCGCAAGCCAGTATCTGCTTGAGTCCGGCGTATGAATCTATACATTATGTGTACAAGTAGATCATTCTAATCAGCAAATTTGGCAGATGTGCAGATATGTGTTAAACTGTGCATTCAAAGAGAGATGACAGAGAAACAAGGAGATAATAAAACTAACCTCATCGATCAATAAGATCGAGCCGTCACTACTTTTTCCAAACTCATATTTTGTGTCCACCAGTATCAGTCCATGCTCCTTGGCCACACGCTGAAGAAGTCAAAATACAGTTAGAATATAAAAGACCTTCCAATAAAGCACAAGATTAAAAATCCTTGTTGTCTGCAATCATACGATTTTTAAAACCACTACAGTCTATGGCTTTCGACTGAAGAGTTGTAACTAACCTGCCCAAACTCAAACAAGCTCAAAGCTTTCATACTTGCTTCGTCAAATTCAGCTTGAGTCATGAATCCACCTTCAACTATCTGCAAGAACCATTCGTTTGATAAGAAGCAACACAGAACTAAACAACTTTGGGTAAATCACTTCTAGCTGTAACACTAATGTCTTAAAAATGTTCTTTATATATTTTGTGGTTTCTACTCTGTTTCTCTGTGACAGACTATCATACCTCATTTGGACTGATTGGCACATCATGATCCTCAGCCTTAGTTGTTGGAGTAAGTATATTAGCTGGAAGCTTCTGGTTTTTCACCAATCCTGAAAAGTTTCGTAATCAGTTATATCAATAATCTTCTGAGATAAACTTGAAGAAGAAGACAGCAAAAGAATCTGTACCATCCGAGAGCGCATTCCCACAATAGTTCCTAACACCTTTCTTGTATACCGTCCATAAAGATGTGTCAGTACTTCCAGTCACATATCCTCTTACTACAAACAACAAAACATGAAACCAAAAAAAACTGATTAGAACTAAAGCAAGAAGCATCTGACAAGGAAGTTTTGCATTTCAATCCAAAACATACTAACCCACAAACTCTATGGGGAAAACAGAGCATTTCTTTGCGATAACAACATTTCTGTCCGGAGATGAAACGATAGCATTTGGAGTTATGTGCTGTGTGTTATTGAACCACCACAAACTTGTCTCGTTAAGAACCTGAAAGTTTAGCAGCACATACTAATTATGTGTCTGCAACACTTTAATCTATCCAACATGAATATACAGCGTAAAGATGGAGACAAGCAAACCTGGCCTTTGAAGGGAATTGAAGCAAGGTTTCTGTCGAATGCACTCAACCGATCAGTTGTAACAAGAATCAGATAATCACCAGCATCATAAATATCTCTGACCTGCAAAATCAATTTTGCTACTGTGGTTAAGTTCCTCAAATATCACTTGTTTGGCTTTAGCATTGTTCTTTCTAAACAACAACGGAACACGGCTAACCTTGCCCTTGATTCTAGATTTCAGACCAGGAACAGTCTCTAGGAGATTGGTATCGGAGAGACAGTTAGAAAGAGAGTCTTTGATTGTGCCAAGAACCTCTCCTTTACGGTTACTCGTGACTAAATCATCCAGAGACACTTGTTGCGGTCGTTTCTCTTGCTGGTTTTGGGACTTGCCTTGGCAAGACATAACTAATGAGCACGGCTTGGGGTGTTTCTTGAACTCCGGTAGTGTTCTAAGGAACGAGACTGATGCAAAAGCTGAGTTTTTTGCAGACACAGTCCTCGTAACGGTGTGAGGTGTTCTCAAAGGATTTAGAGTTGACCTCACACACTGAGCCATTCCAGAAACAAGCCTTAACAACAGCTGCGCCATAAACAAACCAAAACCTTAAATTGTCATCCGAAATTGAAACCGATTTCAGTAAATAATTCTAAAAGCAACCTGATGTCCTAAAAACTGAGGATTTTAATCCAAAATAGATTCCAGAAGGGAAATGGAAGCAGAGATACTTGCGAAAAGCCACAACTAACACAAACCCATTAACTTGTGAGAATCGAATATGTGAGGAAAGGAATAAAGCTAAAACCTTTTCACCAAAATAAGCTAATTAATCCCTAGCCGGAGAAGAGAACGAAGAGCTCGACGGATTCAGTTCTGATGAAACACAGAGACAAAGAGAAGCCGGCGGCGAAAACAAATGAGAACACTGAGCCGGAATTTGCGTTTGCGTAACTTTTAAACCCTGTCACGGTCGCATAAATCTGAATGTTTTATTATTTTCTCACTCATCAAAATGTTAATTAATTAAGGAAAATAAACATTACAACCGGAGAACAAAAAAAAACTCTGCTTTTCCCCTCCCCTCCGCGTACACTCTCTCGGAGATCAAGATCTGTCACCTCTGCATCCTCCAAAATCTGTGTGTTAAACCTGAAACGAAAGGTTTAACCTTTGTGAAAACCCAGAAGGGAGATGCCAATTTAGAGATAGAGAAGCAGAGAGAGAGATATGGTGAGGCCAGCAGGGAAACAGAGTTGTGGGAGGGTGGTGTTAGTTTCATGCCTCGCGCTTTTAGCCGCCGGACTTATTGCAGACTTCCTTTGGGCTTCATCTCATCCCTTCTCCTCCGCCGGAATGTCTCTTCCCTCCTCCTTTACCACCGTGATTGGAAAACTCCCGCCTAATTCCGATGTAAATATGCTCAATTTGGTCTTGTTGATGTCTCTCATGCAATTAGATCTCATACAGAAAATACTGCTCTGTTTTTTTTTTTGTGGCTTTCCAGGAGAAAGATAGTAAGAAGAAGAAGGACAATGCTCGAGAAAGGAAACTTTCTGCAACGTTTCAAGATCTAGCTGCTCCTCAACTCCAATGGGAGAAGATGGCAGCTGCGCCTGTGCCTCGTCTAGACGGAGCCGCAATTCAGATTAGGAACTTCCTCTACGTCTTTGCTGGATACGGCAACATTAACCTCGTAAGCTTCTTTTGTCCTTTGACGTGTCTTCTGTGTCTTCTGGAGACCAATGCTGATTTTGCTTTCTCGTTCAGGTGCATTCGCATGTTGATATATACAACTTCGTAGATAACACATGGGGAGGAAGATTCGATATGCCTAGAGAGATGGCACATTCGCATTTGGGGATGGTTACAGACGGACGATATATTTACATTGTAACTGGTCAATATGGTCCTCAATGTAGAGGACCTACGGCTAAAACGTTTGTGCTTGACACTGATACAAATACGTGGAGTGACTTCACTCCTTTACCAGTTCCTAGGTAAATGCAGTTTTTAGAACATTTAGACATCAGTTTTGGTACTCAAGATTGGTCTTTTTCTGTGATGATGAGGTTTATACACATTCAGGTATGCTCCAGCTACTCAGCTATGGAGAGGGAGACTCCATGTGATGGGTGGAAGTAAAGAGAATCGACATACGCCGGGACTTGAGCACTGGAGTATTGCTGTGAAAGATGGGAAAGCATTGGAGAAAGAGTGGAGAAGTGAAGTTCCAATCCCTCGTGGAGGACCTCACAGGTGGGTGCTTATCAAGATTCTCTTGTGTATAGCTTGATAAATCTGAGGTGTTGACTGTTTCTTGTGAGTGTAGAGCATGCGTTGTAGTGGACGACCGGCTTTTCGTGATTGGTGGTCAAGAAGGTGATTTCATGGCGAAACCAGGATCTCCCATCTTCAAATGCTCACGCCGTATGGAGGTTTGGTATTCATGGCTCCTTTTTGCCATTGGTGTAATTACTCACTCTGTTGCTATTTTTGATGAACGTTGTGTTGTGTGTGTTGTTTCAGGTGGTGTTCAGTGATGTATACATGCTGGATGAGGAAATGAAGTGGAAAGTTATGCCGTCGATGCCAAAACCGGATTCCCATATTGAGTTTGCTTGGAAAGTGGTTAACAACTCCATTGTGATCGTTGGAGGCACCACAGAGAAGCATCCTGAAACCAAGAAGATGGTTCTCGTTGGTGAAATCTTCCAGTTTAACCTGAATACAATGGTAAAACAAACCTCCTTAACCTGTTAGTAAGTGTAAAGAGTAGTTTTGAGTTTTTTTTGGTTTTGTTTTCTCTGCAGAAATGGTATGTGATTGGGAAGTTGCCATACCGTGTGAAGACAACGCTGGTTGGGTATTGGGACGGGCAGATATACTTCACCTCGGGGCAACGAGACAAAGGTCCTGATGATCCTGCGCCGCGTAAGGTAGTTGCAGAGATGTGGAGAACCAAACTGATACTGAGTCCATGACCATCAGAGAGAGAGAAAGAGAGAGTGAGAAACAATCAGTCTCTCTTTAGTAATGCAAAAAGTCACAGCATTCTTTTTTCTTTAAGTTCATATTCTTTTACCCTTACTTGCTCATCCCACTACACAAAACAATTGATATATCTATGTTTCTATGTTGATGGGGGAATTTGTATATTGTAAACTAAAGTAATGTAGAGAAGTTCAGTTTTGCAATGTGTGCTTCCGTCTCACAGAACATTCTAAATTACAAACTTTAAGAGCAAAATCTGTTTCTTATCAAACGGAAAAGTCTTTTCTCCGGCGTAAGCTGTATTGCCTCTCCTTATAGCATCGCAGGCCCACAAGCCCACAAGCCCACAATAGAAGCATGTGAATCGGTGAGGGACATAGCATGTAAGCAGCAAGTCTCATCTCCCACGTTTTCAAAACCCTAATTCCTTTCCAAGTAAAAACAGTTGCTTGGAGAGCACGATGTATCTTCCGGAGGAGTTGCTAGTGGAGATACTCCCTTGGGTTCCGGCGGCATCTCTGGCAAGATTCCGATGTACAGCCAAAAGATGGAACGCACTGATAAAAAGTAAGAGATTTGCTGAGAAGCACTCTGCTTATGCACCAAGGCAGTCGTCTCTGGTTATCATGTTGATTGATTCTAGGGCTTTCTATACAGCGAGCTTCGACTTCCATGGAAATCACGACAATGTTGTAAAGGTAAGAGGCCAACTAAACCTCAAAGATCCCCTTTCCAAATCTTCGGAAGAAGTCTATATAAGTGACGATGTCTTTCACTGCGACGGCTTGTTGCTGTGCACCAGTACCACCAAGGGCAGTAGACGACAACTGGTTTGGAATCCGTGCTCAGGTGAAACCAGGTGGATGGTCGCACCCAAACCTACATATTCCTCAGTCAATTACTTTGCTCTTGGTAAATCCTCTTGCAACAAGTACAAAGTCTTGAGGGTGGGTCAATATGGAAATGGTCATTACCAGTGTGGAGTTGAGTATGAAATATATGACTTCACCTCTAATTCGTGGAGAAGTGTTGGTAACACTAACGACTGGTCCATTCCAGGGATATGGGGTCGTGGCGTGTCTGTGAATGGAAATACTTACTGGCTTGCTTTTAGTTATAGTGAAAAATCGCCAAACGCGAAAGAAATCATACTAAGTTTTGATTTTTCAACAGAGAGTTTTGGGATTGTGTCTCTTCCGTTTGATCTTTCTCATGATCGTGTTATGGCTTTATCAGTGACTAGAGAAGAGCAGAAACTTTGTCTTTTAGCTTCGCCTTTGTCAACTAAGGGATTCAAAATAGATTTATGGATGGCAACTAAGATTGAGAGTAGCGGAGCCACGTCATGGAGCAAGTTCCTGACAGTGGAACGAGACAAAAGCCACGAGTTTTTTACGTCTTGTAATGGCATGAGTTTCTTGGACGACCGGGAGAAAGGAGTTTTGGTGTGTCCCGGTAAACAAGGGAACTCTAAAAGCTTCTTACACATTGTGGGAGAGGACAAATACATACAAGTGGATCATCATGATGCAGGATCTAAGTGCTCGCTTCTCATCAGCTATGTTCCAACTTTGGTTCGAATCCAATAAGCTTCTCCGGGCTTGAACGCAAGGAAAGCACCAATGGTACGTGAATTGTTGCTACTTTATAATTGGTTTATTCATGTTGAGATAACTAAATGTTCACTTCTCGTTAGCTATGTTCCAACTTTAATTTAGTTCAAATTCAGCAAGCTTCTTTCGTGGCAAAGCGCAAGAAACAGCACCAATGGCGTGATTTTGTAACACTAGCTAGTTTATGTATCCAAGTTTTGCTACTTTATTATATGTTTCCCTCTGCGGTTATTGATGTGAGAGATCATTCTTCATTTCAGTTTTTAAACTTCTTAAACTCCCATATTCCGTATTGCTAAAGTCACGAGGTGTCCTCCCAACAAAGTCTCCAAATTGTATGTATTTAATTTGTCAATACACATAAGTCATAATTAAGATGTATGTGTCATCCACAGTTTTTAATCGAAATTAGAGTTTTAAGATTGGTTTTCAAAGATTGGAAGGGGTTGTAGTTTTAAAAATCTGAATCTTATATATAATTAGGGAGTTGCTCTCTCCATCTAGAGTGTCCACATCAGCACAAAACATTAAACTGTTTTTAAAATATTTATTAAATATATAACTTTTTATATTTCTTTACATTTATTTATATTTTAATTAATAAAAAGTATGTGATAATTTGATTTAAAAGTTATCAAAAAGTTGGAATGTAAAATAGGAATGGAGTAAAGAAATATTTAACTTCAAACATGTTATAATGTGTTTACAAGTTAAAAAGTTGAATATAAATTAATTAAGATAATAGAAAGCTAATGAAAAATTAGAGTTAGAGTTTGTTTTTCTAAACAAATAGAAATGGAGTTTTATATGTAAATTTAATTGTAGTGAAAAACAAGAATATGTTTACAAATTTTAACCTTCAGTCAAATGGTCAAATGCATATACATATTTATAAATTTTAACCTTCAATCAAATACATATACATGTTTACAGTCTAATAGATGTAAAAAAGTAAACAAATATAATATTTATAATATGATAAAATTTTAGAGATAGAAAAATCGAAATAAAGCAGGGTGTTAATATTCTAATAAATTAAAAAAAAAACAAATTATTCATATTTTTAGTGTTAGTGATTGAGTTAACTCAAAACATAACAAAAACATAAAAGTTAACACAAAACTATCATAATTCAAATCAACGAGTATAAATAAAATTAAACAGAAAAAGTATCGGAAACAACCCTACGCTTGCGCGGGGCTTCAAATCTAGTGAATGTCAATTGAGAAAGATAAGAAAAAGTGAAACTGAAGGCTTCTTTCCAGTGGAAGCAGTACAGATTGATTAGAGGTCCACAAGCCCAAAATCGAGCTAGCTGGACTTGGATGAAGCGCACAACGATAGAAGCATGTGACGTGCAGCACAAACAAACCGATTTATTCCTCTCCTTCATTTAGGTTACGATGACGAATTCCGAAAATTTCAATTGCAAATCGACTTTGGGCTTGTGGACAGACCTCTGGTCAAGCTACGAAATCTAGTTGTCTTTAAATAAGGTAGAAACTCTTGTATATAAATATATATATAAAGTCTTGCCTCTCTTCTTAGACCTAAGAAACAATACAAAGAACTATTCTCTATACCTATTGCTTTCTAACATGATTGAGGTGAGTTCAATTTTCTCTGTGTTTCTCTTCTTTCTATTCATTTATTTTTATTTTTTTAAGAAACTCAGAATTTAGAAAAAGGAAGAAGAAGAGAGACATAGGAAATCTCCCAGATGATTTGCTAGTGGAGATACTCTCTAGGGTTCCGGAAACATCTCTAGCACGATTCCAATTGGTATCCAAAGGATGGAAATCTCTCATCAATAAAGATGAGATTTTTGTGAAGAAGCAATCTGCTTATGCTTTAAGGCAGTCCTCTCTCATGTTGATTGATTCTAGGGTTTATGTAGCGAGCTTCGATCTCCATGGAACTGACGAGAACATTGTAAAGGTAACACGTCAATTTAGTCTCAAAGACTCTCTTTCCAATCCTTCAAAAGAAGTCGATATCATCGAGGTCTTTCACTGCGACGGCTTCTTGCTATGCATCACCAAGGACAATATGCTGGTGGTTTGGAATCCGTGCTCAGGTGAAACCAAGTGGATGATCAAACCCGAAGCTTCCTACAAGAATTACTGTTTCTATGCTCTCGGTAAATCTTCATGCAACAAGTACAAAATCTTGAGGGTGGATCAACATGGCATTGGTTTTTATCACCAAAGCCTAGTTGAGTTCGAAATATATGACTTCACCTCTAATTCGTGGAGAAGTGTTGGTAACACTAGAGACTGGGCCATTCAAGGGTTACATCGTCGTGGCATGTCTGTGAATGGAAACACATACTGGATAGCTTTTAATTTTAGTCATCAAGCCACGCCAATGAGGAGGAAATTCTTACTAAGCTTTGATTTTTCAACAGAAAGATTCGCAAGTGTGCCTCTTCCGTTTGATCCTTCTCATGAACGTGTTATGGCTTTGTCAGTGACTAGAGAAGAGCAGAAACTTTGTCTGTTAGCTTCTCGTGGCAAAGAAGGCTATGATGAATTCGATATAGATGTATGGATGGCAACTAAGATTGAGAGTACCGGAGCCATGTCATGGAGCAAGTTTATAACAGTGGAAGAAGCCGTATACCGACAGTTGTTTTATTTTTGTAATGGGATGAATTTCTTGGCCGACACGGAGAAGAAAGTGTTAGTGTGTCCCGGTACACACGGGAACTCAAAAAAGTTCTTACACATTGTGGGAGATGACAAGTGCATACAAGTGGATGGTCAAGAATATGAAGGATCGCTTCTCGTCAACTATGTTCCAACTTTGGTTCAAATCGAACAAGGTACTTTGGGGGTTGGCGCAAGGAAAGCACCAATCACTTGACTTGTTTTAATTTCACACACTATGGTTTATGCATTTTCTATCCAAATTTTGCTACTTAATAATTTTTTTCTCAATCGGTTCCAATTTGTTTTTCCCTCTCCGGCTATTTATATCTGAGATAATTAATTAAGGATCGCTTCTCGTCAGCTATGTTCCAACTTTGGTTCAAATCGAACAAGGTTGAATTTTACGTTTCAAAAGGATTAAATAATGTTGTCTATAGTGTCCTAGTGATAGGGCATTTGTATATTGTAACTGCGTGAAACAGAAGTTATGTAGAGAAGTTAAATTTCAACACAAATCTTTCATTTTGTTTTTACTTGAAGGCTTATGCCTCTACTTAGAGGCTAAGAACAAGCTCCACCATGAGAAGCTGTTCCTCAGACCTAAGACTTGATATTACTGTTGAAAACAGGATGTACGTGCTTGAGAAGAAACGACTCCTTCCCCGGAGAAACTAAGTACGTGACTTGCAAAGAAGTCAGTCTCTGATTCTCATGTTGATTGATCTTAGGGTTTATTTAGCGAGCGTTGACATCCAGGGGGGAATCCACGGCATACGTTTTGATGATACATATCTCCTCTCCTCTCCTCAAACGTATGAGATTCGAAATTTGTTGTAGCTTTTGTAGTATATAAGTGTCAAATTTGCAATTATAAACTTATTAAAACGTCACAAGCCCACGAGCCCAAAGCCAAGCTGAATCTTGGACGAAGTAAACCAAAATATATAATTATAAATCATGTGAATCGGTTAATTAGGTCTCATTTCCTATCTTCCTCGTTTACTAAACCCTAATTTCTTTGAAAGTCCAATTCAGTTTCGAATGAATAAGAAGAGAAACACAGTATATCTTCCAGAGGATTTGGTAGTAGAGATACTCTCTAGGGTTCCGGATGCTTCCCTCGCACGGTTCCGATCCATATCCAAGGGATGGAATGCTCTGATCAAAAAAGAAGAGAGACTTGCAAAGAAGTCTCAGATTCTCATGTTGATTGATTTTAGGGTTTATTCAGCGAGCGTTGGTCTCAATGGCAGCCAGGAAAACGTTGTAAAGGCAACAACAAGTCAATTCAGCCTCAAAGACACTCTTTCAAATCCTTCGAAAGAAGTCGCTATACGCAACGTCTTTCACTGCGACGGCTTATTGCTATGCACCACCAAGAACAAAAGGCTTGTGGTTTGGAACCCACGTTCAGGAGAAACCAGATGGATCAAACCTAGAAATTCCTACAAGGAACACGCTACCTATGCTCTAGGTAAATCCTCTTGCAACAAGTACACAATCTTGAGGATGTATGGTCGTTCTAACGTAGGCCCAGTGAAGTTCGAAACCTATGACTTTACCTCTAATTCGTGGAGGAGTATTGTTAAGAAATATATAAAATGGTGTATACCGCAGATGTGTAGTAGTGGCACGTCTGTGAGTGGAAATACATACTGGCTTGCTCATAGTCAGATTGGGAATGGTGAGAAAGTCTTACTAAGTTTTGACTTTTCAATCGAGAGATTTGGACTTGTGAATCTTCCTGGTAATGATCTTTCTTCTCGTGTTGATGGTTTATCTGTGACTAGAGAAGATCATCAACTTTGTCTGCTGATTACTCAGAGCGGAGAGGTATTCGATACAATAGATCTATGGAGGGCAACTAAGATTGAGACTAATTTTAATTTTTGTAAAACTAAGACTGAGACATCATGGAGCAAGTTCCTATCAGTGAAAACAGCCCATGTCTACCATTGGGTCCATCAACGTCGTTGGTGGTCGGCGAATTTCTTGGCCGACCGAGAGACTAATGTTTTACTGTACCGCGGTATGTATTTGTCCGCTAAAAACTCCATACACATTGTGGGAGAGGATAAGAACATACAAGTAGGTTATGATGATGCAGGATCTGATTGCTCACTTCTCTTCAGCTATGTTCCAACTTTGGTTCAAATCAAATAAGCTTGTTCGTGCATGCTTGGACGCGAGGAAGCCAACAATCACGTACGTGACTTGTTGTCATTTTCACACCTAGTTTATTTATGCATTATCTATCCAAGTCTTCATGATATTTGCTAGAGATTTTTTTTCAGTTTTTTTTTTTGTTTCCTTTGCCACTTCAATAGTGTTTATGCTTATGTGAGATAAATGATTTTCTTGTTTACTAAACGATCATTAGAGTCCAGTAAGTCTTTAACTCACCATATATATTCCGTTTTGCCAAAGTCCGCCTAACAAGTTCATTCCGTATAACATACATGAATATATAAATAAATATTTTTTTTCTACAGAAAGATTCATTTATAGGCAAGTTTTTGGATACAATACAATGAAAAAGTCAGTTTGACAAAATTCATTAGAATAGAAAAAACCAATCACGGACAAGCACTGATATCTTCTCTTGTCATTGAGCGACACGAGACTAAAAAGGTAAAAACGTTAAAATAAGCCTTTGGATATTTGTATCACGTACTTTTTACAAAAGTCATAATTTATTAGAAACTCCATATTTTAAGGTTGCAAATTTGCACTTGAAAGCGTCACAAGCGCAAAGCCAAGCTGAATCCCATAATATATAAACCACGTGAATCGGTTAATTAGGTTTTCTAAATCCTAATTTCTTTGAAACTCCAAGTTATTATTTTTTAAAAATAGACGCTTTCGAGACGAAGAAGATGAAGACAACGTATATTACGGAGGATTTGGTAGTGGAGATACTCTCTAGGTTCCGGATGCTTCTCTGGCAAGATTCCGATCCATATCCAAAGGATGGAACGCTCTGATAAAAAAAGAAGAGAGACTTGCAAAGAAGTCTCGGATTCTCATGTTGATTGATTTTAGGGTTTATTTAGCGAGCGTTGATCTCCCTGGCAGTCACGAAAACGTTGCAAAGGTAACAACAAGTCAATATAGCCTCAAAGACCCTTTTTTTAATCCTTCGAAAGAAGTCGATATACGCAACGTCTTTCACTGCGACGGCTTATTGCTATGCACCACCAAGGACAATAGACTTGTGGTTTGGAACCCACGTTCAGGTGAAAGAAGTTGGATCCAACCTAGAAATTCCTACGAGGAATCCGACATCTATGCTCTCGGTAAATCCTCGTGCAACAAGTACAAAATCTTGAGGATGTATGGTCGTATTTTCGCAATGAAGTTGGAAATCTATGACTTTACCTCTAAGAAGTGGAGGAGAATTGCTAACACTACAAGCTTGTGGATACCGACGTGGATTCGTGGCACGTCTGTGAGTGGAAATACATACTGGCTTGCTCTTCAGCGTGAAAATGAGAATTCAAGAATGAGAATGGAACATACCGGTATGGAACGTACCTTAGTAGGATTTGATTTTTCAGAAGAGAGATTCGGACGTGTGTCTCTTCCTGCTGGTAATTGTCTTTGTGTTCGTGGTTTATCGGTGACTAGAGAAGATCAACAACTTTGTCTGCTAACTACCCAGAGAAGTTTGGGAATCGATACAGTAGAGTTATGGAGGGCAACTAAGATTGAGAGTCTTGTTTCCCAAGAAAGGAGAAAGACAACCAAGATTGATGAGAGCACGTCATGGAGCAAGTTCCTATCGGTGAAAACAGACCAGACTTTTGACCTTCCTAAATTGTCGGCGAATTTCTTGGCCGACCGGGAGAATAAAGTTTTAGTGTCCCTCCATAAACCTTTCATGGCTAAAAGCTCCATACACATTGTGGGAGACGGTAAATGGATAAAAGTGGATCTCGATCATGCAAGATCTCATTGCCCATTTCTTGTCAATTATGTTCCAACTTTAGTTCAAATCCAATAAGCATCTCCGGGTTTGGACGCAAGGAAACCACCAGTCACGTACGTGACACTTTTTTTAATTATCACACCTAATTTACTTATGCATCATTATCTATCCAAGTCTTCATGATACTTGCTAGAAAAAATGTACGTTTCGCTACTTTATACAGTAATATGTTCCCTAAGAGGTTTCAGATTTTGTTTTCATATTTTTTCCTCTGCGACTTCAATAAAACTGTTTTCTTCTTTTTCATTGTATTTGAGATAAATTATTTTCTCATAAAACGATCATCAGAATTCCAGTTGAAGAATTTTACTGTTTAAACTCGCCATTTTTTTGTTTTGCAAAGTCATTAGATGTCTTCCTAAACAATCATTTCCGTATAACACAACATGAATATATAAATAAATGATTCTTCTACAGAAATATGACATTTGTAGCCAAGATTTTTGATGCAATACAATGAAAAAGTCAGGTGAACAAATTTTCGATATATTTCAGTAATGCCCAAATAAATTTATTTTAGAAACTCATATTTCAATCCATTTTTTTCTAGATTGCCGTGTTTACCTTCATTTTGTTACCTCTGACGTCAAAAGGAGGACAAAAAAACATAGATGAAACTACAAAACTTTAAGCTAAGTCAGAAAGAGAAAACGAGAATCCAAACAACATTTTTAACTGTCCTACTATTTTAAAAGACCCCTCAAGAGAAGATGTCGCTTGTCATTTCTGCAAATTCCAGCATCTTGGTCATTTCTGGAGATAGTTCAGCTTCACCTTCTCTATCACTTTCCACAGTGCAGATTTAGCTTCTTCTAACGTTTCAACACCATTCCCTTCCTCAAACGCTAGCCTTTGTATGTTGAACTGCACACACACACACACAAAACATTTGAACATACAGAAAACAAAAAGCTGAGAGGCACTGTTCATGATCATGAAGGATCTTAACATCAACAAGCCAACACTGTTTTATACAAAGTTACTGTACCTGAGCACCTTGACGAACTCGTACATCTATCCCTTTGCTATCTATAGAGATTAGAGCAGCGTCATCTACCTCTGTTTCAACAGACAGTAGCTCTCTAAGCGGCTTTGAGAAGATGGCATTTAGCTCCTATCACAGTTATAGACGGAAAAAGTAAGAGCCTAGAGGACCAAAAAAATGGAGAGTCAAGTTTATCAGAGTCTCTGAGAGGTTTGAGATAAAGCACCTTGAGGTTCTGTTCACCACCATCAACAGCTATCTTATCCGGCTGTAAAGTCTCATACTCTTTGACATCAACCCACGCGACTGTGCCAAAGCCTCCAATGAAATATATATCACTGCCAAATAGTGTCACATTGGAAACGGAGTGCATAAGTAGAAGAGAAAACAACCAAAGGCGTGTTGGTGACTTAGGAGGCACAAGATTTGAAACAAACCTTATGTTGTGCATTCTAAAATAGTGAAAGTTTCCCCACTGCTCGGAAGGCCCGTGCTGGTGCTTTGCAATATATTGCTTATGAGCCCACTCCTACCAAGACATACAGATGGTTTAGCATGTGAGATTCGTGTATAGGCAACAGATAAACTGAAAAAGGAGAAAAGTAGCAATTAGTTAGACACACACCTGTTCATCTTCTGCCAATGGGTACACATCACCAAATAACGTCACTCTTGCATTCGACAAGCCACTCCATCCAGGTATCTGCCAGTCAAGTCTCCGGTTACAGAACAAAAAGGGAACACCTTTTTGCTTGTATAGTTTAAATACAATAAGCCAATGTTACCTGGACAACGAGGCTGCATCTAGGTTCAGCTAAGAGATTTCGTGTGTGGATGGCCAACGGTGAAAACAAAAATATCGGATCTGGAAACAAAAAAAGGTAGGAGCCTTTAAAAAAAAAGTGCATCTAATGATCTCAGCTAGCAGACTCAGGACTCTATATGTACTATTTCAGCATTGCCATCAATACTACTTAGACCCAAGAAAGAAGAAAAGAGAAACGATATTCTTCCTACTACTTCGTCCCCACAAACTCAAAACAAGAGAAAGGAAAAGTTGAAGACTTATGAACCAATTGTCCACTTGCAAGTCAGTTAAACAACATTCTGAAGAAAACTGAGTATGCAAAATAGCAAAGAAAGAGAGATAATTTGACTTACGGCCCATCCGATCAGGTGCAAAATCCACCAAGGAGCCAAATGGGTACCCTTCTCTGCGGTGGTGCATTTTAGACATGACTGTGCACAGATGAGCAAACCTGGCCTTGAATCATCAAAACAAAACAATACCACACAGATGAAACAAAAAAGTTATCATCTTTCTCACTGTAGTGAAAAGAAACTATATACAGAACGATCTAAAAGAACAAACCATTTACCTGTTCCAGCAAGTTCCGTACAGCTAAAGCAGGCCGCGGTAACGCATGAGCTGATGTTGCATTTTGAACCCCACCAGATATTGGAGTCCTGAAGAGCCCAGCTCGGTTTCCTCCACCCCCTTGAGGAAGTGCAAGAGATGCCTCCACATCGATTACACTATGAGATGTTTCACCATTCAGCTTTTCCTTCACATCACATTAAACAATCTATTAATCAATCTATATGCCAAAGCACACATCTTTGCACCAATCTAAGATTCGATTCTATACAAACTCTGAATCAAAAAGCCATTGTAAGTGTGTGCAGAACTAGCTTATACGTAAACCCACAATAAAAGTTGTAATCTTTGATCGAAATTATTCATGAAAATAACAATTAAGAATCACAAGTACCTGTGATAAAGAGAAGATATCGCCAGGAAAAAAGCCAAAGCCACTACTTTCCGCAATATTATCTTCACCTTCACTTGGTGTCTCGTTATGCAGAGCTTGTATTCGAAGCCCATGACTTGATCCACTCCTGATTCTCAGCTTCGGGATTCGTTTAGCTGGTGAGGTTTTACACAACCAGCACGAAGACTGGGATGAAGAGGGTAGCGAAGATTTGAGGAGAGGCTTTATCGCCGGTAAATTGGAGATGTGTGATGAAGTGAAGAGAGCTTCCATGGCAGATTCCCACACAGAGGAGAGAGTAAGATTTTAGCTTGAAGAGTTCCGATCTTTCACTAAGGCAGATTCGTCAGACGACTTTTACTGAAAGTTGAGAGCTTTGAATTTAGGAATTAGGTAGGAGTACTTTTCCAGAAATAGGGTTTTAAACAAATTTAAAGGGTTTTTCTTTTTAATTTTACTTTGTAAAAGAGATAGGAATTGAAGCATTTTTAAAAATTTGTTTATAATTCAATTTTACCAGAAAAGTCCCACCTTTCGGCTATACAAATTTTATCCCCATTGTTTTAGTTTTCTTTTGTTTTATAAAATAGGAAACTTAATCATTATCTGAGATTCTGTTATTGTTTTGTTTTTGTCGGAATTCTATTATTGTTTAAACAATTTTAAACAAAATATTAGTCTCCCAGTCAAATAAAATTTATAACATCTCAGGCGGTTCAAACAAATTTGAAACTTTGAAAAAGAAAATTCAACACCGTTTTAGACACAACTTGACCACTAAACAGTAAACACTACAGACACGTCAGATATTCAAACGGCGTCGTTTTCGGCCCATCCTTCCTCCGAGTCCACGCGCAACCGCCTGAGCTGCATCGTCACACCACGCGCCAGTTTGATTTCCACCGCTCGAATCATTCCCGCTGCAACCCCGGTTACGTCTTCCACCTTCTTCAAACTCGGCCACTTCATCATCTTCTTACGCGAGTTCCTAACGCCAAACCAAAACGCCGCCGCTAAGATCACCTTATTCGTCGCTCTCTGCTTCTCCACAGCGGCCAAGGCGAGAGACGCATACGAAACGACCGCGTTTCTCAAATCCCCGTCTAATCCTAATCTATCGCACCATTTTACAAAAACGCCGTTCCCAACTGCAACCGCAACGGCCTTGACTCTGTTTTCCCTCCTCTGCGCTCTGTTCACGACACGCGTCTTCCTCGCCGTCGACGATAGCTCCGAGCTGGAGACACGATCGAGAGACGAGCAGCAAGACGAGTCTGAAGACGAAGACGATCCAGAGCAGCAGCAGCTTGTTCTCGGAGGCCAAGGCGAAAAGGGACCGGAGACGAAATCTCCGGTGAGGGATTTGCAATGAGGGCAGATGATGCGACGGACGTGCCGGGAGAAGAGGAAATTAGAAGCGTGGAAGTTTACGTCGCAGGATCGGCAGAGGTAAGCTGAGTCGGCGTCGCAGTGGAGATCGGCTTCCGCACCACACAGCTCGCAGAAGCTCACCATCCTCGTTTCAATGGCGATTTAAGTCGATCTCTGATCTGAGATCGAAATGAGAGAGAGCGATGAAGGTGATGGTGATGATGATGATGATGGGAAGAGAGATATAAGGAAGAGAGTTTTGTGATTGAGGGAGAGAAAAATGGTGGAGCTTTTATGGTGATTCATGGTTGCTGATAGTAGTGGCTATTATTTCCTTTCTTCACAGTACACACCAAAAATTTAATTGTTTTTCTTCTTCTTCTCTTACATCAGCCAGATATTTCTTGAAAGTTTTAAAATATTGCAAATTGGGGAATGAAAAATGAATGGTGTTTGGAGAAGTGGAGAGAGGACGTGTCGTGAGGTTTTGAGGCTGATGAGATCTGTGGTCATTTTTTAAACCATTTCACTAGCCGCCATGTCATTCTTCTTTCTTCTGGTGTGACGTGGAGATTTAGTCAACACCAAAGTCTTTTCAGAGACTTTTGTTTTTTCTTTGTTGCTTCCATTACATTTCTTGATTTCTTCTGCAATCTGCATTATTTTAGTCTTTTTATACATTATGTAGATTTTGTTTTTTCTCTTGTCGAACACAGTACTTTGTTCTGTAGTTGGTTAAGTTTTCCAGATACAACAAAGGTTTGAAATCAACGCAAGGGTAAACTGAAATTAACAAGAGACTTTAAATTGCAAAATCTTTTACTGTTTAATCTGATAAAAACATAAATTAGTACTCTTTAATTTATATTCCAAGGGTATACAAAAGGTATAACTATGACAAACTTCTCTGTTTAGTTCGTTGAATAATCAAGCAAAGACCATAATTAAAAGGGGTCTTTGAATCACAATGCCATGTTGCAAAGATTTGACACTGTGACCTCTACTTTGTTTGTTATCCGACTGACTTGTTTGTTATCCGACCGAACCGCCTCTGGCGTAATCTAATTGCCGGTTTGTGTAGCTGGACGCTGTTAGATTGTTCAAGCTTTACCTTATTATCATTCCATGGCACGATCTTAAGTGGATGAGCTTCTGTGTTGAACACCCACTCGTCCAAGGGAATGACCGTTGTGGGCGAGAAGAGAAGATAGAGATACTTGAGCGTTTCTGCAAGGAAGAAACTTTGCATCTTGTTGTCCTTAGCTCCTGTTTTAACCTGGAAATGGTTGAAAACAAAATAAGAATCCACCAAGTTAGTGCTAATGCTATGGATGGTGAATCAAATTAGGAGAACTTACATCCTTCAAACCGACGTATCCAGACTCTATGCGTGAGTTCTTCTCAAACGCTTCAAATATATTCCATCCCCATTCTTGATATGTCTTGTTGCCAGTTAACCGCCAGAGGTAAAACAGTGATTCGACAGTCTCTGGTCTCAAGATGTTCCATGACGTTCCAACACTCATGTCCTGAATCATCACCATCATGTTTGTGGATTATATACTAAACAACAAACTCAAACTCAAGAGATGTGTTTAGAAAGGACAAGCAAACGGCATACATTCCCAGAGTTGAAGAAATAATTCTCCCCAGCCAGTTTTGTTGGTGTTGATTGGTAAAAGTTATAACATGTCCATGCAAGCTGCACATAAGTGTGAAAATAACAAGAAAAAGGCTAAAGCTCCAACAGCATAAATAAACACCTATTGATGAAGCTCATTCAAGCCTTAGCTTTACCTCTTCAGCAAGTGTGAGGAACTTCTTTGCTTCAGCAGGATCATCATACCCAGATGCTCCTAAAGCCAACATTCCAGGAGCAAAGCATGCCAATTCATCCATCTGAATTTAGATGAGAGAGAAACATGAGACTGGAAACGTCAGGCAACGCAAAATTTTCACAATGAACGGAAAAGGATACCTTATCGGACAAAGAATTTCCATTCTTCTCACAGATATATGTAAACGACGAAGGTGTTGATTTCTTAACCAAGCTTAGCAGACCTTTCATTGATTTCTCCCACATCTCTCTGATGCCAAGATTTCAAGAAAGACTAAGTATTATGTTTTGGCTAAAAAGTATCAAAACTACAAAGACCAGCAAGGAAACGAAGAGCTAGATATCAAGTTTGGCTGAGTTGAGTTCAATCAGCTTTTAACTGTTCCAATATTACATTTTCCATTTGACTTGTAAGTCAGTAGAAAAGAATTAGCCTTACCTATAGTGTTTCACTACTAAAGTTTTGCTCCCAAAGACCCAAACTTTGAGCAAATATTCGTAAAAGCTGTACGCACAAACATTAGCAATCACATATCAAACCAAAGCAAAACCAGAAGGGAACAGAGGAGCAGCAATATAAAAAATGTAATCAAGCTGGAAAAAAATACCTGTCTCCCATGGCACCAAATGTCATGGTAGAAGAGTAGGATGGATTATCAGCTGAATCGATATTTATATAGATCGGAAGTAAACCATCAGCAGGGAAGTTCTTATTTAGTACTGATATAACCTTTTCTACCTGAGACACAAGTTACTAACAGGTCAACCATTTAGTTGCAAATTATTTTTCGAACACTCATCTACACACATCTCTATCTTTCCTATAGGCAGATGGATATGTTGGTAACCCAAGAGTGCTACATGGCAACAGAGAAAATGTACCTTTTGCTGATATTTTGGGTCCCCTGTCCTCTGGGAAAGGGCAATAAACTCGAGCTGCTCAGTCCCAGAATCCGCAAGAATACTGTTTGACTAGTACAAGAAAGAAGCAAACAATCAACTAAACTAATAGGCCACATGTAGTTGCAAATATCAGAAACAAAAAGAAGGCTAATTGTCACATAAAGTGAAAAGCATGAAGTAATTTCAGGACTTACCCCAGCCCATGAAGGATTGTGAGCATTTCCATGTCTCAAGTTGATGACATTATATGGTATACCCGATTTAGTGTCCCATGCAGGCAACAATCTGTCTGCTATATCCGTAGCCTTTTCAAGGAAAATTTTGTCCCCGGAGAGATCATACGCACTGAGAAGCCCTCCCACTACTCTGAAACCCAACAAAAGGAAAAATGTATAAGCGCAGATTGCAATACTTACCACTCCACAAATTCCGTCGAACGCAAAACCCAACAAGTAACCTAAACAAGATGACTCTTTCTTACTATACAGGTAAGAAAACAAACATGGTAAACCTGTTAAATGCAACCTTATGGTTGTCTCAAACATACTGGCCGAGTAATCCTTGTCGAAATCTAATGAGCTCGCAACCCACCTGCAAACAAAAGACAATGCATACATTACAAAGATGAGACGAGCCTGTTCTTAACAAGTCATGCCAAAAAGAAATCTACCTAGAAAAATGGCAAGAATGTAAGACAAATATACTCACTCTCTGGCTTTCTGAAACTGCTCATCTAGACCCATTATATAGAGTGTATCTAATGCATCTATCATAGTTGCTCCGAGGCCACCAAAACTGTCAACGCCATCTTTTGTCTGGGGCTGATAATGCCAAAATACAAATGAAACGAAATTTTTTCACTGACATATGTTTTAACTAGTTAAACAACACAATACTTGCTGATAAAAGTGTTGAAATTTAACATAAAGCTGATAGCATTGCAGCTAAACATACAATTTCAAAAGAAAGCAGTAAAAAGTAGACATAGAGTGTACCTGAAGCTCATCTTGTCCCCAGGCATACTTTTCATAAGAACTCCAAGCATGAATCATTGCTTCTTTAACTCTCTGCATCCGCTGCGCATCAACTGGATCTTCCTGGACATGCTTCAAAGAGCTCACAGATACATCCTCTGTGACGACTTTTACCTCTTCTAACTAGCAGAAAAAAACATCATAATGTCACAATTAATATCAACAACGACCATTCATCAAGCTGATGCAAATAGGAAAGAAAAATTTCCTCTATTTTTTTCCCTTAGAGGGAGAAGAAATAAACATACCATCTGCTGCAACCGCAAAAGCTCTTCATTTAACTTGGAAACTTCAGACTGAAAAATAAAACATAAAAGTGCAAGAAATCAGAAATGTCACAAAAAGATACATTTCACTTCCTTGGTGAATAGATAAACAAAAATGTATCTTCTTTCGAACAATAGAAGTAAAATGTATCTACTTTTCATCCGAAGATTTGAATTGAATTTCCTCAAGAGCTCGAGAATCAATAGAGGGGCAAAAGGAAAAAAAGTACCTCGTAATCTCGGGAAAGAGTTTGACGATCCCAGACGACCATGGAAACAGAGACGAAGAGGATGATGAGGAAAGCTAGACGCCTCGGCCTTCGGAGATAATAAGCTGGGTTGAAATATTTCCATATCCCGTGACCACTACTAACCACTTTACTCCTCGCCATCTTTTCTCGGAACCGGCGATCAGATCTCGGTGAATCGACGGTGGCAAATGTCGGAAAAAATGAGGGAGGAAACAGATCGGATCAGAGTAAAGAGAGGGAAAAGAATAAAGTTTTGAGGAAGAAGAAGGAAGAGATTGGTTTGTTTATTGGTGGCCTTCCTTTAAAGAATGAAAACGAAGAAAAGACAAAAAAAGAATAAAAGTTGGGACGAAAATGTGATTTTCTAAAGCGTACAGACACAACACTGGAACAGTGTGAAACTAGAGGTGTTGTTCTTTTTAATATATTATTATTCGACCGCCGGTTTACATATTCGGATTGTTCGTGACCGATTTACATAATGTTGTGACATGGTTTAACATTGACTCGAAGAATGTATACTTTTGTTGTGCATTTGTCCCAAACACAGAATTGAGTTGTCGTTTTTGAACATTAAAAGAGCAGGTGGCTAAAAGACTAAAGAGAGCCTCCAGATAATTTGAAATATTTCCATATTGCGTGACCACTACTAATATGAATTTGTTTTTTTTTCAAGTTAGATACAAAGAGCAACAACCAGATAATTATAATTATTTAAATACTAGAGTATATTTAAGCGCAAATTTATTATTCGCATAAGATTAAGATAGATAATGATGTTGTTTGTTTTAAGAGTAGAGAGCAACCAACAAGGCCCATAGTAATTATTTCAGCGATAAAGTATAATAAGCACATTTGCATCAAGTCTTCCATCATTGAGTGCTTCCGTTTCCCGGCAAGGTTATTGTTTGCATATTACGCTTAAGTCTATTTTGGTTTTGACCTCCTCTTCCCTGCCGAGACTGTGACTAGTGTAGTGAACTAGAACCACATCAGGTCGCTCAAGAAGAATATACATCCTTCGACACATGTCCATATGACCATATCTGAGCTGACTAACTTTATAGTCATTATAATTTAATAATTTATTACTGTATCCTTGTTTATTTATATTCATTCATTCATATTCATAATAGTTTTGACACTTTTTCGAGTAAGATATACTAAAAGTTTAGTTATGTACTTAAATAGAAGTTGATTATTTGGAACTATCTACTATTCATTAGATTTGAAGGGTTTTTTTTTTTTTATTTGGCAACATAGTAGATATGAGGTAATAGTATTAGCTTTTCAGAAAAAAAAGTTTCTTAATCACAATTCACAATTGACAAATGTTAAAGAACGGAATATATTGCCTCTAGGCTGTGAATATTTGATTGCAGCAAATCCTCAGCAAATCCTCAGCAAAATATACAAGTTTTTTTTTAAAGAACATAATACATTAAATTTATTAAATATTTAGTATACACAAACTTTATAAACTAGGAAAAATTAATAAGAAAAAAACGAAAAGTAATTGTAACCCTATATACAGTATATATATCATATTTAGCATGGGGTTGGAGATGCTCTAATCTCATGATCTCATCTTCCCATATTCTTAGAATAACAAAAACAATAAACAAAAGATCTAACCATAACTCTCTCTCTCGATCGAAATGACGAACATAATAAATCTTCCAGAAGATCTAGTAATGGAGATATTCTCTAGGATTCCGGCTGTATCTCTGGCGCGGTTGCGATCAACATCTAAAGGATGGAACGCTCTGATCGGAGATGGGAGACTTGCCAAGAAGCACTCTACCAATGCACCAAAGCAGTCTCTGGTCATCCTGGTTATGAATCTTAGGGTTTATCTATTGAGCGTCGATCTCCGTGGAATTCACGACAACGTTGCTCCATCTGCTAAGGTATCAGCTCCCTTTAGCTTGAAAGGTCCTCAACCAGATGCTATAGAAGAAGTCGATATACGCGAGGTCTTTCACTGCGACGGCTTATTGTTGTGCACCACCACAGACGATAGACTCTTTGTTTCGAATCCGTGTTCCGGTGAAACAAGGTGGATCCCGATCCCATCAAAACATTATGAAAAGGAAACCCACATGTATGCTCTCGGTAAATCCTCATGCAACAAGTACAAAATCTTGAGAGTGGATCGTCTAGATAGTTACGAGTACGAAATCTATGACTTTGCCTCCGATTCGTGGAAGTGTGTTGGTGTGATTACCGAGAGGTTCTGCGGTGGTGGCATTTCGATGAAAGGAAATACTTACTGGTGTGCTCGGCCTCTAGAGGGTCTCTTCTTACTATGTTTTGATTACTCAACAGAGAAATTTACGAGGATGTCTCTTCCGGAGGACCCGGGTGATACTCATGCTTACCCTAGTGTGGATTTATCAGTGAGTAGAGAAGGGCAACAACTTTGTTTGCTGTATACTATCATAGATAATACAATCCAAACAAACGTATGGATTGCAACTAAGAGTGAGAGTACCGGAGCAATGTCATGGAGTAAGTTTCTAACAGTGGAGAGAAGCGATTTTATCTATCGTCTTCAGTTTACTGAGGGGACAAGTTTCTTGCTCGACGAGGAGAACAAAGTTGTTTTGTCTTGTAATGGCCCCTTCTGGGGGTTCTCCAAGAACATCATACACATTATGGGAGAGGATAAATACGTAGAAGTGAATCATCATGGTGCAAAACCTACATCTACTGGCTCCTTTCTCGTGAGTTATGTTCCAAGTTTGGTTCAAATCCAACAAGCTATCTAGTTGTCATGCATTATCTAATTCACCTCCATATGTTTTATAATTAAGATATATATAAAATGTACCCTATCTTCTTCTTATTTTCTTTTTCTTTTTATCAAAGAAAGATATATGTAATGTCATAATGATTTAACCTTAAGGGAAACAAGTATCATTTTTATGCCAAAACATGTCATTGATATCGAGTAGTAACATTGGGACAAAACAAAACAAATATAAGGTCGGTACGGTACAACAAGGATTGTTTGGAGCGCACGTTAAAGATAAAATTCATCAGTATTTTTGTTTGTTTACTTTTTCTTAAGCGGCTCTGTCTACTCTTTCCTGGGAAAATACCCTTTATAAAACAGTTGAAATGTATGCTTAAGGGTATGACGACTTTGACATAATCAAGATTCTTGAAAAACCAAAATCAAAAACATAATAAATGTACTTATTCGACTTTGACCTCACAATGTCACAAGGATATACAGTAATAACCTACAGTGGCTCCAAGAACATCATACACATTATGGGAGACGATAAATACATAGACGTGAATCATCATGGTGCAGAAGCAGAACCTACATCTCATGACTGCTTTCTCCTGAGTTATGTTCCAAGTTTGGTTCAAATCCAACAAGCTATCTAGTTGTCATGCAAGTTTGGTTAATATATATCTAATCCACCTCCATATATTTTATAATTAATATATATAAATATATATATGTACCCTATCTTCTTCTTTTTTTTTGTCAAAGAAAAATATATGTAATGTCATTATGATTTAACCTTAAGGGAAACAAGTATCATTTATTTTGCCAAAACATATCCATCTTCATATCGAGTAGTACGTACAACAAGGATTGTTTGGAGCGCACGTTAAACATAAAATTCATCACTTCATTAGTACTCTTTTTTCTTTTTGTTGTTGTTGCCGCCATTGGGATTCATTTTTTTCGAGTAAGTGATTCTAGTGTAAGATGATAAATTTATGATCGAGAGCTGTGTTTATATACTAGAAGAAACCTTGCTCGGTATGAACACATGAAGGGCATTTGCGTGAATTTTATCATCTTACACTAAAATCTTGCATTTGCGCGTAGGATTGAAAGAGACAGCTCTCCCTCTACTTGCTCACCAAGAACAAATAAAAAGTGCTTTTTCGATGAGAAACATCGTCGTTTGTGTTCGATGACAAGGATCGTCGAGTGAAGACGGCACTTGCGACTACTCTGCTTTTTCTATTTTTGGTTACTTTTTGCTCACGTCAGTTCGTTTATTCAACCTTCTAGTTCTAGACAAAAGTGTTACGCGCACTCCTCTGGTTTTTTTCTCCTTGTTTCCATGTTTGGTTGGGTTTGTTTATTGTTCAAGATTCTCGAAAAACCGAAATCAAAAACATAATAAAAATGTACTTATTATTAATCAATCAAAGAAATGAATTTTTACCTCTTCTAACTAGCAGAAATAAAACATCATAATGTCACAATTAATATCAAGAACGACCATTTTGTGTATCAAGCAGATGCAAATAGGAAGAAAAAGTTGAAATATTTCCATATCCCATGACCACTACTAACCACTTTACTCCTCGCCATCTCTCAATTTTTCTCAGAACCGGCGATCAGATCTCGACGGTGGCGAATGTCGGAAAAAAATGAGGGAGGAAACAGATCGGATCAGAGTAAAGAGAGGGAAAAGAATAAAGTTGAGGAAGAAGAAGGAAGAGATTGGTTTGTTTATTGGTGGCTTTCCTTTAAAGAATGAAAACGAAGAAAAGACAAAAAAAGAATAAAAGTTGGGAAGAAATGTGATTTCTAAAGCGCACAGACACAACCAACACCGGAACAGTGTGAAACTAGAGGTGATCGCTGGTTTGTTATTTTTAATATATTATTCGACCGCCGATTTACATATTCGGATTGTTCATGACCAATTTTGTTTTATAGAGTTGTGACATGGTTTAACATTGACTCGAAGAATGTATATTTTTGTTGTGCCTATGTCCCAAACACAGAATTGAGTTGTCGTTTTGAACATTAAAAGAGCAGGTGGCTAAAAGACTAAAGATAATTTGAAATATTTCCATATCCCGTGACCACTACTAACATGAATTTGTTTTTTTTTCAATTTTGAATACAAAGAGCAAAAACCAGATAATTATAATCGACTACTCGAGTATATTTAAGCACAAATTTATTATTCGCATAAGATAGATAATGATAATTAGCGATAAAGTAGAATAAGCTTAGTCTATTTTGGTTTTAGCGACCTCTTCCCTGCCGAGACTATAAGCTTGGTCTATTTTGGGTTTGACCTCTTCTTTCCTGCCGAGAATGTGACTAGTATAGTGAACGAGAACCAAACTCGGTCGATCAAGAAGAATATACATCCTTCGACAAATGTCCCTCTCACGGCTGACTCTATGTAGGGAAAACCTTGTCACAAGGGCTGTCTCTGTCTCATCACCAATCTACAATAGACATTTAGAAAGAATTAGTTAGACAAACTAGCTTTATGTTTTAGAAATTTGCGTAATATATCTTTAAACGTGACATCATTCATTACCTTGAATGCTTCGACTCTTGAAGTCATATACCACGTATAGCCATCGCCAACACCATGAAGTATATTCTCAGCTTGATCAGATGGAAGCAAAAATATTGCAGGAGGTGGAGGACAGGAAGGTACGGCAGGGGTGACTCGTAGATAACGCCGAGTGATGAGAGTTCGAACCTCTTGCGGAATTAACTGACGTCCCTGTCGAACCAGCGAGAAAATATGGTCTGGAAGAAAAAACAAATTAAACAAACGGATTTAACATTCCTCAGTAAACCACCCAAAGAGTAGTACAGAAAGAAGAGATACCTTTACTGTCGAGGTCTACGGGAATTTGGGGGCCGCCGTGGCCGTTGTTGTTGTTGCCGTTGGGATTCATTTTTTTGCAAGTAAGTGATTTTTGTGTAAGATGATAAATTTATGATCGAGAGCTGTGTTTTTATACTAGGAGAAACCTTGCTCAGTAAGAGAACATGAAGGGCATTTGCGTGAATTTTATCATCTTACATTAAAACCATGCATTTGCGTAAGATTGAGAGAGACAGCTCTCCCTCTACTTACTCATCATGAACAAAGAAAAAGTGCTTTTTCGATGAGAACCATCGTCGTTTGTGTTCGATGACAAGGATCGTCGAGTGAAGACAACATCTGCAACTACTCCCTTTTTCTATTTTCGTTTGCTTTTTGCTCACGTCCGTTCGTTTTTTCAACCTTCTAGTTCAAGAAAAGGTGTTACGCGCACTCCTCTGGTTTTTTTTCTCCTTGTTTCCATGTTTGGTTGGGTTTGTTAATTATTCAAGATTCTCGAAAAACCGACATCAAAAACATAATAAAAATGTACTTATTATTAATCAATCAAACAAATGAATCTCTACCACTACAATGGTTAGGAAGGAAGGAACAAGGGTAAAAAACATATCACAATGTCATACATATAGATAAAAACAGCGTGATCGATATTATTACTAGGTTGCAAAAACTGTTCGATCTAAAATCAATCACTCATCTTTCTAGGATGTTCAAACAAACAAGTACTGTACATTCTTGTCTTGATCATATTCGTACGTGTAACATAGGAACATGAAAACGAATGCAGACCAAAGTAAAGATAAAGGGTAAAAGGCCTCAAGCCTATCTTTTATGCTGCAGATTTTTCCTTAAGCCCATATTAATACAACGTCATTAGGCTAATAAAACCTTAGTCATAAAACGATACCGTTTTCTAACAAGAGATGCTTTGTTAACTTTGAGTTGATAATGTTTTATCTACACTAGGCTAATACCCGCGCATATGCGCGGGTTTTTGTGAAAAAAATGTGTTTGTTTGATATTTATATAATATAACTTGAGATGATATCATCGATGCGTATGAATAAAGTATTTGGAATGATTTTCAATAATGTAAGAGAAACCACTGTTACAATTGTAGGAAAAAGAAAAAGAATCTCTTAAATTGTTATTGGTTTGAAAATGATGAGAAAATGTTATATTCAAAATGATAAATTTTTTAATTTTTCCAAAGATCAACGAAAAAGTAAACATTAGTCTTTACTAATTTTGTCTCAGTGTGTTAATGTAATCTGCCAAAACATTTTTTTTTAGAAGTAGGGATTGATGAAAAAGGGACAAGTTCCTCCAAAACAATTTTCCCACCACCATGAGATGCCTACATTGTATGATCAAAATGGTCAAGAGCCAAGTTTATGACATCTGTTTTTGTTTGGACCTAAACACATTCCTTGGAATGCCTGGAGTCTACTCTTCGTTGTATTGGTAGTCAGGTATGTAGATGCACAAAATTCCCAAGCATCATCATCAAATTATACACTCAAGGCTGCAGATTGAAAAAGATTTGCGAAGCATAAAAAGACTTATACACCTGATGGTGCAGACTGAAAAGAAATGATAGACTAAGAACTTAAAAGAAGTAATTCATGAGGTACAACGACTGTATTAGAAAATAAGTGGTTAGAGAGATTTACAATCTTCTAACAGTAAAACAAATTAATTACAATTTCATTTGCTTGGCTATGGAGCAACTGGTCGTTTTCCGGTCAAGAAGAGGATGAGACAAAAAAATAATGATTATAATGAATGGCCTAGGAGAGATTTGCTCTTGACCAACCTGTAAAAAGTTAATGAGAAGCTATCAATCAAAATGATCAAAACTTCACAAGTTCAACAGAATATTTGCATATGAATCTTGAGATTTAAAGAGAAGCTAACCCCAGTAGGATCACCAATCCGGACGCCACAAGAAATTGCTCTGATAGGGTTAGCTTTTAACAATGTCTCCAAACCGGATTTGAAAATCCTGGCGAATGATATCAAGTTGCAGATCGTAACTGGCCATATAGAACAAGATTATTAGCAAACATCATTATGGGAGGAGCACACACCTAAGGAGCAGAAATGTTTCTCAAGTTTGAGCTGCATCATATGTAAATGCATTGATTTCATTTCAGTGAACGCAATATTGCTCTCGAAGTATATGGTCCGGACTGGAAAACTCGATAGACCTCCATTGGAACAACTCAGCTCCTTCTTATGCAAAAAATAGTCAGCTCTAAGAAGGGGCAATAATACCTAAAATCATGATGAGAGTCACTATTATTACTTAGGAACCAATAGAAAATATCAAAAACTGGAGATTGTTTTGAAAGGAACAGTTTTAACTTACAGTCGAATCTTTTCCTCCAGTGAAACTAAAGGCAACCTCTTCAATACTGCAAACTAAAGGAACAATCTGTATACTTCTAAGAATCAGTAAAGTAAATTTGCATTAAAAGAGGTTAAAATTGCTAAGGCCTTGTCCAATCCAATCCATTATAAAGGTTTGCAGCCAAATTTTCCCCATCGATTTGGCAGGTAGTATTCAAGATTAGATTCACACATACACTATGAATTTTGCTTAATGCCGTAAACAATAACATGTTTAGGATAAACAACAAACTTATAAACTGTCAATAGAAATTTTAGTACCTGATTTTCCCGGAACGCCTCAACATGCCTTCTAGCTTTAGGACTCTGATCATTGATCACATCATAATATTGTCCAGCCAGATTATGCCTTTTCTTCTCTGAATTAACATATACTATCACAAAAATCTCTTGAGGAATACATAGAGATTGTCCCATTCATGAAACGGGAAGGAACAAAAAAAAAACAGAGAAGTGGTAAACGTAATCATGCTTGGTTCAAAAAACATCAAAGTACAAACAATGTCAATTTGAATATCATGTGGGGGAAAGCAGAGAAGGTAGAGTTAGAAAAATATGAAAGGTCAACAAACTTCAATGCGAGTTCTAGAACTTTAAATTATTGAAAGTCTTAATTAAGTTTTTGGCAGTTACAAGGAGGAGAAGAGAGGAAGCCGTGAAGCTCTACGTAACCGGAAACCCTAACGTCAGACGCGAGATGGAAGAGGATTAGAATGCGTCGATGTTAAGATTTGTTTTTCTAGTTTAATGAATGCCAGGTGTCAACTTCGGAGTGCCCACTTGTCACAAATCTATACTATATAAAAGTTGAAGCTATAAGTCTCTAAGAGCGTCCACATAAGATTTTAAAACGCGATATGATTGGTCCACATAAGTATTTCCTAGGTAAAGAAAGTTTCCGAATTTTAAACAACCAATAGTATCAGTCCACATCATCACATAAAATTAGCTATTTGTTCAATTAGTTAAATTCCTTTTTATATTTTTATATTTTAAGAAAGTTTCATAATTCAAAGGTAAGCAATAGGAAAGTTTCCAGAATTTATAAGTGTAATATTAGTAGAGATATGTAATAAATAAGAAAATTATACCAACAATATCATTATATATCAACATCTAAAATTATTTATATTTGAATTTTTTTTCATTAATTTACTTTTTATTTTTATCAGCAGAATTGTAAAAAAGGAGATTTTCCTTTAAGAAAAAAGAAAACAAATAATAATACTATTGGAAATTAAATAAGGAAACAAATAAGGAAATTTTCCTTTAGCTAATAAAAATTAAAAACCCTAACACACTTTTGCCATCTATTTCTTATATATACCAAGAGTCATCTCCTCCCTTTTTAACACCTACAAAAGCTACAATTATATTAACTGGATTTTGATCAAATGTAGCTTACATGAATAAACATATGTTCACGTTAGAGTTTGATATAAGATCAAACAAATCCAACATCGAGAAACCACCTGGAAACAAGATGAAGGGATATATATTGAAGACAAGATACTTTGACATCACATATTGAAAGTTCACATAGATCGATCAATTCTTCTAAAGGATATAAAGTGGATTAATGAAAAATCATGAAGCAAATGAATGATTGAAACAAAGACAATGGGCATCACACTAAAGGTATACATGTCCTTCTCTGAAATAAATAAATTCACTTGCTTTATTTCGAATATTATCTGGTCTATGGTGTTCAATTGATTTTCTTTGTATTTTGATAATGGAAGCACATCCAATTAATTAATAAATAAGTTACATCTATACTATATAAAAGTTGAGGCTATAAGCCTCTAAGAGCGTCCACATAGGATTTAAAAACGCGATATGATTGGTCCACATAAGTATTTCCTAGATTAAGAAAGTTTCCGAATTTTAAACAACCAATAGTATCAGTCCACATCATCACATAAAATTAGCTATTTGTTCAATTAGTTAAATTCCTTTTTATATTTTTATATTTTAAGAAAGTTTCATAATTCAAAGGTAAGCAATAGGAAAGTTTCCAGAATTTATAAGTGTAATATTAGTAGAGATATGTAATAAATAAGAAAATTATACCAACAATATCATTATATATCAACATCTAAAATTATTTATATTTGAATTTTTTTTCATTAATTTACTTTTTATTTTTATCAGCAGAATTGTAAAAAAGGAGATTTTCCTTTAAGAAAAAAGAAAACAAATAATAATACTATTGGAAATTAAATAAGGAAACAAATAAGGAAATTTTCCTTTAGCTAATAAAAATTAAAAACCCTAACACACTTTTGCCATCTATTTCTTATATATACCAAGAGTCATCTCCTCCCTTTTTAACACCTACAAAAGCTACAATTGTATTAACTGGATTTTGATCAAATGTAGCTTACATGAATAAACATATGTTCACGTCAGAGCTTGATATAAGATCAAACAAATCCAACATCGAGAAACCACCTGGAAACAAGATGGAGGGATATATATTGAAGACAAGATACTTTGACATCACATATTGAAAGTTCACATAGATCGATCAATTCTTCTAAAGGATATGTAGTGGATTAATGAAAAATCATGAAGCAAAGGAATGATTGAAACAAAGACAATGGGCATCACACTGAAGGTATACATGTCCTTCTGTGAAATAAATAAATTCGCTTGCTTTATTTCGAATATTATCTGGTCTATGGTGTTCAATTGATTTTCTTTGTATTTTGATAATGGAAGCACATCCAATTAATTAATAAATAAGTTACATTACCACAAAAAATTCAAAGGACTATGAAGAGAACAAGGAATCGAAATTACCAAAGTGTAGATTAAATCAAAAGTGAATTGTTGCTCCTAAATTAGTAAGCTTTCGATGGGGAAAATAATATTGATTATGAAGAAAGAAAAAAAATCAGAATAGTGATTACATGACACAAATTGAAAGGAAAAGGCAAACACAATAGAAGGCTGTATTTTGTTCCTTTTCTATTTTTCTATTTTTGTTTTTTCAATGTTTTGTAATATTTACATATTCATGTGTTTATAAGTAGTATTTTTAAAAGATGCCACTTGAAAGAGAAGGAATATAAACAAAAGTAAATTTATGAAAAACAGAATAAGATAAATTTCTTCTCATTTTAGTATTTACATATGACATTCAAAGGGCCTGTTTTGAATATATTTTGTTCAATAAGTCATTCTAGCTTGATTTTATTTTCAGTTTTTCAGGTAACGAAATTGTGTTTTATTTAATTATAATTTATTCTAAATTTAAGAGGAATAAGCCATGCAGAATTTTAAGGGTCGAGAATAACCTACAGAAATAAGAGAAAAAAAATGAAGAAAAAAGTAGACACAAAGAAGAAGAGTACCAAGATAAAACCGAAGAATAGCGAAAACAAAGATATTGAATTGCGAATACAAAATAGAGACCAAAGAAGACAAAGATGAATAAGGAAAAACCATATTAAAAACTTGTGAAGAACAATTTGAAGAGGAATTCGAACAAGAACGAAGGAGAAGAAACCTAACAACAACAAAAAAACTTGCGAAGACCAATCTAAAGAGGAAATAAAATAAGAACAAAGGAGAAGAAACCAAATCAAAACAAAACAAAAAAGAGAAAAAAAAAGAAGAGCGAAGACGAAGAAGAGCAAACGCGAAGATGAGTGAAAATGAAGAAGAAATCAAATAAGACCAAAGACAAAGAAGAAAACAAAACATAAGATACTGAAAAAGAATGAATCAAAGAAAATTAAAAAAAACTTTAAAACAACAGAAGAAGAAAATGAAGAACAATTATGTGTGTCGACTAGCTTCTCTTCATTTAGGTTTTAGGTTTTATAACCATTGAAAACTTACCAAAATATTAGTTTATCATCTAGCTTAAATTTATTACATACAAATATTGTTATTTATAGCATTTTAAGTTCTAACATAACCAACTGAAGTTATTTTAAATAAACATCATGTTACATACAAATATTGTTGACATCTAATTTTAAGAATTTCACTAAACATATTTAAAAATATATTTCTGTTTAGAAAATGACTAACACGTCACAATAGTTCATAAATTAACATTACATTTTACAAGTAAGTTTAGTGATAAAGTAAGTTTGTCCTATTATAATGATTTGAATATCTTCAAGTAAGTTTTGGTCATTAGACATATACAAACATTTTTGTTACCGGGATATGATCTAAACAATATTTTTGTATGTCAAGATTTGATCTCAATACGATATTGATATATCTAAAAACTTTTGTTTTCCAGAGAGTTTTGGTATTGAAATATTGATAAATTTTAATTGTTGATTTTTGCAATTTAAAAAAAAAATTAAAATATATTTTAAACTGATTTAAGATACAGACCCGCGCGTGCGCGGGTGAAAGTCCTAGTATGGAGAAAAGCGGCCACTATTCATATATATGATTTTTTAATTTAGTCGAATATGAATTCAATGTCACAAAATCTTTTTTTTTTCTGTTTATCTAATAATATTACCTCATACTGTATATACTGTGTTGCCAAAATTAATAATGACTCAAAATTCTTTAACCAACTTTACAAAATTAAAAGATTAAAATAAAATACTTAGTAGCTCCATTGGTCTTTTATTATTAACTGTGACATGATTTCCTTGGAATTTATTTAATCACAGTTCACAAATGCTTTGAGATTTTTTGGTTTCAAGTGCATTGATTTTTACAAAATTGAATATCTAATAAAGTAATTACAAAATATATCCTTTATTAGTTGAACAAAATATACAATTTTTTGTTAAAGAACAGAATACATTAAATTTATTAAATATTTAGTATACACAAACTTTATAAACTAGGAAAATTAATAAGAAAAGAACAAAAAGTAATCGTAACCATATGATCTCATGATCTCATCTTCCCATATTCTTAGAGTAACAAAAACAAAAACAAAAGACCTAAGTACCTAACCATAACTCTCTCTCTCTAGAAATGACGAACATAATAAACCTTCCAGAAGATCTAGTAGTGGATATTCTCCAGGATTCCGGCTGTATCTCTGGCGCGGTTGCGATCAACATCCAAAGGATGGAACGCTCTGATCGGAGATGGGAGACTTGCCAAGAAGCACTCTGCTAATGCACCAAAGCAGTCTCTGGTCATCGTGGTTATCAATCTTAGGGTTTGTCTATTGTGCCTCGATCTCCGTGGAATTCACGACAACGTTGCTCCATCTGCTAAGGTATCAGCTCCGTTCAGCCTGAAGGATGCTTCAGAAGAAGTCGATATACGCAACGTCTTTCACTGCGACGGCTTATTGTTATGCACCACCACAGACAAAAGACTCGTTGTTTCGAATCCGTGTTCCGGTGAAACAAGGTGGATCCCGATCCCATCAAAAAATTATAAAAAGGAAATCCACATGTATGCTCTCGGTAAATCCTCATGCAACAAGTACAAAATCTTGAGAGTGGATCGTCTAGATAGTTACGAGTACGAAATCTATGACTTTGCCTCCGATTCGTGGAAGTGTGTTGGTGTGATTACCGAGAGGTTCTGCGGTGGTGGCATTTCGATGAAAGGAAATACTTACTGGTGTGCTCGGCCTCTAGAGGGTCTCTTCTTACTATGTTTTGATTACTCAACAGAGAAATTTACGAGGATGTCTCTTCCGGAGGACCCGGGTGATACTCATGCTTACCCTATTGTGGATTTATCAGTGAGTAGAGAAGGGCAACAACTTTGTTTGCTGTATACTATCATAGATAATACAATCCAAACAAACGTATGGATTGCAACTAAGAGTGAGAGTACCGGAGCAATGTCATGGAGTAAGTTTCTAACAGTGGAGAGAAGCGATTTTATCTATCATCTTCAGTTAACTGAGGGGTCAAGTTTCTTGCTCGACGAGGAGAACAAAGTTTTTTTGTCTTGTAATGTCTCCAAGAACATCATACACATTATGGGAGAGGATAAATACGTAGAAGTGAATCATCATGGTGCAAAACCTACATCTCGTGGCTCCTTTCTCGTGAGTTATGTTCCAAGTTTGGTTCAAATCCAAAAAGCTATCTAGTTGTCATGCATTATCTAATCCACCTCCATATGTTTTATAATTAAGATATATATAAATGTACCCTATCTTCTTCTTATTTTCTTTTTATTTTTATTCAAAGAAAGATATATGTAATGCCATAATGATTTAACCTTAAGGGAAACAAGTATCATTTTTATGCCAAAACATGTCATTGATATCGAGTAGTGACATTGGGACAAAACAAAACAAATATAAGGTCGGTACGGTACAACAAGGATTGTTTGGAGCGCACGTTAAAGATAAAATTCATCAGTATTTTTGTTTGTTTACTTTTTCTTAAGCGGCTCTGTCTACTCTTTCCTGGGAAAATACCCTTTATAAAACAGTTGAAATGTATGCTTAAGGGTATGACGACTTTGACATAATCAAGATTCTTGAAAAACCAAAATCAAAAACATAATAAATGTACTTATTCGACTTTGACCTCACAATGTCACAAGGATATACAGTAATAAACTATAGTGACTCAACATTATTTAATAGGTACCAACTTTACAAAATTAAAAGATTAAAACAAAATACTTAGTAGCTCACTAGCTCCATTGGTCTTTTATTATTAACTAAGACCTGATTTCCTTGGAAGTTATTTAATCACAACTCACAAATGCTTTGAGATTTTTTAGTTTCACGTGCATTTATTATTACAAAATTGAAAAGCTAATAAACTAATTACAATTAAGTTTATTAGTTGAACAAAATATACAACTTTTTGTTAAAGAACAGAATACATTAAATTTATTAAATATTTAGTATACACAAACTTTATAAACTACGAAAAATTAATAAGAAAAGAGCAAAAAGTAATCGTAACCCTATATACAGTATATATGATCTCAATATCTCATGATCTCATCTTCCCATATTGTCCGAGTAACAAAAACAAAAAAATCTAACCATAACTCTCTCTCTAGAAATGACGAACATAATAAACCTTCCAGAAGATCTAGTAGTGGAGATATTCTCTAGGATTTCGGCTGTATCTCTGGCGCAGCTGCGATCAACATCGAAAGGATGGAACGCTCTGATCGGAGATGGGAGACTTGCCAAGAAGCACTCTGCTAATGCACCAAAGCAGTCTCTGGTCATCGTGGTTACTAATCTTAGGGTTTGTCTATTGAGCGTCGATCTCCGTGGAATGCACGACAACGTTGCTCCATCTGCTAAGGTCTCAGCTCCGTTTAGCTTGAAAGGTCCTAAACCACATGCTTCAGAAGAAGTCGATATACGCGAGGTCTTTCACTGCGACGGCTTATTGTTGTGCACCACCACAGACGATAGACTCGTTGTTTCGAACCCGTGTTCCGGTGAAACAAGGTGGATACCGATCCCATCAAAACATTATGACAAGGAAATCCACATGTATGCTCTCGGTAAATCCTCGTGCAACAAGTACAAAATCTTGAGAGTGGATCGCCTAAATCGTTACGAGTACGAAATCTATGACTTAACCTCCGATTCGTGGACGTGTGTTGGTGTGATTACGGACTTGTACTCGAGTGGTGGCATTGCGATGAAAGGAAATACTTACTGGTGTTCTCGTTCACCAGAGGGTCCCTTGTTAGTATGTTTTGATTACTCAACAGAGAAATTTACGAGGATGTCTCTTCCGGAGGACCCGGATGATACTCTTGCTCACTCTGCTTTGAATTTAACAGTGACTAGAGAAGGGCAACAGCTTTGTTTGTTATCTACATCTTTCTCTGAGACAACAAACCAAATAAACGTATGGATTACAACTAAGAGTGAGAGTCCTGGAGCAATGTCATGGAGTAAGTTTGTAACACTGTCGCGAACGCGAGCCGATTTAATCTCTCGTCTTCAGTTTATGATGGGGACACGTTTCTTGTTCGACGAGGAGAACAAGGTTGTTTTGTCTTGTAATGGCCCCACGGAGCACTCCAAGAACATCATACACATTATGGGAGACGATAAATACATAGACGTGAATCATCATGGTGCAGAACCTACATCTCCTGACTGCTTTCTCCTGAGTTATGTTCCAAGTTTGGTTCAAATCCAACAAGCTATCTAGTTGTCATGCATTATCAAATCCACCTCCATATGTTTTATAATTTAAAAATATATATATGTACGCTATCTTCTTCTTTTTTTGGTCAAAGAAAGATATATGTAATGTCATTATGATTTACAACTATCATTTTTATGCCAAAACATATCGATCTTGATATCGAGTAGTAACATTCGGACAACAAATATACGGTACAACAAGGATTGTTTGGAGCGCACGTTAAAGATAAAATTCATCACTTCATCAGTATTTTTGTTTTCTTTACTTTTTCTTAAGCCGGTCTACTCTTCGCTAGGAAAATACCCTTTAAAACAGTTGAAATATGCTAAAGGGTCTAACGAATCATAATTTATTCAAGATTCTTAAATACCAAAATGAAAAACATAAAAATGTACTTATTCGACTTTGACCTCACAATGTCATACATATAAATAAAAACACCGTGATCGATATTATTACTAGGTTGCAAAAACTAATCGACCTAAAATCAATCACTCATCTTTCTAGGAATTTCACTCAAACAAGTACCATCATCTTTTATCTTGTCTTGATCATACCAAAGGAACAAATGAAAACGAATGCAGACCAATCAATGACGAGGGTAAAAAGGCCTTAAGCCCATATTACAAACGACGCCGTTTCTTGAAAAGGGAATTTATTTCTGTAATAGAAAATTGGAAAATATTATCAAATCAAAATCATCAGAAATCAGACCAAAAGCAAAGGGAAAAAAAAAAAAATCAAAAGAGGTTTATTTTTCGCTCGCCTCTCTGTTTACCCTTTTCGTTTCGCTCTTCTCTTATATAATCAAAAATCCCGTTTTTGTTTTCTGAATTCCCATTGTCGCCATCCTTTTCTAGGTTCTCTTCGTAACTCATCGCTTGGATTTCTCTGGTACAATCAATCATCTTCACCTCAATTTTAGAGCTTCTCTTCTGCTTGTCGAAATCAGAAATCATTCTCTATGATATGATATACAAAGTGTGGCGTCTAGATTGTTAGGTGGAATTGTTGAATCGCCTAGATTTTCTAGGTTTTTGTTTTTGTCTAGGCTGCAGCAATTTACATTTAAGATTTGCAATTGGTTATCACTGTATCTGTTCGTTTCTCTAGCTTGAGAGCGTGAAAGGTGTAGAATTTTCTCCAAACGGATCTGAATTGAATTCTATGTTGCTAGTGAGTGAATGCTTAGCTATGCGAAATCTCTGTTGCTAGATTTTGAAACGACATTTGTTAGGGTTTTTGGTGATGTTCTATAAAAGCGTCAATTTCAATAAACCACTTTTAATTTCTGGAAACTGAGAATGCTTTGTACAATTGAATGGTGTTGAACCAAGAAACACACAAAATCTATTGCAGTAGGGAAAGAAATGTGACTAACCAGTCACGGTTAATGAAGTTCCTTTATTATGTGATAGTTTCTTAGGTTTTCTCTTTGGTGGAGATTTGGTTTTCTCTTTGGTGATGATTTAAATGCGATCTAATATATTCATATTTGCTAAATGTTCTGCTACTTGATGAATATAGACCATGGACGACCCTCATGGAAACGACGGTGGAATGCACAATGGCGAAGATGAAGAGGATCAATTGAATGTGGAATATGAAGATCTCGACTTGGACCATATCGATAATGGTGACGGAATGATGGATGAGCATGGTGATGGTGTGATGAATGAGGGAGTGGAACTGGAGCTGGAGACAGACATTCCTTCTCACCGCGGTGAAGTTGTAGACCGTGGCAGTGACAATGGAGATCAACTGACATTGTCCTTTCAGGGACAAGTTTATGTTTTTAACAACGTCTTGCCTGAGAAGGTGATAACTTTTACAGAGAATATGGTCAATGTACTCAGCTGGTTGGTGTTTTTAAAGCGTTGCTCGATGTGTTTTGACTGCAGGTTCAAGCTGTGCTGTTGTTGCTTGGTGGACGGGAAGTGCCACAGACGCTCCCTACAAACCTAGGATCTCCTCCTCAGAACAATAGGGTACTGGTAATGAAAGATTTAATACCATTTTGGGAAGATTAAGTTTTACTCTCGAGTCTTGTTGCTGAGTAATGATTATATGAAGCAGGGTCTATCTGGTATTCCTCAAAGGCTTAGTGCTCCGCAGAGGCTGGCCTCGTTGATCAGGTTTAGGGAGAAGCGAAAAGGGAGGAACTTTGATAAGACTATTCGCTACACAGTGAGGAAGGAGGTAGCCTTGAGGTACGTTTTTTTTATGTGTAAAAATCAGCAACTAGGTTTTGTTTTTGTGTCCATGGCGTTGTTTTGTGATTAAGGTTTCGTTTTCCGGCATGCAGAATGCAGCGGAAGAAAGGTCAGTTCACATCTGCCAAGTCAAGCAATGATGAGTCTACATCCGCTGGATCTGATTGGGGTTCAAGCCAGAGCTGGGCCGTAGAAGGGTGTGAGACTGAGAGGCCTGAGGTTTTGTAAGTTGAAATATGCTTTAACTTTTTCTTACGTTACAGCAACTCTAAAACATGGAAACAATAATTGATTTGGCTACTGTTTTGGGATGTTCTCTTCACTTTCATAAACTTTTTCTAGATACTTGAAAACTCTGAAACTTAGACTTAGCATCAAAGCATCACTCATTTCATACATGGAACTAATCAACACAATAATTGAGACCCATTATGTTGTTGCATCTTAAGTCTTTTTATAGATTGTTGACAAAGCCTATCTCTGATCTTTTTTCTTGTTCAAATGGTTGTGAACATGTTCAGATGTCTGCACTGTGGAACCAGTGAGAAGTCAACTCCAATGATGAGACGTGGACCTGAAGGTCCAAGAACACTTTGCAATGCATGTGGTCTAATGTGGCGAAACAAGGTAAGCTAACTATACTTTCTCTATTGAAATTGATTTGCCTCGTCTCTAGTCACACTTTTGTGACTCATTCATTGATCTATGTATTCCAACTAGAAACCTAACAAGAACATAACTCTTTGATAATTTCAGGGGATTTTAAGAGACTTATCCAAAGCTTCTCCTTACCAAACAGCTCAAATCCTGCCTGAAGATAAGAATGATGTGAGTTTTTAACATCAGTTTTAAACTATATTTATCTCTGCGCTTGGAGTTTGATTTGTTGCTCTCTAAGATGACATTTGTTTTCTTTCAATCTCTTTGTTGCAGGACTCAACTCTTGAGGCCGATCAAATGATCGCAGTAGATGCAGACATTAGCAACTCCCAGTAAGATCTGAGAAGCCATTGCAAGCAAGAAACAGTGGTTAGCATTTCTTGTGATAATGGTATCTAAGTTGGAATTTAGGGTTCTTTGAGCTCATTGTAATTTGCTCATCAGTCTTCAGTTTCTCTCATCTGTGAGTTGTGATTTTTTTCTTTTCAGAATTTAGAAAACAGTAAACTTTTTTCGTACTACATAAAATATTTTTAATCAAATGCGTACTTAGCAGATGATTGAATAGTACTTTTATCTTATAATAATAAATATAAAGATCTAAACCATGATTGGTTATGTCGTGCAACCCAAGTGATGTTTACGTCGTACACACGTTCACCAGATTTTTATACGAACTTTCTCTGCAACTTCACTATTCTCTCTCTAACTAATACCACATTATATTTTGATAAGCTTTCTTATTAAAACTGATAAAATATGTAGTTAGATCTGAGAACAAGGAATAAAGAAAAAATGATATTTAAATTGATATCGTTAAATTAATGGTGAGAGAAGCCATGTTCTTCTTTCCCGGGAAAATCTCTCTTCTTCTTCGTTGTCTCTTTCCCAGAAATAGAAAAAAAAAAAAACAAACTTTTTCCGTAGTCTCTGGAAATGCAGGCCAAATATAGTAATGTCTTAATTCAATTGAGTTTCTTTCTTTTCGGTTTATGGGAAAATCAATCAAATAGCTCTAAATTAGTTTCTCTCTTTTCTCTGTGATTTGACAGAGAGGTTAGAGAGATAGATAGAGAGAGAGAGAGAGTGATTTCGGTTTTTGGTTGCCTTCTCTCTTCTTACGAGTTTGGCCTTCTCTCTCCGTCACACCAAAATTAACAACGACCGAATCAAAAGGTCGTTTCTATTTTCCTTCTTTTCTTCATTTTTCCCCGAGAAAATTTATAGAGGAAGAGGAAGAGAAAGCTGGGTGAGACGAAGGAAGGAAGAATGAGCACTTCGTCGAGCAACGGATTGCTCCTGACGTCAATGTCAGGACGACACGACGACATGGAAGCTGGGTCGGCCAAAACTGGAGAGTATTCCGATCACGAAGAGCTTCAACACGATCCCAATGATCCTTTCGACCTCGATAACACCAAAAACGCCTCCGTCGAATCGCTCCGTCGCTGGAGGGTACTCATTTCTTCTCCGATTTCCCCAAATTGATTCTCTCTCATTTCCTTTGATTATTCATCATCAATTCAGATTCATTCGATCGCTGATTTTGAATCGTGTAAATTTGTATGTAGCAAGCGGCACTTGTGTTGAACGCATCACGTCGATTCCGATACACTCTGGATCTAAACAAAGAGGAACACTATGACAATCGAAGGAGGATGATCAGAGCTCATGCTCAAGTCATAAGGGTACATTCTATTGATTTCACCACCAATTCATCTTCTTCTGCATTTTGTGATCTCACATGAGTAATTGCTTTTATGAATCAGGCAGCATTGCTTTTTAAGTTGGCTGGAGAACAACAAGTTGGTATGTGTCTCCTATTTTTCTTTCTTTCACATACGTCAAATCAAATTTCTCTGCTGTTTTCTTATTATTGCTTTCTTTGGGGGATCAGCGTTTGGATCATCAACTCCAGCAGCTTCTACTGGAAACTTTGACATTGACCTTGAAAAGCTTGTTACAATGACCAGGAACCAGAACATGTCCAGTCTTCAGCAATATGGAGGGGTATGATCCCACACTCGTATTGGATTTGGGAAGATTTTCATGGAAACTGACATTAAATATTGCCTTTCAGGTCAAAGGTGTTGCAGAGAAGTTGAAGTCAAACATGGAGCAAGGAATCGAAGAGGATGAGAAAGAGGTGATCGATAGGAAGAATGCATTTGGATCTAACACGTATCCAAAGAAGAAGGGAAAAAGCTTTTATGTAAGCAACTGTCACACTTTCTTCAAAATTTATTTTTCATAACTTCTTCGGTGGTGTTCTCGCAGTTTATGGATTTACTCATACGTTTTTATTTATAACTCTCTGTTGTCTTAAAGATGTTCCTCTGGGAAGCATGGCAAGATTTAACTCTCATCATCTTGATCATAGCGGCTGTGACTTCACTTGCATTGGGAATAAAAACAGAGGTATTCTTGCCTTTCATATAAGTTCCTTCGTAACTCACTTATTCTCTGTCTTATCTACTTTCTGCTGGCTACTACTTCATCAGGGTTTGAAAGAAGGTTGGCTTGATGGTGGAAGCATTGCCTTTGCTGTGTTGCTTGTCATTATTGTTACAGGTATGGACATGCTTTTGCCTCTGTTTCCTACATTTTGTATTTCTGTTTTATGTCAAGTTCTTTATCCAGTTAAGATGAATCTTTCTTTACGCTTTTACTCTTTTGATTCTTTCAGCTGTTAGTGACTATCGCCAATCTCTTCAGTTCCAAAATCTCAACGACGAAAAACGAAATATACAACTAGAGGTGCTTGCTTTAACATCTTATATTGTTTGCAATTATATGTTTTTAGCTAAACGAGAACTCTTACAGGTCATGAGAGGAGGGAGAACAGTGAAGATTTCAATCTATGACGTTGTTGTTGGAGATGTTATACCTCTTAGAATAGGTGACCAGGTAGGTATCTTTTGTCAGTATATACTCATCTGTGGCTTCAGAATTATACTACACTTTGGCCTTACGTATGGTATCCATCTAGGTCCCTGCTGACGGAGTGCTAATAGGTGGTCATTCTCTTTCTATTGATGAATCTAGCATGACCGGTGAAAGCAAGATTGTGAGTTCACTAGAATTCTGCATGTGCAATATGACGCTGATCTTCTCTTTTTACTTGCTAACACATACCTTTGTTGCAGGTTCACAAGGATCAAAAATCCCCTTTTCTAATGTCTGGTTGTAAAGTAGCTGACGGAGTCGGTTCTATGCTGGTAACAATCTTTGAGGCTTTTGTCCTTTTATGACTTACTTGTTTCCGAGATTTGATCGTTGTGAGTCTTTCAACAGGTTACTGGTGTTGGAATCAACACTGAATGGGGATTGTTGATGGCAAGCATCTCAGAGGATACTGGAGAAGAAACCCCCTTGCAGGTATATCATCTTGATCACCTTTTAGTTGGGTTATGGTCTCCATAATGTCTTGGACAAGCCTAACAATTCCTCTCGGTAATCTTATAACAGGTGAGGTTAAATGGTCTTGCAACCTTCATCGGCATTGTGGGGCTCTCAGTGGCTCTTGTTGTCCTGGTGGCTCTTTTAGTGAGGTAATTTGATTTACCTTGGTCAGTAAATATGTTTGGCTTACAAGTTCAAGTTCATGCCATGTTAAGGGATGTAATCTTGAGTTTTTGTCCAGGTACTTTACCGGAACTACCCAAGATGCTGATGGAACAACCCAGTTTATCAAAGGGACGACTGGTATCAGTGACATTGTAGATGATTGTGTGAAGATATTTACAATCGCTGTAAGTATTGATTCCACTTTCGTGATTATGTTTATTCAATAGACAATTTAACTAAGTCTGGCATTTGTTAGGTTACTATTGTGGTTGTGGCAGTGCCTGAGGGACTTCCCCTAGCAGTTACCCTCACGTGAGTCTTACTTAATATAATCCACTCAGAAAATATCTAACTACATCGTAATTGTTGATTTACTTTTTTCTTGACTCCATGTTTGCAGTTTGGCTTACTCAATGCGAAAGATGATGGCTGACAAAGCTTTGGTAAGAATCCAAACGGGTCTACTCGCTTTAATTGTTTCTTCTTGATTATTGTCTGAAGACTCTGACCACACTTCAACTACTAACAGGTTAGGAGGCTTTCAGCTTGTGAAACCATGGGGTCAGCAACGACAATCTGCAGTGACAAAACTGGAACTTTAACTTTGAATCAGGTTAGTGTCTAGTAAAACTCAGCATCAACGCAATAGAACTTCTTCATTGACATGAAAATCATCATGCTAATTTTACCCCCTTGCAAAAATACAGATGACTGTGGTTGAAACTTATGCTGGAGGATCGAGGATGGATGTAGCAGACAACCCCTCTGGGCTCCACCCTAAGCTCGTTGCCTTAATAAGTGAGGGTGTGGCACAGAACACCACAGGAAACATTTTTCATCCCAAGGTAACCATCTTAGTTCTTATTATATTAGAACTTCCAAAATGCCGATTTCCTTGCCCTAAGCACTGATGTTATCAAATGAGGGATGTTAAGTGCGCATGTTGTTTTACTATAGGATGGTGGAGAAGTGGAGATTTCTGGATCTCCCACCGAGAAGGCTATTCTGTCTTGGGCGTATAAGGTATCAAATGTTTGTTTACTCTGGTCCATCTTTGACATATTTTCCCTTTTCTGGGCAATATATTGAAAGAAGCTATTGTTGCAGTTGGGGATGAAGTTCGAAACCATCAGGTCGGAGTCTGCTATCATCCATGCTTTCCCTTTCAACTCAGAGAAAAAGCGTGGAGGTGTTGCTGTGCTTCGAGTAATTTCTTGATCCTTTCTCCAGTTTTAAGATTAGGGAATTAGTAAAATGTTGTGGAGGCATGGGAATTAGTTGTTCACCGCTATGCTCTGCTGAATTTTCAGTTGTTAAACATGAACATCTTCTCATCGCCGTTTAGTGAGGAAAGTCTCTTAAAATATTATTATATGAAGCTGATCAGGAGTATACTAATTCACTGCAGGGTGATTCTGAAGTTTTCATTCACTGGAAGGGAGCAGCAGAGATAGTCCTAGCTTGCTGTACACAATTCATGGACTCAAATGGTACCCTGCAGCCCATTGATGAGCAGCAGGTGAGGTGGCTCAAAGATTTGGAAATAACAATCTCTCCAAGTTCTTATTGGTGCTAGGAGAGGACTAAACATTTGCCTATACTATGCCTATCATCTTCAACTTTGAAAACATGTTTGTAAATTGTTTTACAGGAATTTTTCAGACTTGCTATTGATTCCATGGCCAAAAATAGCCTGCGATGTGTTGCTATTGCATGCAGAACACATGAGCTGAACAAAGTTCCCAAGGAACAGGAGGAGTTGGATAAATGGGCTTTACCAGAAGATGAACTGACTTTGCTTGCTATCGTTGGTATAAAGGTAGGCATGCTGACAGCTTTTTTTGGGTAACTTGAGGTTTGTTTTCTGTATTTGATTTTCCTTTCTTCCAAAGATTTTGATTTTCCTGGAAAATATTTTACTCTATATAGGATCCTTGTCGTCCTGGTGTCAGAGAAGCAGTGAGAATTTGCACCAATGCTGGTGTTAAGGTAGGCTCCTAGCCTCTTCGAACTTTACAGTAGTTGTCTATAGATGATTAGCTGAAATGATCTTGATCGTCTTTTTCTATTTATTGCTGCCATATTTTCATGATTATTGGCTTTTGCAGCAACTGTAATGGCAGTTAAATGCTGTTGTAATATTATTCATGATCATCGTTTTGTTCATGTTATACCTGTCAACCTTTCTGTATCTGTAAAGTTTACAAATGAAACGTTTGTGTTATCTAGGTAAGAATGGTGACTGGTGACAATATTCAGACAGCAAAAGCAATTGCTTTGGAGTGTGGTATCCTTTCTTCAGATGTAGACGCCGTTGAGCCTACTATCATTGAAGGAAAAGTGTTCCGTGAGCTATCTGAAAAAGAGAGAGATCAAGTAGCCAAAAAAATAACGGTATGATAGTGAAACAGTCAAAGGATCATGTGACCTTCCTGCTGCTATTTCAAATATTGACTTGAGGTAAAATGCAGGTGATGGGTAGATCCTCTCCTAATGACAAGCTTTTACTTGTTCAAGCATTACGGAGAAATGGAGATGTTGTTGCTGTCACTGGTGATGGTACTAATGATGCTCCAGCACTCCACGAGGTTAGAATTCATATCTCCTTTTTGTAAGATAAAAAAATCTTGTGTTTTGTGTTTCATTATCAAAATCTGACGTTTCTTCTATTTCTTTGTACTATAGGCAGACATAGGTCTCTCAATGGGTATATCAGGAACAGAAGTTGCTAAAGAGAGTTCGGACATCATCATTTTGGATGACAATTTTGCTTCAGTAGTAAAGGTTAGTCCACTAGAGCAGCTTATAAATTTTCTTTTAGCTTATCCTTAATCTTTGAGTGTGTACATCCACAGCTATTGTTTATGCTTTTATAATTATGCATTTCTGTTTACTCTTTTCCAGGTTGTTCGCTGGGGACGTTCTGTGTACGCAAATATCCAGAAATTCATACAATTCCAGCTTACAGTGAATGTTGCAGCTCTTATAATCAATGTTGTAGCAGCAATGTCTTCTGGTGACGTTCCTCTAAAGGCTGTACAGGTGAATTAATTGTCCCCTGTCTTGATGCATTCTAAATGGTTGATCTTTCCAAGTCAAGTTAAATATAATGGTGTTCTGTGATACAGCTGCTTTGGGTCAACCTTATCATGGATACTCTTGGAGCACTTGCACTCGCTACAGAGCCACCAACCGATCATCTTATGCATAGAACCCCTGTTGGAAGAAGGTAATAACATCATGACCATGATGTTTTTCCTGATAGTTTTATATTGTGGTTAATTTCTGTCGTATGGTTCGTGATGGTTTGTTTCTGGATTTGCAGGGAACCTCTTATAACAAACATCATGTGGAGGAATTTGCTTGTCCAGGTGACTTGTTCAGCCCAAAAAAAGCATCTTGATGTTTATTTATTTCTAAACATTTTCTAAAGTTTACAATTTGGAGATGTTGCAGTCATTCTATCAAGTGGCTGTGCTCCTAGTTCTCAACTTTGCAGGCTTGACCATTCTCGGCTTGAACAAAGACAACCATGCCCATGCTGTGGAAGTGAAGAACACTATGATATTCAATGCCTTCGTTATGTGTCAAGTAAGCAAACACATCTCCATTTTACATCTCATTAATTCTTAAAATCATATGGATTAATCATTCAATAATCTCTTCCAGATATTCAACGAATTCAATGCAAGGAAACCTGATGAAATGAATGTTTTCCGTGGAGTATCTAAGAACCCTCTTTTCGTCGCAATTGTTGGAGTCACTTTTATCCTTCAGGTAATAGACAATAACACAAAACCTCTTTGTGCTCTGTTCTTCTCTCTTGACGCTTTGATAGTAAAACTAACACTTGTGGTCGTAAATGCAGATCCTCATCGTTACTTTCCTCGGGAAGTTTGCCCATACTGTAAGACTCAGTTGGCAATTATGGCTTGCTTCTATTGTCATCGGACTTGTCAGGTTAGTCCAATTTCTTCCCAAAAGGTTTAAGCTCTAAGTGTTCATGAAACATGGATTCCTGAACAAAATTCATTCCCCTCTTGCAGCTGGCCACTTGCAATAGTTGGAAAACTGATTCCTGTGCCCAAGACTCCGATGAGCGTCTACTTCAAGAAACCGTTCCGTAAATACAGAGCTTCAAGAAATGCATAAAGACATAAATAGATTTCATCTTCCTCATCCTGCAACTACAGAAGCAATAACAGAAAACCTTTATGACAATGGCCTTAAACCTCTAACCTTTCTTTCTTTCTTTTTAAAATGGTAATAGTATCTTCAAAATGTATACTTCAAGATCCAATTCTTTGGTCCCCTTTTCATATTTTCTTCGTCTTTTTTTGTATGATGTAAAAGTGCAACTGTGAATTTGAATTGGATTTGTGGTTGTACTAATTGGAGTTTGGCTCAGTCTTTGGTTTCATAAAGTGTTGCTGCATCTACATGGAGGATTCTCTGTGTTCATCATTTCATCATCACACCAACCCAAAATCTTTGCTCACTAGATTTGGGAAACAAAGGACATGGTTTCAGAAAAAGCTAAGCTCACATGGCTCTTCTTCCTTCTTCATGGAGCCGCAAAACAAGACACTATCAACACTACATATCAATCTTCCAAACAATTATTGTGTTGCGTATTAAAGAAGCAAAATTTATAAAATGCAAAGACTATGATGAGAAAGCAGAATCCAATTGTAAATCTCAATAGTTTTCTTTCCTAAACAAAGGCAAACAAAACTAAACTCGCCTTAAAAAAAACCAACTTATATTGAAAATAAACTTACATAACCAAAAACAATAACCAAATTTAAATTTTAAATTGCTTACACTTAATGAAAACTGAGAAATCCCATGGTTGGAGATCACTTTAGAAATGTGTGGTGAGATCAGCAAAAGCATGAATAAGCCAAGTGGTTCTTCTTTGAGATGTAAGGAGAGATGAAGTCTGTAGCAAGTCCAGATGTCTCTGAGATTGCAGCTGGAACTAGCACCTGAGGCTTACCTAAAGCAATCCTTTTTCCAACTGTGTTTGCATAAAACAGACCAGATATGGCTGGAACAAACACATCACTTCTTGAGCTTATGTAGAAGTCGATAACGTTTTCATACTCAGAATTCTCTGATTCAAGGTACTTTGATCTCTTACTTGCCGGCATTATCGCCTCCTGCCATTGTTTCAAGTGACAAAATCAAGATTATAAACAATGTAAACAAACTTTCTTGGGACTAATTAAAGAATGTTTGATTGATCTACACAAACCTTTGTGAACGTTTTAGGGAAGATGTCCTTGAGAATATTGAGGCTACTGTCCCATCTTGGTTGAGTCAGATAGATAGTTGTGTCGCCGGCAAATCCAAGCTTCCTCAAGAACAAAGCAATCTCTTGCGCGTTGTAACAAGTCTTGGACCCTACTACACCTGTTGAATGACAATTCTTCTTCTCGAGTATGTCGATTCTAAGGTCTACCGCTACGAAACGACCACCTGACTTGCGGCTATGAGTTCTTAACCGCTCGATCATTGACTCAACCACTGCATTCACTTCAGGTTGCAACTCCAATGAGCCAAACATTGCCAAACACGCCACAGGATCAGTTTCGCCGTCTTGTGAGGATTTTCTCAGGTTCACAGAAGGGAAGTATGATGCTACTCGAATGTTTCCTTTTGATTTGAAGATGGGATCAATGTGCTCCTTGATGTAATCTTCTGTAACTCGTGAAGGGACCTTCACAATCGCAATGTTCCTTAGAGATACTTCTTCAGGCAATTCCTTGACAACTTTGACGACGTTGTCCAAGCTTTTGATTAGTTTATCAGCATCATAAATGTCTTCAAAACTCCTGATAATAAACCAGTGAATTTGATTAAGAAACCTTAGAGAAGTTAGCAAAAACCAAAATGTCATGAACATACAAAAACAAACTCTAACCTTTCATCACCCGGTTTGCTTCCTCTTATATCAGGAAGCACTAGTGTTGCTCCAAGATGCTTTGCCACCATTACAGCATCAGTGACCTACAACAAGTTAACAAAACTTAACTATACAAACAACAATAGGGAGAAGAGTAGAATTTAAAAAGGACTAAGCTTTAAGAGTTTTTATAAAGCATACCTGAGAGATATGGTACTCAGGACCATTCGTTAGTGAGAATGTAACATAGCCTTTAGATGATACCGCTTCATCTGAAACATTGAGTCCTTAGTAATCGATGATGCAAACCAAAAACAAGAAACTTCAGAAGACAAGAGACTGAGTAAGAATCACAAACCGGAAAGCAATGTGGGCCAGCAAGGATTAAGGTCACTGTTATCCTCCATCCAAGGTCCTTTGATGCCATCGACGGCTCCTACAAGACTATCTTTCACAGATACTCTAGATCCTTCGAATTCAATATCGTGTGCATCTCCCTGTGCTTTCTCCTGTAAATTACCCAAAAATGAAAGAAAAACTTTAGAGAGTGATTATAGGGTTTAGCTACAAGAAAAAGGCTCAAGCTTTTTCTACTATTAAGAGATGTAATCAATCATGTCTTATTGATCAGCAGAATAACTATTGGTGATCCACATTTTTTTTTTCTAAAAATGGAAACTTTTTTTTTTGAAGAAAAATCAAGCAAATTTCACTGAACAGGCTAAAAGTCTCTACATAGGATTAGATCTGCTTCAAATGTATCAGATAAAAGTATCAACAAGGAGTAAAAGAGCTGACACTGAAGAAGAGAAACCGAACAGAACCCACTTGAATTAGCTGGATCAGTATCACATTCGAGCAAGAAACTTTACAAAAAAAAAAGGAAAAAAAACTGTCGGCAGAGAACAGAACCTGAAGAGAATCGAAGTAATCTCGATGAAGCATCTGTCCGAGCATCACAAACATGGTAATGGTGAGAATACCAGCAACGACTTGCCTCAAATCCACACCCATTTTACTCAACAAATTGTGGAATAGGGAAAACAGAGGATTCTGAGAAGATGAATAAAAGAAATAGAGAAGGAGGAAGAAAGAAAAAGAGAGTCCAACAAAAGAGGCAGATAGAGACAAGCTATCCTCCTCAGATATGAAATCTCAGTTCCCTTTGATGGTTTTTGTAATTAAAGTTTCTGCCCGAAAAGCTCCTTTTTTAATTTCCTGGGCAGTGTTATTGTCAGTGTTGATTTGTTGAAGTTCAAGTCTTACGCTATCAACTACACTTCACAGCCACCGACACTTTTGCCGTGAATGTTGTTGGTATACTCTTTAACCGGTTATCAAACCAAGACATTCTGGTTTCATTTTTCAACCACTTTTCTAATTACTCTTTAGTCTTTGTTTTAGCAATCTTAATTTACTTGCAATCTTAATTTAATTTAGTCAAATGGACTGTGGTAATATTGGCTAAAAAGCCAATCTGTAGTACCAAACTAGTAAAAAGCATGAAAGTCAAAAAAAAAAAATTTTAGCTAAATTAATTAAACTGTCAAATAATTTATACAACCTTTGAAATCACATATACTCATCATTAATAGTACCAAGAAAATTAAAGAAGGCACTAATGATATACACAATCTTGTCTTCCATTGTTTATAGTAAAGTTGGAATGTACCAAAGGGGAAGTAATTATTAAAACAGACAAGTTATAAGCAAATGATAAAGCACCGGATTACAGATAGCCAGGTTTTATAGGAATAAAACATATTATAAACGTATTTTGTTTGACATGACTAATTTAGCAACTATAATACTACTCAAAAGCAATTTGTAATGATGCATATAGCTTTTGTTAGAGGCCACGGACGAGTTCAATGTTCAAATGCTCAACTTTTTGCTAATCACACTTTGTTTGCTGATGATCGTTTAATTTTCAACGTACTACTACCACATGATCATTAGTACAATACTGGTCATGCCTCAATAATTATATGTTCCTCTCTATTCAATACCGGTTTACACTCGAAAACAAAAATGGTGGAACATCAGAAAAAAAGAACACACATGTTGATCAATGATTATAATTCATGCATGACACTGTATTTTGTTTTTTCTTGTCCTCTAAGTTTGTGGGGGGGGGATCACAAATGAACACTTGATTGATTGTTGAATGGTAGCGTAACAAAGTGTGATGCAACTACACACACACCACTTCAAAACTTTTGATGTAACTCTCTTTATTTGCCTCTGCTCATCAGTAATATCTACGCACTCGTATTATTACGCATGATTTTGGAAACACATCTAAGCAATACTAAACGACAAAATATTATTTCCAACAAATAAATAATGAACGAAACCCTATTTTCAAGTTACATAGTCACAGAGAGACCCCCATCAATAGATTTGTCTTTGCATTTTTTCCTTTGTATTATGAGCTCTAAAATCGCCTTTCCTTATAACCAAAGTAACCTTTTTGTCTTTCTTTTCTAAGATTCTTTTTTTTTCTTACCTTCGCACCATTTATTTTCAGGTTGTTTGGCATTATGATTTGTCATAAGTTTTTTTTTTGAATTCCGGCACGAATTATGTGACTTATGTCTCATCCTAGATCCGTGACCTTTCTAGTTAGAGACTTATTTTCTTAAAATGAATTTTTTGGTTATATTGTAACTTATTGTAACGTACTAAGAAGCATGATTTCTCTTCTCTCATCACGTTCTCTCGGTTGTCTTTAAAATATATAGAGTGTTCTTGAGATTTATAAAATATTGGAGAACCAATCAGATTAGTCAGTTTCTGTACCGATCAAGAAGAATTCTTAAATATATCTGGGATTTTTTCATATTTTCCAGTTCATTTGATTGTACGTTATTATAATATGTATAAATGTATTCTGATTGACTCGCTAGAAAGACAAAAGTATGAAGATCTTTGTTAGCAAGTAACCCAGTGCATGTGTGACTCTCTTTCCAGACAAATCCATTTTTTCTTCAAAAGAACTTAAATTGGTTATCCAATTTGAAAAAACAGAGTACACAAATGAATTTTTTTGAATATCTTCTAAAAATGGAGGAAATATTATCTTGGAATAGACCACAATCATCGAGCAGATTGGACAACAGATGTAAAAGACAAATGTGAAATGAAATGCATAATTCTAAATTTGGAAATCTGCCATTTACCGGATATGAAAACATACTAACCGGAGAGATCATTTGATTTGATTCTGATCGTATTCCGGTTTGTTTTATTTATTCATTTTTTTTTTTGAAGTTTTATCTTCGTTTTCGTCAAAGTACAAACACAGAAGTCTATTCTCTCTCTTTCTTCTGAGCAAAAATCAAAATGCAGCTCCAAACCCAATCCTTCGCTCTCAATCTCCTCCCATCTCCCAATTTCGGTAAACCCACTGAGAAACGCGAATTCGTCCCTCTAAAACGAGACCCATCCCGTCCAATTTCCCTCCGATGTTCCGTTTCCACGGCTTCGGACACGCCGCTGACGGCGACCAATCACCATCACCTCTCCGCTTCGAGTCACAAACCCTTTCCGGCGGAGGTTTCGAGGAGCATCATGGAGCTCTCCTCCGTCGGAACTCTCTCCACTTTGACCCACGACGGCTGGCCTCTCGGCGTCGGAGTTCGCTTCGCCGTTGACCAGGAAGGCACTCCTGTTCTCTGCCTCAATCGCACATTCTCCCCTGACAAGAGGTCTGCTCTTCATGTTCAGGTCATCATTTGCTCCATTTCACTCGATTTCTTCTCGAAAAGTGTTGTTTTTAAGAAAATCATGATTACGAATTGAATTGTCTTTGGCTATTGCTCTTCTGATCCTATCGTTTTGGTATTTGTGTTACGGAATCAGTTAGAGCAATGTGGATTGAGGACTCCTCAGTGTACGATACAAGGTAGCATTGCTCGACCAGGAGACGATATTGCTCTAAAGGTATGATTTTTATATCCAAAGAATCACAATACCAATCTTGGACTTACCTACATATGTACATTGTGTATGATAAGCTTGAAATGTTGATGCTTTTGCCCTTGGAACCCCAAATTTCTGTGAAAAGGAAAAAGCTTTCATTTTCTTTGTCTCTGTGTGTGTGTGTGTATTGGCTAGTTACATCCCAAATTTCAGGGAAAGTAGAAAAGCTTCCAATTTGTATTCATTTGTAATGTGTGTGTGTATGTGTATTGGGTGGTTGAAATCAAAGCATACACAAGACTTTAGCCAATTTCTCTATTCCCTGAGTGCTCTTGACAGTGAATGTTGCTAGGTTTATTTGGCCCACTATCTGATTTTATTCCACCACTTGAACTGAATCGGAGTTTACATGTTTTTTGTAGCGTCTTAGTGCTGCATGGAAGAAAAAGTATGGAGAAGAAGTTGAGGAAGACAGTCTATACGTAGTTGCAGTTGACCGTGTACTCCAAATGGAAGACTTCATGGAGGTTAGTAGCATTTGCAAGTTTCATTTGACACTTGAAAAACTCTCTCTCTCTGATTGTCTCAATTGATCTTTCTCTTGCAATCAGGACGGAATCTGGGTGGCGTCATCGGATTATAAAAGTGCAGCTCCTGATCCACTTAGAAATGTTGCAGAAGACATTGTCAACCAGATCAACGCTAACAACATGGAAGACATTTTCCGTTTCTGCAACGTATACGTCGATCTAGACTTTGTGGTTTCAGAGACAAAGATGATATGGATGGATAGGCTTGGATTCGACCTTAGAGTTTGGTCTCCGAGAGGTGTGTTTGATGTGAGGATTCCGTTTCCGATGGAAGTAACAGATGAGAAGGGAGCAAAATCATCTTTTAATGGAATGTCACAGCTCGCTTGGGAAGTAGAGAAAAGCTATTGCCCTGCAGATTTCGAAAAGGTTAAACAACTTAAGCAAGTTGTGGGATCATCATCATCATCACACAATGGAAGACAATAACATTACTATTGACTCTTTTTTTCTTTATTATTATTTTTTTTCTGTTGTTTCTCTTTGAAAAGCATATGTTCTGAGTGATAGGAGATTATGCAATGATCAATGGTTCAATTTTCCTTAACTAGTTTCTAAAAATGTCTTTGTAATTAATCTTCATATAAGTACTCCAAATTATAAAAGTTATTTACCCAACAAGAAAGAGAAGAACACGACACACACACACTTGTTAAAAACATGTAAAAGAGCAGAATATTTCTCCATCTGAATTTTCGTAAACAATTTTTCCTTGACAGCGATTCGCAAATCGTGCATATATTGCGAGTAAGATGACGATTGTTGACAAGAACCTTAACACTGCCTTCACCTACATTGTATATTCCACCAGGCATCATATACATTGCTTCTCTTCCAAGTAAACATTCATGATGGAGCGTGACGTTGCATTCATTGCACATAAAGACTCCATACTTTGGATCAGCTTCCTCTTCACAAATACTGACCACTTGCTTCCTAGGCTTGAAAATATTGTTTGGAAACTTATGCGATGGCATACAAGGTAAAGGGTTGAAGATCTCCTTGTTAATTACCCAGAAACTTGAGAAAAGACTAATTTTTTTCTTTTTTTCTTTGTGCAACTGAAAATGGAAAGTTTACAAGCGATGTGGAGTGGTTCGTTAGTGTGTTTTTCTGGGACAACCGATCCTACCATCTTCATGAAGAAAGTTTATAAAGCAAGAAGTCACTTTTATCTACAGCGAATGGATTATGGTTATGAAGATAATCCAGTTGACATCAGGAAACCAACTTCCAACTATGTGGTATATTCTATTCAACTATGTTTATACACTATGATTATTTTTTATCTTGTGCAAAGATTGTGTAAGAAAATGAATTGTTTTTTTAAGGCTGTCAAAAGAGTTTCCTTACATAGCGTGAGTGTTTGGATCTCCTTAGCACTTTTAAGTACTAAATTTTTAGGCATTTTGTAATTTTCTCTTTTACAAGAATAAGAAAATACTGTTTTGAGGTTTTACATAGCGTGATCACTTGATGAGGGTAGAATTCAGTTCAGCTTGAATTTAGGATAGAGGATCACAAGTATCTGGTAGAAAAGTATGTGGAAACATAGCAATGGATCGGCTCACGAAGATCATTGGTGATGTCCATCACCAATGACTATGTCTGTCCACCTCCCTCTTCTGCAACAGCGCCTCCAGCTCCAGCGCCATCTGCAACACCCGCTCCAGTATCTTCTGCAACACCAACGCCATCTTCTGCTCTTGACACCCCCACTCAACCGCAGTTGTCTTTTGGATCGCCAGTTCCTGACACATCAAGACATCGATCGGTAATTTACAAGAATCCTACTCTTCGTGAGAAGATTAAGATGCTTTTTTGTTGTGAGGGAGTGACATATGACTGTGAAAGTCCAGACTCATCCTTCCCTTGGAACCTCCTAGTGTTTATCGTTGTTTGAAACCAATGTGTGTTTTGTTGTTTAGGACCTTATGCTTATCCTTGTGTAAAAACCTAATTATGGTATGTGTGGTTTCTTGTTTAGGACCTAATGCTTATCCTTATTCATCATCTTTTACCCGCTGCTCATCTACTATAGTATAAAGAAATGCAAAATAAGTATCACTTGTCAATGATTAGTTCGCTCGTACATAAAAAACAAAAAAAAATGGAGAAACATAATTGGTATATTAAATGAATAGATTTAGAAATCTGATATTATGAGTTGAGCTGAATGTATTTTATTCATGTCTTTCAACTTGAGAATTACAAAGACGTGTGCTCCTTATTTATAGACTAAGCATAAGGAGACTATCATTTAACCTAGAGGACACTTGTCACTAGATTACATCTTCATAAAGCAAAACGGTTTTGAATGGTGATTGCTTTTTCCTTCTTCTGCGCATTGAGCATCTTTTCCGTTCTTGACCGTTGCAGGTTTGTGGAGTTCATTATGGGCCTTGTTTGAATCTCTTTGGGCCTCCACTCCTGCTGGACTTGACTCTTGTTCCCTTAAACACATCAAAACTTTTTTTTTTTTTGAACAACTAAACACATCAAAGCTATTGAGGAAGAAATGTAGAGAAACATACCAAAAGTGACCCTACTCGGATCTGATTGGTATAGTACACACATGACACATCTACATGTCCTGCTGATTTTTTTCTACTTATCTTGTTAATTACAAGAATCAAACGTGTTATTTGGATAACAGAGTTGAACAAGGCAATAGCAAAGGCTGGGAAAAAGGTTGTAGTTCTTGTTTCGCTAAATCACTTGCTACTGACAACTCTCGGAACTTACAAGGAAAACCGAAAACGTAAGCCTCAAGAATCAACTAAGGAATACTGCTTAAACTGTCCATACTGCTTGTTAGACTCAGAGAAGACGAACAACAATCAGCAGCAGCTGCTGAGGTAAACAAACCAAACCAAATTTTCATATTTGAATTGATGAACCATTGTTGATGTGCAGTGAGTGTGAGATTGTTTTCTCGAGTCATGGGCTCCCACTAAACGAACATATAATTTGTTGCAGGAAAAGTTCAATGAAGTAGAAGAACAAAACGAGAAGGTAAAAAAGAAAATGGAAAAGCTGAAGAAGAGACACAAAACACATTGCCAAAATCTGCATTATAGCCACGGAAACAGAGGAACTCGGCTATTAAAGATGGTATGTAGAAGAATCAAGAAACATTCCGAATTGCATAACTTTAAGACCCTTCTATGATCTGACTGTAATTTTACAAATTCATCTAAACTTTAAGGACCCTTCTCGGATCTGACTGTAATTTTACAAAAAAGGTAATTATCGACTTTTGGTTCACAGACAAAAATAAATAAAAAAAAAGGAAAAGAAAAACATTCACGTTCTGTTATTTATGGCCGTAATGGTAAAAAAAGTGGAAAGTTTGTATCTTCATTTATATATGGACTATTTCTACTTTATTTTATGCGATTACAAAATATTAAGCATATATATGTGACAAACAAAGGAAAAAATCTCTGTGAAAATTCCATTATTATGGAAATAAAACTATACGGACTAAAAAAAGGAAACTAGAATCATGAAAGTGCAACCACGTATATAATCTAATTAGTTTTTTCCAATGAATCATATAAGTTGTGCACCTTGTGCTTTTAGGGCAACAAAAAAAGAAAAGAAACCCAGTAACGATGCAAGCTCCTACAGTGGTAAGAATTTAAAATTCTTTTTTTTTTTTGACCAAAAATTTAGAATTCTCTGTTTCTTTCTTTTCTTTTCTTTGTTCTTCTCACCCAAGAAAGTGTCTATACTTTTCTTGGAAGTCCGCTAATATTCCTTGTGTTACCTTAGGAACAGACATCTGTTTTGCAAGTGAAAACTGGACACCAAGGCTGGCAAAAGAAGTTGACTAGAATATTTGAAGACATTGGTGAACCTTTTAGGGCATTTAGAAAGCCAAAAACTACACTGGTAAGAAATTCTCTGTTTTTTTATTTTATTTTTTATTATTACTATTTTCCCCATTAAAATTATCTGTATTTTTCATGATACATGGTCTTCTAATAGTCCGTTGTTAATTTACGAACAGACATGTGCTTTTTACTTGAATCGTGAACTGGATGGTTGGCAAAAGATGTTGGATAAAATATGTTATGGTAAAGAACTTTGACTCTTGTAATTACACAATAGTTGAGGAGACTAATTAAAACTGAATTTTATTCTGAAACATGAAAGAGTTAGGCTACTCTATTGATGGACCCTTGGTGTACGTACAAGGAAAAGTTGATCCTAAGATCTTCATCAAGAGGTTGTATAAAGCGAGAAGTTACATTGTACTCTACCGATTTGATTATGGATTTGAAAAGAATCGAGAATGAACCCGGAAACCAAAATCTCAACATCACTTCATGGTTTTATATATCTCACAACTTATCTCCTTGTCGCTCTACTTCCAATATTTAACTATGGATTCAAAATTTAAATATGTGTGCGTGTTTTTATTTATATACATTTTTTCTGCTTCTCCAGAGATGCATCTTTGAACAAAACGCATTGGACGAAAGTTGGTATAAGAGAGTCATAGGAGCTTTGAAGACCTTCCAAGGTACATAATTAACTTTAATCTATTATGAATTATGATCAACCTTTTTTTACAAAAGTTTTAGCTTTTTCTTGATTCTTCTTGGGTTTGGTTTCGGTTTCCAGTTTCAGACGTATCATTAACCATAGATACACCAGCTCAGAAGGGAAATGAGATGGAATATCATCAGAAGGGATATTTATGTGGAAACATCAAATTTGGAATGTTCATCAAGATGCTTGGGAAAACAGGCATTAAAGTGTCCGGATGTGAATATGGTTTCGCGTCTTCCGTCTATAACATTCCACACTTGAAGCCACCACCTCCCATGTATGAATCTTGGAACCGGGACACAGTGCCTCCTTTCATAGTGCATAGCTAGCCATATACGAGAAGCCTCACGGTTTGAGAAGGTTCGGTTTCTAATGAATCATGTCGTCGTCACTAGAACCATATGGTCCATATATTTTATTATCTTTGTTTTGGAGACCTTTATATCACAATCCTTCTCATATGTGTGTTATGGAGATCCATCTTTACCCGCTGCTCATCTTTTAAACTAAATTTAACTCTTGTCTTTTTAGGAAATTTCATGACTTTTTTTTTAAAGGTTAGTTGTTTAATCATTAGGTTTAAGAAGATTTTAGTTTGTCTCGACTCTTTAATTTTAATGAAGAAAAAGTTTTTCTTTTAATACGATTTGAAAAAGGTTACAAGTGCAAATTTTCGAAATTCTGAAATCACTTCATAGTCCATATACTTATAATCTCTGCCCTCAAGATAAATCCAAAGCCAGGAACATACATAAATGTTAACTTGTACTGAAAAAATAAATATCACTTTCTTGAAGCGTTTTTAAGCGTTTATATATGGTTTTGTAACAAATGCAAATGTTTCTTTGCTTTTTTTTGTGTTACATTCTAAGATTCCTCACGTTAAGTACTACTCTAATTTGATACGTTTCCCTTTTCATTTTTCAAGTTTTCTAAATTCTGATGGTTATTTATCCATCAAGGAAAAGGTCACAATATGCTACTATTCTTTATTCTTTACACAATCGCTATTTTGCCTTCTTTTTTTCATAATGAAAATGTTCATTGATATCTCTGAATTAAACTAAACTTTGGATCGTCTAATTACTTGGGCTTAGTTATATAATACAGTAAGGCCCAGTGGGCCGAGTGCGAGTAAGGGGGGGTTGACTTAGGTCGGAGAATTACTTTAGCTTCTCTCCATTTCTGAGAATCTTCTTCTTCCTCAATTGAGCTCTCGTCTACAGATCGAATCAAAACGCTTTGGAAACGGTGAAAGCGAAATCGGAGATGGCATCGAATGCGGCGGTACCTTTCTGGAGAGCGGCGGGGATGACGTACATCACCTACTCCAACATCTGCGCGAATCTCGTCAGGAACTGTCTCAAGGAACCTTTCAAGGCTGAATCCATCAATCGCGAGAAGGTTCACTTCTCCCTCTCCAAATGGGCTGATGGAAAAGCCCAGAAACCAGGTACCAAATCACTCTCCTTAATCGTTTATGCATCCCGCCTTGTGTTTCTCTTTTGTTTTCCCCAATCTGATTGAGATCTAGCTTCGTCATTTCTGTGTGGTTTTCTCTGTTTCCGTTCGCTGAATTTGCTTAATTCTAGGAGATTAAAACGTTCAGGTGTTTAAATGTTGGATCTTTGTGTTGAGATATGCAACGTCAAGAGTATTTGATGAAAATGAATTGGATTATTTAACCTTTTACAAAACTCTAAGTAGCTGAATGAGAACCGTAGCTATGTTCCCATACTCCATTTCATATGTTTAAAAATAAATGAAATGTTTTTGAAAGATGGATCATTTTGATGATAATTTGCGTCAATAACTGGAAGAGAATTTCAATCTTTTTCACCTGAGTTTTGTTTAGACTTTAGACAATGCACTTCTCTGATTAACCCATTTTTCAACGGAAATGTGTATGTTGTTTTGTTGTTGACAGTTCTGCGCTCAGACCAACCTGAAGTTTAAGAATTTATGATCAAGATATGGTTTCCAAGTTTGATGTATTTTGCATCTCTGGATGGATAAAAGCGATGCAAGACCGTTTTCTCTGCATATTTTCTTCTTTTTGTTGTCTGCGATGAGTGCTTGATACTCTTTAATCAATAATGAAAATACATTGAGTTGTCTTTGTTATCCCCATTTATGTACTATTCACTATGATGACCTTTCTCTACTGCAAATCAACCATGCTTTAAATTTTGAGTAATGGAAAGTATAAACTGCTCGAAGCTCGAATGAGTGAATTGTATAACTAAACAAAAGCCATTTGAGATTCTGCAAGCGTGTCGCAAGTTAAAAGAGGAGCAATTAGCTTCTTCTGAAAGAATACACTATAACTTACTTCTGGTTTCACGTCAAGAATAAGCTATAGCCTAAATCAAACTGACATAAGTAAGAGAAGCGATAGTTGAATTGGACAAAATGATAATAGAATCCATGCTAGCTCTTGGGAACGCTTCCGACCTGGCTCTGTTCCTGGACGCAAGAAGATATATAATCTTACCTCACTGTGTAGGTGAAATGCTCCTACCTGATTGTCCCTGCATAAGGCCTGGGGATAGATATCTATATATATTACTAGAAACTAAAATGTAATGGAGTGCCTATCTATCTTTAGTTGTCAATTTCAACAGCTGGGCAAAATGGATGTGCTTGTTCAACAGCCTAAGAACAGAGAACAATAAAGATGGGAAATGCTGAAGAATGACACTGATGTGATTGTTCATGAGAGCCGCATTCCACAGAATGTAATGTTATGACGTGATAGGCCATGCAGTGAAGTGAAGTTGATGAAAGGCCTCTGGATGTCATGTAACGTAATGTTGTGTTATCTCCTAGCTAACATAATAGCAACTGTTGTTCATTGGGATGAAAACTGGTCAAAATGATGGAAAATGAAAATCTCACAAAGTAATGCGTTAAAAACAGCAAGAAGACGAAACAAATGACAAATCAAGCTCCTACAGAACTGAGAATGCATCCGATGTAGCAAAAGCTAATAGAAACTGAAACATGTTATGTTGATGAAGGTTACACTATATGCATCCATCACATGAGGAAGAAGCAATGCTAAATGTCTGATAATGAAATGGATGCAAATGCGGACTGCCTGCAAGATGCATCCTATTCGTTTCCAGATAAAGAAGGGAGTACATCCCCCTTCAAAATCCTACTGGTATGTCAGACTCAGAGCTCCATTTGCACTAGGAGAAGGAAATGTCGAATAGCCACCACCACCGCCGCCGCCTTCTTTCCTCTTCCCAAATGGATTCTTCGAATATGTATCATTCGGTTAAGAAGAAACAAACAGAGAAGAAAAAAGACAAATAACTGGGCATACTGGAATATAAAAGATATAAAAAGAACAAGTAGTTAAAAAGGATATTGGATCCTCATGCCAACTGAGCCAGAACTTGGAATGACAGCACCTTGCAAATTATGGTGAACATTTGTGGCGCTGTTCACATCCTGCAAAGTCAAAAATACAACAATTTAACAACATGGTAGAGAGAAGTATTGACTGGTGAGCTTAAACATAGGTAGCCAAGGGAGAGGACTAACCTCAAATTCAATAAAGCAAACTGTATGCCTTTCTTGTCTTATAATCTTCATTTGCTTGAAACCTGGTTGCCTGCAAGATGAAAAGTACAGTTGACCACAAGATTCTTGACAACACAGTGATACACAAAAGAGCCAAGAGATGTCACCAAAGGAAACAGATACTCACGCGCTCAACAGGCCCCTTAACTCTTCTTCGTTTATACTCTCCCCAAGATTACCAATAAATAGGGTATTGCAAGGTGGATTATCTTTAATGTTCTGTAACCAAAAAAAATAGATAACAGCATGAGACATAAGATCACCAAACTTAGGCTAGATAAACCTCAGACCGAGTACACAATTAGGCATGTGGACCCACGTAGAGATAATAGCAAGATTAAAGAGTAAATGATGAAAGAAAATGAAACTTCACCTGGACAGGAACATATGAACTAGGAGCTGATATAGGTGGAGGAGCAGGCATTGGTACAGGGGGAGCATGATAACCTGCATAGGGGTCATATGGTGGAGGTGCAGGTGCCATATACCTGAGAATCAAATTATATATCTCATGTCAAAACAGCAACGTTCTCACAGTTTTGACAAACCATAGAAATGAAGAAGAATCATAAAGTCTCACCCATGAGGTGGTCCCCAAACCGGAGGAGGTGGAGGATGGAAGGGAGATGGACTATAAACAGAGTGTGTGCAGTCGCCACCAGTACGTAGCCGCTTGCTTTGATCATAAGCATTTGAATCCCCAACAATACCTACAGAGTAACAATAGAGCTCAACGGTCAAATATTATTGTAACAAACATGCTTTAATGTCACAAAAGTATAGCTAACCTCTTTTAACAAAGAGATTCTTCTTGGCCATCTCTGTATGGATCACAGATTTTGACTCGGTATCAAATACCATATGCTACATGCCCCAAACACAATATATGTCAGAAAGTGAAAAGAAGATTAAGGATTTGAGTTAAGGAGAATAGTTGAGGAGACAAACCTGAAGGGCGTCTTTAGCTGCCATTGCAGACTGTGCAGTGGTGAAAAGAGCAAAACCCATGGGCTTTTCTCCCTTGAAGTTCACTTGAGAAGCCTCATAACCAGGCAACCATCTTAACAGATTCAGAAGCTCTCTCTCTTTTACATCATCGGGAAGTCCTGCGATGAAGATTGTCCGAAGCTGAAAAAGAAAAACAGATTCAAAACTCGTGTAAGATAACAGAAAACTCAATTCGGATGCAGTTACAACAAACAATATAACTGCTAAAATTTAAAATTTAGCTAAAATGTAGAACTATTAGCACAGTAAACAGGCAAAGGAATGATTAATCTAAAGTTTCGCCAAAATTCCTTTTGGTTTCACTTAATTGACGCTTAAAAATCATGTAAATTTGGAATTTCAAGGTTTTGCAATGTCGCCCATTAAAAAAAAACGAGTATTGCAGTTAATCGATACTGGAACATTAATCGCTGCCTTTAAGCTATATTGTATAGCAAAAAGCAGGCAAATAAAAATTTCAGCTTTAAACAAAATTAGAAAAGCCTGTCTCAACAATAATCTATCACATGAATTATCAAAACAACATTGATATATATAGAGAGAGAGTTGTAACCTCGTCAAACGGAGGACGATTGTGGTTGTCAACTAAACCAGGAGGAGGAGGGTGATGATGATGTACGGGCGGGGGGTGTGGTGGAGCAGCTGATGAGACTGCGGCGGGAGGAGGTGGAGCTCCAGCTGGCGGCCACTGCTGGTGGTAAGGGTGGATTCCGGCGCCGGCCATGCCGATGGAGAGAGAAGAGAACCCTAAGAAGAGAGAGAGAGAGAATAAAAGGATTTTGGAAGGATCAGCTCGGATGCGGAAGTGTTTGACGGCAAGTACTTATTTTAACTCACATGCTTCGCACGTGAACTGCTGTCTGAATTCAATTTTTGTTCATAAAGTCAGGTAAAATCCCCAAATTAAAAGGTTACTCTCTGTTGGTTAAAATAATCCGAATCTATTAGACAGAAAAAGGTTATTTTTGCTCCTCCATCGTATTCAAATCAAATTTTTGTTTTGCAAGAGTATAGTTGTCTGCTTGAAATATTTATTTTTGCTCCTCCATCGTACCTTGATGCAAGATTTAACTCTCAGATTAGTACATTACCCATTTTTATACCCAAAAGAATTCAGACAATAGTATACAGTCAAATTCCTGATTTTTGTAAATAAAACCCTGATTAGCAAATTAAACAATTAGCCCGAAAGTAAAGGCCCATTAAAGGCATATTCAGGCCCTAATTGGTACCAGCTGAATTGAGGAATTCTGCTGAATTCCAACTTAAAAATAAAGTTATACACCAGTTGCAAAGAATTGTGGAATGTGGAATGTGAAATTCTGCTTAATAATAGTTAAAGTTGAAACACCATGATTTGCTTGGGCCCACTACAAGTCTCAATTCAGCTGTATTATTTAAGTCATGTAAATGACTTTAAGTATAAAATCTAGATACGTGGCAATCTAAACTAATATTTTGACAATTTTTAAATGAGTTGAGAGCTGTTACAGTTATAACATATAAAAGAAAATCAAAAAGGGGATGCAACGATTCTTTAAATTTTATATTTTTACAAAAATATAATATTAGTTAATCTCTAATAACAGTAGTTGTTGTAATAAAATACTAAAAACAAATTTAAGAATAATTATAGATTAATTTGAGTATGAATTTAAATTTAAATTATCCAGCATCTAATTCAATCAGCTTCAAATATTCGGGTTTTTGTCCGAAATTGAATCTTGATAATAAATTTACGGATTCAAAAAATAGATTTATGGATGTGGATTCATGTGATAAAAATGACTAAATAAACATATCCGGATATGAAGTATATATTAGATAAAAAAACTTTTAGTCTAAAATAAATTTAGTTATAAATTAGATCAATTATAGATTTTTTTAAAAAAATCTAAGTTTAATATAATTTAAACAATTTCTTTTATTTACCTATTATTTGGTTATTTTACAAATATAAGTTTTTGATTATTTTATTAATTCAACTAGGTAAATATTTTGTTATACTGTTACACAACTAATTTGTTAGATATTTATTCCGCATTCAGCAACATTCAGCAGTTACCATTCACATTACTAAATAATCAGCCAGATTCCGCAACTATTCATCAATTAATTCAGCCAGATTCCGCATTCAGCAGAATTCCTCGTTACCATTTACACCCTGAGTTTATAATTTCTTGCTTGTAAAACCCGAACCTCACTTAACAAAACAGACCGACCAACAAACAAAAAAACATCGTCAACGTGTTCCAACACAGAGCCACACAGTTAAGCAGGCGAGTGTTTCACACGTGTACCTCCTTGGCGCGTAGATGCCTTTCTCTCTCGACATTGTCTCTCGGTTTAACTTTTTCCTCGGTTTATAAACTTTTCTTCAATCTCTCCCCACAATCTCTCTTCGATGAACCTTCTTCGTTTCCCTCTTTGATTTTGATAGCTTCCAACGACGACGAATCAAACTCTAGACTATTATGATAAATACGAAGACGACGAGAGAGACCTGTACAAAGCCAAGAATCAAGCTCTCCTGAAAATCAAATTTTGATTCCTTTTCGCCATGAAACCGATTCAATCTCCTCCTGAAGTAGCTTCCCCTATGAAGAGCCGCTTGCGGAAACGCCCAGACCTCAGCTTACCACTCCCACACCGCGACGTCGCTCTCGCCGTTCCTCTCCCTCTCCCTCCTCCCTCCTCCAGCTCTGCTCCGGCGTCGGGGTCCGCGATCTCCACCAACATCTCCGCCGCCAGGAGCTTATCCGAGCTGGAGCGCGTGAACCGAATCGGAAGCGGCGCCGGAGGAACCGTCTACAAGGTGATCCACCGCCCGACGTCGCTGCCGTACGCCCTCAAGGTGATATACGGGAACCACGAGGACACCGTGAGGCGCCAGATCTGCAGAGAGATCGAGATCCTCCGGAGCGTCGACCACAGCAACGTCGTGAAATGCCACAACATGTTCGATCACAACGGCGAGATCCAGGTTCTGCTCGAGTTCATGGATCAGGGATCGCTCGAAGGCGCGCACGTGTGGCAGGAGCACCAGCTCGCCGATCTCTCGCGGCAGATCCTCAGCGGATTGGCTTACCTCCACCGCCGCCACATCGTCCACCGCGACATCAAGCCGTCGAATCTCCTCATAAACTCGGCGAAGAACGTGAAGATCGCCGACTTCGGAGTGAGCCGGATCCTGGCGCAGACCATGGATCCTTGCAATTCGTCGGTTGGGACCATCGCTTACATGAGCCCGGAGCGGATTAACACCGATCTGAACCACGGCCGTTACGACGGTTACGCCGGAGATGTGTGGAGCTTGGGTGTGAGCATCTTGGAGTTCTACTTGGGGAGATTCCCTTTTAATGTGAGCAGGCAAGGAGACTGGGCGAGTTTGATGTGTGCCATTTGTATGTCTCAGCCGCCGGAAGCTCCGGCGACGGCGTCTCAGGAGTTTCGTCACTTTATCTCTTGTTGCTTGCAGAGTGATCCTCCTAAGAGATGGTCTGCTCAGCAGCTTTTGCAGCATCCTTTTATACTGAAATCAACCGGTGGTCAAAATCTCCGTCAAATCTTGCCGCCTCCTCGTCCTCTCCCATCTTCTTCTCCGGCCTCTTAGTGTTTTTTTTTTATCCTTTTTATTCTCTTTGTTTATTATCGAATCTTGGTTACATTTTCCTGACAGTTTTTGCATACCCCAACAGTGCTAATGAAAAAGAGTTGTTGAACAATTGGGGTATGAATCGTCAGGTTTGCAGGTTTTATGAGTATAGGTTTAATTGAGTCTTGTGAAGCTCGATTTGTGTTTGGGTTAATGACAAAAATGTTTGCTAGAAATGGGAAAAGAACAAGAAGAATTTGCTTGTAGTAGCTTTTATTATTGTTCATAAGAGGAAGTAATGGAGGAGGGATCTTGCATTTGTTAATTTTCACTAATAAAGCTTTCTTCTTTTTTGTTTTCGCTTTATGCTGCTTATAGTTTGGTCTTGAGAATCATTATGAAAGCTTACTGTTTTCTTTGTCTTTGCCATTTATGGTCTTGATTGTCTAATAATTGAGGAAAAGTGAAAAGCTTGTTTATGACTTTTTTGGTTGAACGGAATCATGTGATTCTCTTGCAATTGGTACAAATTCGGAAAAGCTTTCATTTGATTCTAACACTGCCCATGCGTGGAAAAGCAGAAATGTTTACACCTAGTTTCTTCTTGTCTTATTGCTCTCTCTCAGTTGTTCAGCTCTACATGCAAATACAGATATCAGATCCACTTCCTTCTCGTTGACGCTTTAGAGGGTATGTTTTTGTTCCATAGTTCTCGAGACTGATATAATTGTTAGGAGATGTATAATAATTCTAAGGGTGGCTTAGCTTTAGGTTCCAGAACATAGAAACTGGAGTTTTATACATTATAGTACTGAAATTACAATAGGGTGAGAGTATTCTGATAATGGAGCTCCCCTTAGATACCACCAAGCTCACCATTAACAGTTTACAGATAGAAAGCATAACCAAAACAGTGTTGACTTTACAAGAATATTTGATAGTGTTGACTTTACAAGAATGATGTCTTCGAACCAAATCAGATACCAAAACAGTTGCTTCTTACTTCTGAAAGACTTCAATGTTCGAGCTTACATGCACATACATTCAAAACTCTCTTGGAACTCTATTAAGGATGCTCGGTTTCCAATTTAGTTCGGAGTTCCTTCCTCAGAATCTTGCCTGAGGGAGCTTTCGGTATAGATTCTATGAAAATCACCATCTTGATTCGCTTGTAATGAACCACCTGTATATATATAGACCATTTCCCATTAATTTAAGACATCTTAAGTTTCGATTATTGTCATGTTGAGACCAAAGTGAAATCTCAAAACCTTTACCTGTTTGTTGACATAACTCTTGACGTCATCTTCGGTTAGCTGAGACCCTTCTGATCTAACTACAAACGCTACCGGAACCTCATCAGCTACTTCATCCTTCATCCTGAAATTTTCAAACATCATTAGAACTACGAAGCGACCAACATTAGGGTTTAGAATTGGAAGTTTTAGATTTGTTTTGTTTTGAAACTCACGCAACAACAGCGGCATCATCGATAGAAGGATGAGAAATAAGCAATGCTTCAAGCTCAGCTGGAGCCACTTGATAGCCTTTGAATTTGATCAGTTCCTTCAAACGATCAACAATGAAGATCTCATCATCATCATCCACAAACCCAATATCTCCTGTGTGTAACCACCCTTCTTTATCTATGGTTCTTGCCGTAGACTCCGGATCATTCAAATAACCTAACAAAGATCTCACCATTACTTTCCCTATCAAAGTATTCATTCTCCAAGGAAGAAAAAAGAAAAACAAGAGTTTCTTTATAGTTTTACCCTTCATGAGTTGATTGCCTCGGATGCATATTTCGCCAGCTTCATTTCGCGGCAAGGACATTCCGGTGGTAGTATCGACCACTTTCATTTCGGCGTTCCTGATCACAGTCCCACATGCGCCGGACTTGGTTTTAAATGGGTACTTTGCAAACGCCAATGACTTGGCCACCGTTCCTGACTCGGTCATTCCATAACCCTGAAAATGTGTTTACTTTTTATTTTTAGTCATTACCAAAAAATGTGACAATGACAACATTTGACATTCTCCATCATAATAAACATCCCACATTGACGAAGACATGAACTGAGAAACCGCAAACGATATTATTTAAGAGAGTTCAGTCTGAAAAACTGTAAACGAGAAAAAGAATGATGTTATGGCATTGGGGTTCGTTAACATGTGCGTTGGTCGTCGTCGTTGAATTAAAGTTTGATAGGAACTGTTAACGGGAACGTTTTCTTGTATTATCCCACAATCTGTCAATAAGTCACTGATTTGACCCAAATAAAAGAAGAATACTAAGTCAATACTTCAAAGATAACGATGAGCTATATAAGATCGAGTTGGATATGGGTGATTCGTATCAAGAAACGAGTAATGAATGTGTCCCCAATATAATGTCATAACGGTGCAAAATGCAAAATGAAAAAAAAAAGAAAAAGAAAACAAATTCATTACTTATTTGCTTACTGTTATATTATATACTTTTATAAGTATCTTTTAATCGAAATGCGTTGGTTCATTATCTAAAAGCAAACACAGGAAAAGCTTAGAGAAAAAGTGGAGAATTATTGTAAAGAGGTTATCGTGTGTGTCAGTGTGTGTGACTGTGTGTGACCTGAACTTCGTTTAAAAGTGTATTATTGTACTCTCTTTATTTGACAAAACGATATGCTTTTTTAGTTGTTTATGATTGTATCGTTTCATCTTTTGAAAATTGAAATGATTTAAAATGTGGATGTTAGAAAATACTTTTATTTTACAAAACGATAACGTGGGTGCTGCCTATTGGTTTTTAAGTTTTTATTTTAATAGAGTTATCATATTGGTGATATGTTTTGGAATTGAAATCCAAAACAATAATATAGTCTTTTAATTCGTTTACCCTCCACGGAGTCACTTAACTTTCAAATTCGTTTACCCACCACGAGTCACTTAACTTTCATCTAATTGGTTGACTTGTATAGTTGTATAGTAAAGATAGTAACAAGGACACGTGTGTACACCTACCACGGAGATACTTAACTTTCATCTAATTGGTTGACTTGTATAGTAAGGACTAAGGAATTAAGGATAGTAACAACGACACGTGTACACAAAGTCATATCTACAAATTTTTAAAAGCCAAATATTCTAGTGTTATTCAATCAAATATTGCTACTCAAACATCGCTATTTCGAAATTTGGTGACACCAAGGATCTAGACAATGACATAAATACTATAAAGCTATGATTAGGTGAACCACTAATCCACTTCTTAATTCTTTAGACCATGAATATATTAGTGTCTTTATCTACAGATTAAAATAATCCATTAGATTACTAAGCAAATGCACATGGCGACAATTTTTCACCAACCACAAACGCACTCCTAAGTATACCACATGAATCATCCTGTAATCACTAATCACTAATCAGTCATCTATCCATTTTCTAGTAAATACTTCAACTACGAATTGTTCAATCTCAATAGTCATCATGTTTCTCTAATTAGACGATTTAACTTATGAAGAAAACAACAAAATAGTTGTGAAAGTGACTTAGTGAGAGGACATTAATGAAAACTGACCTGGCCAAATATAGCATTGGGAAACTTGAGACGCACGGCGTCTTCAAGCTCCTTCTTGAGCGTAGCTGCGCCAGATAGCATCAACCTCACCGAGCTCAAGTCGTATCTCTCCGTCTCCGGCGACTTAACAAATGCTAAAACCACCGGAGGAGCCACCGGAACAACCGTGACTTTGTACCTCTGAATCAGCTCCATCACCAGATTCAACTCGAACCTCGGCACGATCAAGAGCGACGCACCAGTCCTCATCGCCGAGAGCATCAACGCGTCAAGCGCGTAAATGTGAAACATCGGGAGAAAACAGAGGATGACGTCATCACCGGTGAAGTAGAGGTTCGGGTTTTCGCCGTCGACCTTTTGAGCGATGCTCGTAACTAATCCCTTGTGAGTGATCATCACTCCCTTTGGAAGTCCAGTGGTGCCTGAGGAATACGGCATCGCCACCGTGTCCTCTGGCGAGATATTCGGTTTAGGAAGCTCTGTTTCGTCGGCTTGAATCAGTTCCGTGAAACTCACGCAACCGTCGAGTGGCGAAACGACGTCGTCTCCGTCGTTTACGCAAACGATCACAACGCCGTCGTTTCTCAGGTTTGTTAGTTTATGGACGTAACATGGCTTCGTGATGATCATCTTCGTGTTTGAGGCTTTTGCCTGTTTTGCGATCTCCGCTTGTGTGTAGAACGGATTCGCGGTGGTGGAAACGGCTCCAAGGTAAGCGACGGCGAGGAATGAGAGAGCAAACTCCGGCGAGTTCGGGAGAAGGAGCATCACGGTGTCACCGTGGCGGATCCCGCGCCGGTGAATCCCGGCGGCGATTCTCCGTGAATGGATTTGTACGTCGGCGTAGGAAAAGATACGTCCGGTGGCACCGTCGATGAGACATTTGGTGGTGGAACCGGCTTGGGGATCGCCGGAGAATTTCTGGAAGACGTAATCAAAGAGAGGGAGGTGGTGAGGGATGGAGATGTCAGGAAGCTTAGATCGGAAAATGAAATCTTGAGAAGGTTCTTGATCTCTCTTCTTTGTGAGAAAAAGTGTTTGTTGTTGGAGCACCATTTGTGTGTGTGTGTGTGTGTGTGGAGATTCTAATCTCTTCTACTTCACAAAGAAAGAAAAAACTTCTTTTCAAAGTGTAACGTTTTTGCCTTTCTTGTTTTCTTTTCTTTCCTTGTGATTTGGGTTTTTATAATGGTACGTTGGATTAGTAACTCACCAAGAAAGTGGACTGATATTTTTAAAAATATTAATTAGTAAATCCGATAGTGATTTATTTCGATTAGATGCGGTTTTCTTAATGATTTTGTCTATAAGCTATATTGCTACCGTAGTACCCACCAAAAAAAAAAATTGCTACCGTAGTTGGTGGGTGGGCCATTTTCATCACAATGGTCATTACTTTAAGCAAAAAAAGAGAGACTATTTTACGTATACTGTAAACCACATTCATATACTCCTATTACAAATTTACAACTACGAATTGTAATAGTGTATTAATTCACTGTTGTTCATGACCTTGTAAATTTTTGGCAAGCTTAATGAAAGCATCAAATGTTTCAAAATAAGCAGTTAAGTTGTTTTTTTTTTTAATTAGAAGGTAATTTATATCTAAAATAGTTATTGAATGTCTTTTTAATTAAAATGTAGTTTATATCTAAAGTAACTAAAATGTGCTACTTTCTTCATACAAATGTTTTTATTTTCGTTATTTTGTTCATTATTTTAAACGTGGTAGTATTTTATATACGAAATCATATAAACTATAGAGTTGATTGTGACTTCTGCTTAAAAGTATAATATTTGCTTTTTCTTGGTCAATAATATATGTTTTTTTTTTTTTGGTTTTTGTTGGTACAATATCATTGTATTGCTGTTAAGTACAATTTAAAATTGTCTTAAGGGAAATAACTATACAATTTACAAAGTTCGGTCAAAGACTCAAAGATATACCCAAGACAGTTGATTTGTATAGAAAGTGAGGAATGCATTCTATTCACGCTAATTATCTTTTCAAAGTATAGGCTAAATGAAGCTTTGTTTCGTGTTTCAAAATTTTAGACGCCAATATATACACGGATGTAAAAGGAATTCTCGTTTCGTTTTACGTTAACCAAAAGTACAAAGTTTTGTAATCTTATGCGGAACATCTAAAAACGTTTGAACTGTCCTAAATCCTGACAAGTGAGCATGCATTTGACCTTTGACGCGTAAGATAATTTTACACATTGACTATGGAGAGTTTGTCGGAAAATAGTACTCATACGTGTGCCCAGCGACTTATAACGTAAACAAGAACCAGACAAAACAAGAACTTGAAGTAAAAGAAAATGTTCTAACCAAGTGGCAAGTCGCTTAGTATTGACCGTGATCCGGATATCATTTCCATGGATGTATCAATTTGACTATTACAAATTATACATTCTTCCATGAGACCGGCGAAAAACTCAATCATGATATAGCGACAAAACACGTTGTAAATCAAACTATATTTTTTGTCATTTTTATTTTTTTTTTACAAAAAGAGAGTTTAATTTACTGTATATTTGGGTGATTGTAATTAAATCAAATTCTTACTTCTGTCATTTTATTGAAATTTTAGCTTTTTTAAAATTCGTCTAGTTTAAATGATCATTTTGTAAAAATACAGTGTTGATTAAAATATCCATTTTACAACTTTGCTAAACACTTATACTAGTACATCTCAATATTTTATAGTGAAATTTCCATGAAATCAACAAAAATTATTGGTTAAGAAGCCCATATCCCACAAACAAAATAAGAACAAGTGAATCAAAACAAAAGCCCAATAATTGAGAATGGCCCGGAGCAAACAATCTTAAGTCTTAACAGTGTCGCCAAAGTGTTGTGTTGAGTGTGGATTTTTCCTAGAGGCAAGACGTTACGGCAGTGATCAGCTAACCGGCAAATCAAGTAAGTGCCGATAGTTTCCAATTTTATGGAAAGCCAAAAAGCATCTCTTTGCTTCCTATTTTGTGTACGTGAACCATTTCTTTATTTTTTTATTTCATCTGTTCGAATGACTTCAAATGCAAAAAAGAAGAAGGAACTTTTTCCTTAGATTTATAGATTGAAACTCTTCCTACGATCCATCTTTTGTATAACTTTTTCTGTTTTCAAATTCTAGTGTTAGTATCGTATAGTTTTTTTTTTGTTGTTGTTATGATATTTGATGTTAATGATCATCGACTTTCACACTCGCATATTTCCGACCAGCCATTCAGTAACGATGCTGAGTCAGTGTCAGGTTCAGGTTTGTTTTTCAAAAAATTGAACATAAATGTGGTCACACATGGGCATGTTACCTTGGCTTATCTTTATGATTTTTTTGCTTCCAAATCATTGATCTAATACGACCTCATAATTAATGGATTCTATTCTCTCTGTTGCTAGTCTTTGACAATCGACACTCAAGTCCTTTTGTTCACTAATTTAAGATGCTTATTCCGTTTGGTGAATGCTGTTTGCTTCCTTTTTTGTGTGTGGCAATTGTTGATGTTTTATTCGAGCATTATGTCATGCAAAAGCAAGGTAACACATATCCAACAAATTAATTATGGAAAAACAAGAAAAAAAAAGAAAAAAACAGAACCATATATTACTTATTAAAATGTAGCAAATACCCTATATAAGAAGACTAGTATGCAAATCAAACAGATTTCTTAAATTTTAATATCAACGAAATTGCTGATATGATTACATGCAGGGGCAGACCCAACTTATTAGAAGATTTGGCAAGTGTCACATATTGAATTTACAATTCAGATACCAAATAATTGCTTATTACTTACTTCTTGAAGATTTCAATATATTCGAGCAGTCACAAACATTTGAATCTCTCTTGTTAGTATTAAGGGTTTTCAGTTTCCAGTTTCGCTCGGAGATCTTTTCTCAAAATCTTTCCCGAGGGAGCTTTTGGTATAGCTTCAATGAAAAACACCATCTTGATTCGCTTGTAATGGACCACCTACACAGTTTAAGACATCTAAACTTTCCAACATTGTGTGTCCCACACGTTAAAGACCAGAAAAATGAAATTTCAAAATCTTACTTCTTTGTTGACATAACTCTTGACGTCATCTTCGGTTAGCTGAGACTCTTCCAATCTAACTACAAATGCTACCGGAACCTCACCAGCTACTTCATCCTTCATTCTGAAATTTTAAAATACCATTTTAGAACTTACATGTGACGAACATTTGAGTTTATAATTGGAAGATTCGTTTTTTTAACTCACGCAACAACTGCTGCATCTTCGATAGAAGGATGAGAGATAAGCAATGCTTCAAGCTCAGCTGGAGCCACTTGATAGCCTTTGAATTTGATCAGTTCCTTCAAACGATCAACAATAAAGATCTCATCATCATCATCCACAAACCCAATATCTCCAGTGTGTAACCATCCGTCTTTATCTATGGTTCTTGCCGTAGCCTCCGGGTCATTCAAATAACCTAACAAAGATCTCACCATAAGTATTTTCCAAGGAAGAAACCAAAAAAAGAACAAGACACAAACATTAGCATTTGACCGTTTTACCCTTCATGAGTTGGTCGCCTCGGATGCAGATTTCGCCGGATTTGTTTCGCGGTAAGGAGATTCCGGTGATAGTATCGATCACTTTCATCTCCGCGTTCCTGATCACCGTCCCACATGCACCGGGCTTGGTTTTAAATGGCTTCTTTGCAAACGCCAATGACTTAGTCACGGTTCCCGCCTCCGTCATTCCATAACACTGAAAATGTGTTTATTTTTTCTTTTAGTCATTACTAAAAATGCGACAACTACAACCTTTGACAAAAAAACTGAATATTTTTAAAATGCACTTATAATGAAAGAAAATTTAAGTTTTATAACGATAATAATAAATATGAAATGGAATAAGCATCTAAATTAAAATAATTCTAGATTTATTTTAGTTAGATATATGTGTACTGTAACATCGCTGTTACAGAAGATCAAGACAATGACATAGTAGTTTTAAATGATAGATTTGGTGAACAACTGAACATGATTACTAATCCAATTTTTTTTTAATTTTATGTAAGACCGTGAAATTGTTAGTATATTGATCAATACATTAAAAAAATCCACTTGATTATTCAATTCGATCTAGTTAGGATATTGCACAAAGCGACAACTAATTAAAAGACAAATGCATGTTAACAACTAAGTACCACGTGAATCACAAGTAATCTAATCACATCATCCATGAATTATTAGCTAATCTCCGTCGTAATATATCTCGGATTTTGACGATTTTACTAAACTGGTTTCAGACTATTGCATGTCTCAAATACCCCCAAAAGGCGAAACTGACCAAAACTGAATCATTCTTCTATCTGGTCGTCTCAATGTGGTGAAAGGATACAAATTGGGTTTTAAGGTTTTTTTTTTTGTTTTGCTTTTATTATATTCGTGAAATTATTTCGATTTGCAATTCCATAATAATACACATTCTTGGTTCTCTTTTAAAAGTCGTTTACCCACCACGAGATACATAACTTTCATCTAATTGATTAACTTCATCAAGATAATGACAACGATAGGTGATCTATATGTAACATGTGTACACAAAATCATATCTATATAATTTAAAAGGCCAAGATTCTAGTGATCTTTAGTCAACTATTGTCACACAGTTTTGTAGCAAAAATAGATTAATTTTTTTTTTGTTTTTTTTTGGTTTTCCATGTTAAGGATTAAAAAATTCTTGTCAGTCTAACATTGCTATTACCCATAAATTTCGAAATTTGGTGAAACCAAAGATCCATCTAGACAATGACATACGAAGACGACAAATGTAACCACTAATCATTAATCAATAATCATATATCCATTCTCAATAGTCATATTTCACGGATTCTGACGATTTTACTAGTCCTTATGGCCAATTAACAGTAATAAATTATGAAGAATATAACAAAATAAATGTGAAAGTGAGAGGACTAATTTAATACTGACCTGACCAATTATAGCATTGGGAAACTTGAGACACACGGCGTCTTCAAGCTCCTTCTTGAGCGTAGCTGCGCCAGACATCATCATCCTCACAGAACTGAGATCATATCTCTCCGTCTCCGGCGACTTAACAAACGCTAAAACCACCGGAGGAGCAACCGGAACCACCGTAACTTTGTACCTCTGAATCATCTCCATCACCAGGTTCAAGTCAAACCTCGGCATGATCAAGAGCGCCGCACCGGTCCTCATCGCCGAGAGTATCAATGAGTGGAGCGTGTAAGTGTGAAACATCGGGAGAAAACAGAGGATGACGTCATCTCCGGTGAAGTGGAGATTAGGGTTTTCTCCGTCGACTTTCTGAGCAATGCTTGTAACTAACCCCTTGTGAGTGATGATCACTCCCTTTGGAATCCCCGTGGTGCCTGAGGAGTACGGCAACGACACCGTGTCCTCCGGCGAGATCTCCGGCTTAGGAAGCTCTGTTTCGTCCGTTATAGTCAGTTCCGTGAAACTCACGCAACCGTCAACGACGTCGTCTTCATCGTCTACGCAAACGATCAAAATGCCGTCGTTTTTAAGTTGTGTGAGTTTATCGACGTAACATGGCTTCGTGATGATCATCTTCGCGGCAGAGGCATTTGCTTGTTTTGCAATCTCCGATTGGGTGTAGAACGGGTTTGCGGTGGTGGAAACGGCTCCAAGGTAAGTGACGGCGAGGAAGGAAAGAACAAACTCCGGCGAGTTCCGAAGAAGTATCATCACGGTGTCACCGTGGCGGATCCCGAGACGGTGGATCCCGGCGGCGATTCTCCGTGAAATGATTTGTACATCGGCGTAGGTCAATGCACGGCCGGTGGCACTATCGATGAGACAGGTGGTGGTGGTGGAATCACCGTCTATGGAGAATTTTTGAAAGATGTAATCTGTGAGAGGAAGATGATTTGAGATGGAGATATCGGGAAGTTTGGATCGGAAAATGATATCTTGAGAAGGTTCTTGATCTATCTTCGTTTCTTGGAGCATCATTTGTGTGGAGACAATGTTTTTTTTTTCCGTTTGATTTGGTTGTATAGTACGTATAATTAGTGATTTGATTATATAAAGAAAATGGACGTAACTGGTTCTTGTTTTATTTTTTTTGGTTTGGTAGGATATTTTTGTATTGCTGCTAAAGGAAATACGCGCCAAAAAAAATTGAACTACTACACTATTTTATCACAAGATCGTCCAAATTATAATTAAGACAATTGATGATATATCTAAAAATTGGAATGTCTATTAAAATAAGCACACGTTAAACCATGATATGTAATCTTCTAGAATTTGTGCTAATACAAAATCTTTTCATATATATTGCATGTTGCCCAAACAAATGTTTTAACGTTAATAATCTGACACCTACGGACCTACCAGGTATATAATCTAAATTGGCTTGTGTGTCAACTAAACTGACTAACTAAAATAATGTATTGTTGTCATTGTTATCTGACATGACACTTACGCTCAAGTTTCAACCAATTTTGTAATATTATTTGAGATAATGATACATCATGGCCTCATGGGTTTTTTTGACATGTAATATAATCTTCATATATACTCAAGTTATTCGGACTGTTGTATCGAATTCCTAATTTTTTTTATAACCGGCTTAAAAGACCAAATTAAGTAACAACTGTTTAAAATTTTTCCTTGACTAATTTCCATGTGATGTCAAAAGATTCTTCTAAAACTAGAAAATGGTATTTCTCTATTTCTAATTGTGGAATGTGCTGTAACCCTGAGGGCCTTTTTTCTTATATACAATGAAAAAAAAAAAAACGTGGTAAGTGAGTAAGCGACAACAAAACATAAAACATCGGTACATGAATTCAAACCTTTTTTTCCAACATCCACCGTGTCTTTGCTACAAATCCTATCTATAGGGATGGTGAACAAAGAGGACCAACTCTGTATTTGCAGTTGTCGGATAATTAATTATTACATTTGCATGCATTTATGATAAACACATTTGGATCATATCAAACTTAGTTCATCATCAATCCGTTAGCTAGTCTTGCTCGTAGATCTCTCCTCAATATCTTCCCCGATGGAGCTTTAGGAATGGAGTCAGTGAAGAACACTTTGTTGATTCTCTTGTAACACACTACCTGAATCACACACAAACACTTGCTCAAAGAACATTGGATTTATTATACGCCCGCATAAAAGGGGGGAAAAGTAGTTTAGACAAGAAAACCAAACACAAGACATAATTTAATAAAAGTATTAATCAGCACCTAGGTAGTAGATAAATTAAGATTAAAACACTTGGTTATTACTTTTTCTGACACGAATTGCTTGATTTCAATTTCTGATATATTCGAATCTTTCGATCTCACCACAAACGCAACAGGAACCTCACCAGCATCTTCTTCTTTCATTCTGCACACATCCCAAATCCATAAAACAAAAAAATAAGAGTATAAAACAATATATTTAATGTAAAAAACGACTTTGATTGTCGAGTTTCACATACGCGACGACCGCGACATCGTTGACGTCGGAGTGAGCAATGAGGAGAGACTCTAGCTCCGCCGGAGCCACCTGGAATCCTTTGTACTTAATGAGTTCTTTTAAACGATCAACGATGAAAAGCTCGTCTTCTTCGTCCACGTATCCAATGTCTCCAGTGTGAAGCCAACCGTCTTTGTCGATGGTCGCGGCGGTGGCCGCCGGATCATTTAGGTAACCTTTCATGACTTGTCCGCGGATGCAGATCTCGCCGGAAGAATGTCTAGGAAGGGAACATCCGGTATCTGGATCAACGATCTTCATCTCAGCGTTCCTCACGACCGTACCACAGGCTCCTGATTTCACCGGAAACGGCTCTTTCGCAAACCCTAACGACAGTGCTATCACCGGACCTGCCTCTGTCATCCCATAGGTCTGCTCTTAACCAACATTCAAACATGTATCGCTTTCAAATTTTTTATTATGAGAACATGTTATTTTTTATTTGCGTTTGCATGGTAGAAACAGAGTATTTAAAATCAAATATATACAAATTTTATAAAGTTGTTATTACAAAGTTAATAATTCCCCTAATTAAAATCGTTTATAATTCTTTTACCATGCAAATTTCTTTTAAAATGAAAATGCAATGCAAGAGAACAAAAAATAATTAGAGGATATGAAAAAAATAAGAAGAACAAACCTGACCAAGCCTGGCGTTAGGAAACTTGGCACTGACGGCATCTTCAAGCTCTTGACCTAAAGGAGCCGCACCTGACATTATGATCCTAACCGAGCTCAGGTCGTACTTATCCGTCTCCGGCGACTTCACTACGGCTAAGACGATCGGTGGCACGACCATAGCCACCGTGACTTTATACCTCTGGATCTGCTCTAGCAAGAGACCGATCTCGAATTTAGGCATGATCAAAACGGTGGCACCGACTCTGAGACTAGGGAGCACGGTTGAGTTTAGGGCGTAGACATGGAACATTGGTAAGACGCAGAGGATCACGTCTTCACCGTGGACGTACATGTTCGGATTCTCGCCGTCGACTTGCTGCGCCACGCTTGTGACGAGACCTTTGTGTGTTAGCACCACTCCTTTTGGGAGACCTGTTGTGCCTGAGGAGTAAGGGAGCGCCACGACGTCGTTTGGAGATATAACCGTCACCGAGTCGGCTTTGGGATCGTGATCGGAGTACTGAGTCAACGCGGAGAAGCGGAGGCAGCCTTTGGGGATGTCGGAGGAATCGTCGTCGGTGCAGATGATCAAGACGCCGTCGTTTTGGAGGTTTTTGACTTTATCGGCGTATTGAGAATGGGTGACGATGACTTTCGCGGCGGAGGCTTTGGCCTGGTTAGCGATCTCCGGTTGAGTGAAGAGAGGGTTCGCGGTGGTTGTTGCGGCGCCGAGGAAGGAGGCGGCGAAGAAAGTGAGGACGACTTCCGGTGAATTCGGAAGGAGGAGCATTACGACGTCGTGCTGGTTCACACCGAGCTTGCGAAGACTGGCGGCGAGTTTGCGGGACTTTGCGTGGACGTCGGCGTAGGAGTATACATGGCCGGTGGGACCGTTGACCAAGCACGGTCTATCGGCGAATTCAGATATATTCTGGAAGATGTAGTCGTGGAGAAGGAGGTGGTTAGGGATGTAAATGTCCGGCAGTTTTGATCGGAAAATGTTGTCACTGCTCTGTTTCTGATTAGTGATCGTCACTTCTTGTGGCGCCATGATGAGAAGAAGCTATAGGTAATAGGTTATACCAAGTATTGATTCTAAACACTCCTTTTTTTGTTTTCTGGTGTTGACCGATGGCTGAGTTTGAGACAGAGGAACATGATCAGTGTAGTGTTTCAATATAAAACATCGCCGGAGAGGAAAAGAACAACAGTAGTTGGTGAAAGTGTATATTATATTATTATATATATTATTACATGGTTTTTGCATGTGGCGTATTATTACATATATATGCTGTTTTTAATTTGCATGTGGTGTATTTATGTCTTTTCTATGCAATAATGAGGACGTTCTCTAGTCAGTCAGTAGTCACAGACTCACAATTTCGCAATGTTAATCTTATCTTCTTGGAGTTCGACTTTCCTACATTTATGGTTCTTGTTAATTTGTTATAAATTTTATCCTTGACGATGGTTAGTTAATTACTGTTAAATTTTCGAACGATTCAGCTTAAGGTTATAGTAGCAATCCTTAACTCTGTTATTCAAAAGGTACTATAGTGACCCATATCCAAGGACAGAGTCAAGCTATCTCCAACTCGAGATTGTTGGGAACTCAAGGAAATTTAGTAAAACTGAAGAAGATCATGTGAATTGCAATCTCTGAACATATCAGTTTTCAGTAGCAGCTACTAGAATTTGATAATAAGGCATATTATTACTTTAACTAATCACAGTTTATTAGTGCTAAGACTTTTTAACTGTGGTCTTGAAGATTCTCGGAAGAAGTTCCTCTGCAACTTGCCCAATACTCAGCAACGAGCTTAGAGAAGTAAGAATCAGTCTCCATCAGCTTCCAAGGCTCGTTATACTCCACAAGATCACCTGTTTGGTCATGACTCATAAGCTTATATAGGTTTAAGAGAGATAGGATGTTTACCAAACTTACATTAGAGAGAGAGAGAATATGTTTACCAAAGGAGAGAACCATGACCATGTCACTGTCTATCACCGTTGGGACTCTATGTGCAACTGTTATCACAGTGCAGTCTGCAAACTCTTCTCTTATGATTCTCTGAATGATTGCATCAGTGGCTGAGTCAATGGAGGCTGTAGCTTCATCCAACACCAATATCTTGTTTCTCTTCAGCAGTACTCTTCCGAGACAGAACAGCTGTCTCTGTCCCACGCTCCAGTTCTCTCCTTCGTCACTCACTTCACATTTCGTCACACCAACAACAAAAGGTGAACATGTAAGTGTAAAGTCCATTTGGTGAAATGAAAACATTACTGTTTTTTGTTTTTTCAGTTACCTGAAGAATCAAGTTTATTAGGCAGATTGGTGATCGACGTCTTGAGCTGGCACCTCTCAAGAGCCTGTATGCAAAAGGAATAGTCGGTTTTAAAATCTTTGATATAGAAATCTCATTCTTGTTTCGTATCTCACCTTCCATATCTCATCGTCGGAGTAAACACCAAAGGATCAAGGTTGGTCCTTATGCAGCCACGGAAAAGAGTTGGTTCTTGAGGAATGATGCTGAGTTTCATTCTTAAATCCTTTAGGCCAATCTTACTTATGTCAATGCCATCAATCAATATGGAACCACTTGCTGGTTCCACCAAGCGAAACAAAGCACTGATTAAAGTGCTTTTCCCACTTCCGGTCCTACCAACAACTCCAACTCTTGTCCCTTCCCTGAACGTGCAAGAGATTCCTTTGAGAACCAATGGAGCATTGGGACGATATCTTATCTGCAAAAAGAAAAAAAATGCATTTAGCATCATTTAAAGCCATCATCTTAGATAACAATTAATATTTATTCTTACCTTAAGCTCCTGCAAGTGAATGGTGCCATTGGACGGCCATGAGGAAGGTGGTCTACAATCATCCACAACAGCAGGAGGTTCTGCTGGTATGCTCATATACTGTTTGATCCTCTCTACTGAAATGATGGAATTCGATAATGTGCAAACCATCGGGTTAGAAACACCTGAGTTGATGTCAATGTCAATGCATAGGAGAGTGAAAGCCCAACTAAGCCTGCAACACAAAGGCACAGAGTTAATACAGCACGTTTCAGTTTGATGCTATACTTCCAAAAGCTATGAAACTGGGAAGTTAAACATGAGATAAGTTAAAACATTATGTACCTGGAGCTATGTAGCCTTTGGGAATAAGGATAAGCAGAAGTGCACAGGTGAATAAAGTCGCATTCTGCAGAACCTCTATCCTCATAATGACCCACTCCATGGCTGCATTAGATAGGAAGAATAGCACGGCGTCTGCATCAACTAGGTTGAGGTAGTTTTTAAAGAATCTGTCTACTGTTCCAAAAGCTCGTATTGTCACCACTCCAAGTGAGGTTTCTGCAGCATAATTCATCACTGGAGCTTTGGTTGTTCCGTTGATCCTAATCAGCTCCCTTGCAGAGGCTAAGTAGTAATCCTTTTTTCAAATCAAGAAGCGGATATTAATAATGACTTCTTTGCTGCCTAAACAAACTAAAACAAGAAGGACAATAAAAAATATGTACCTGAACAACTTTTGTGGCTGCCAAAGCAAGAAGAGCTATGATAATAACTTGCCATGTGACATATGACATTATGATTAGAGCAGCAGTGAGCTCAATAGCCGGTACTACCACAAGTATGACTGCAGATGGAATGTCAAAGTCCAAGACGTTCAATCAGATGATGCCTGCAAACGTTACATTCAATTATATTATCACATTATTTTGTAGTGTTATTCATCTACAAGCAAGTAAAAGTGATCTTACTCGGGTGAGAATGCGTCCAACTGGAGTAGAATCGAAGAAAAGCATAGGGGCTTTGAAGACTGCATTTGTGAAACCAGAGAAGAAAGCTTTGGAAGCTTTTAGTCCAAGATAAACAGTCGTAACAGCTCTCGCATATACAAAACCAGCACTAAGAGTTGAGATAATGCTATAGACTCCAATAAGCATTGTAGCAGTGATTTTAGGGATCCCAATGGCAAAAGCCAGCCAGTAAGTTGCTGCAGCCTGAAAAGCTACAAAACCAACCTGAACCAATACGGTTGACCATAGAAGAAACCATCCTTGGGAGACACGGAAATAGTCCAAGAAAGGTTTCAACCCAACATAACCCGTCTCTGTTTCTTCTTCTTGCGTAAGTTGGACACCTGTAACATCCGTTGTCGTGATTTCTTCTTGTTCTTCGATTTTTTCGATGATTCCTATCTCTCTGTCTCTGCACCCTTTCCCAAGATCTCTTAGACTTACATTACTAGCTAAAGGTAGTACAGTCACTGCATCATTATGAGCATTCACCAGCTGTTTAAATGCAGTCCCCGTCATCAAGAGCTCCTCATAGTTACCTAATTGAGTGATTCTTCCTTCTTCCATAACCTGATTAATTAGGATCATCAATCAATAATAATCTAACGGTAAGACATCAACATTATGTTTTTCAATCGACTGCTACTCAAGTTTTACCAGTATTTGATCAACTTTTGAGAGAAACTCGACTTGGTGAGTGACTAGAACAACAGTTTTCTCTCTTAACGAGTCCTCAACACATTTCTGCAGTCACAATTAAACTTATTAAGAAGGATCATATATAAAATCTTACTTAGCTCCAGGTATTATGAAAAGCTACAAAAGAAATGTTTTCACATACATGAAAAAGGACTCCAGCTGTATGTGCATCCACGGCACTAAAAGGATCATCAAGAAGGTAAACATCAGCGTCTGCATAGACAGCACGGGCTAGCTGAATCCTTTGCTTTTGTCCTCCACTCAAGTTAAGCCCTCTCTGTCCTATTTCTGTGAGATCACCATGTCCAAACCCATCTATGTCCTTATCCAACGCACATGCTTTAATAGCAGCATTGTATCGTCTAGTATCCATGGGCTTTCCATAGAGGATATTGTCTCTGATGGTACCACTTTGGATCCAAGAGCTCTGAGAAACATAAGCGATGGAACCAGAGATCTTAACCTGTTTCAGTAAGAAAACACAAAGGAACATATTGTAACAAACAGAGATGTTTATGAAGGAACCAAGAGAAATTATGTTTTGCTTACATTTCCAGAAACTTTAGGTATTTCTCCGAGTAATGCATGCAACAACGATGATTTTCCTGCCCCAACTGGTCCACAAACCGCAAGTTTTGTCCCATGTTTCATTTCCAAATTTACATTTTGGAGAGTTGTAATCTTAGTCTCTGGATCCCAACTGAAGTTCCCTGCTTGTATGTGAACTGCTGTTCCAGATTTCTCCAGACCACTTCTTTCACTCTCATCAATCTTAAGCTCGTCGTCAAGCAAAAACTTGTTTATTCTGTCAAAAGAGACACTAACTTGGATTACAGCAGAAATCGCCTCAGGTATAAGTCTAACAGGATCTGACATAACTCTCAGCGTAGCCAAAACCGTAAATATAGTGCTTGCGTTCAGCGGTGCGCTCTCCAATAAAGCACAGGCCAGGAAAATAACAGAAGAAACAATTGTTGGAGACATCCAATACAAGAAAGTACCAAAGGCCTTTGTCAGCTGAGCCTTAGCCAACCATTTGAATTCATCATCACGACAAGACTCTGTCTGTTTCTTGAACTCCTCTTCCCATGACTGCAGCTTAATGACTTTCATGCTGTTCAGAATCTCTGAGGTCAACCTCAGACGCTTATCCTGAGCGATCATGAACTGTGTCTGGCAGTTCTGTAGCCTCTTTGCAAATGGTACATTAAGGAGACCACAGAAGAGAAGAAGAATCAAACCCGGAAAAGCTCCTGCTCCAACTACACCAAAAAGTACAGTTGTGGAAAGCAAAAGCTGCAGCGTAGCGCTCCATCCCGAGTGGAACCACCATAAGAATTCTCCCATACGATATGCATCTATCGCAATGTAGTTGACAATCTCTCCAGATGAATGCCTTTTCCTCCCCAAGCTTGATAGCTTTAGCTGCTTTCTGTAGGCAGCAACCATTAGCGCTGATCTAATCCTCATCCCTGATCTTCTAGCTGCAAAATACCAATGTCTCATTGACAAGGACTCAACTAGCTTCAGCATAACCAGACAAGATAAGTTGAAGAAGCCAACGCGGAGATCCCTCTGGTCACTGTTTGTATATTCCACAAAGAGATATAACATGAGTGGAAGAGATACAACAGCAAGTGTTCTGAATAAGGCACAAACTGCTATAAATATGTTTTCTTTGAAGTAAACTCTTGCAATGGCTGTAAACACCAAGTTTCTTTCCTTCTTTGAGCTTCCCTCTGCGAGAAGAGTATCCCATGCTTTGGCAAATTTACTGTAAGCTAATTCTGCCTCATCCTCTGGTACTACACTTGGGATATCTTTTGGGGACAATGGTTTCTTGAAGCCCGCCAAGAGTAAAGGATTCATCCACGAGAATGTCAGGATACTGAAAAACCCAGCTGTTGCTAACCTCACAGAGTTTTTTCGAGGACTTCCAGTTAATAGAGGATCAGAAAGGTCTGTTTCACTGCAATCTTGAGTAGGAGATGCTCTGAGATTTATATAGGAGCAAAGGAGAAGCAAAAGACTTATCAGCCAGGTTATGATGTCAAACACTCTGATGCCTTGCAAAAGTAGCTCCATCTTTGCTGCTGAATCCAGTAAAGCAAAAGACACCCACCAAACAGGTGCAATAATCTCAATCCACTTTGAGCCGTTAACAAGCAAGGAAATCGCAAGTGAGACCCATATGATCCCTTCAACAAAGCAAACGAGCCAGGGGATTTCATTAACGTCATTAGAATCATCAAGCAGATTTTTCAATCCAGCACCAAGAATAATGAAGCTGGTAACAATACAACATAGAGCTGCAGCCACAAAGATCCAACTTTTCTTGCGGCGCCTGAAAGAAAACCGCTTGGAAACACAACCAGATATACAGAGCAAGTAGAAGATGCAGAGGAACAATAGATTTATAAGATCTTTGACGGTTCTTTGGAAGCAATGAGATGCCAGATTTAGTTCAAAGTCACACCATGGAAGACTCCCTGCAACAAAACATAATGAGATTGCATACAAGTTTTAGTGAATTTGCTAAGTTGTTACAGTGTGATGGCTTGTACATAAATGATTTGTACATATACAGAATATTAAAACTGGCTAGATTCCGAAAGTTTGTTTTCTTTGTTCTGTTTTTAACTTCAAGAACCTCACACAGCCCAAAAATGCCACAAACGTTAAAAACTAAGCATTAAAAACAAGAACCCAAGAATCAGAGACTTATGGGAATAAAATTGATGTAAAACCGTACCAATAGAAAGCGCCATTGTAGAAGCAGCAGCAACACAGAGCTGAATCAATTACAAGAAAAAGGAAAAAGAGTAAAGCAAAAGCTCTGCCTCTATCAAAGGTGAGGTTGATTCTCACTAACACTAAACGACGAATCAAAGTCCACATCTCTGCCTTTTTCCAGTATATGAATCGCACTAGCACTCTAGCGGCTGGCTTTTTTTATTATCTTTTGAAGAGTAAAGCTTGTCCCTCTCTAAATCAAAATCACTCACTGATCTCCTTGGATTTCACTCGTGAAGGGAAAGCTGTGTCAGTGTCAGTGACAGTGAGTGGTGTGGCACAAAAACTGCTCCGAATTTGATTGGTAGAGGTAGATCGTCGTTGCAGAACCTAAATAAACAAAAGTTCTTCCATGTACGAACAACAGTCAAAGCCACTATCTCCCTCTCACAATCAAATGCATTATTATTATTATATTGTTTTGGTTATCTTTTTTTGTCTTTCTATAGTGATTGTCATACTTAATTAATTAATTAAGTTCGAGTTTAACATTTTTATTCATAACAATGGATTTTTATTTCTTTTCTCAAGACAACAATGGAAGATCATAATAATGTGAATTCCAATATCTGACAATACAGTTTTAGCTATACTAGTATTGATAATGGGGAAAGACAGTTTGTGAATAGGTTCTTCTTTCCATAGAACATGCATGGAAAGACTACTACGTACATTTAGTAGCTGTGGTCTTGAAGAAGATTCTCAGAAGATTTTCCTCTGCAACTTGCCCAATACTCGGCAACGAGCTTGGAGAAGTAAGAATCAGTCTCCATCAGCTTCCAAGGCTCGTTGTACTCCACAAGATCACCTATTTGGTCATGACTCATAAGCTTATATAGGTTTAAGAGAGATAGGATGTTTACCAAACTTACATTAGAGAGAGAGAGAATATGTTTACCATACGAGAGAACCATGACCATTTCACTGTCTATCACCGTTGGGACTCTATGTGCAACTGTTATCACAGTGCAGTCTGCAAACTCTTCTCTTATGATTCTCTGAATGATTGCATCAGTGGCTGAGTCAATGGAGGCTGTAGCTTCATCCAACACCAATATCTTGTTTCTCTTCAGCAGTACTCTTCCGAGACAGAACAGCTGTCTCTGTCCCACGCTCCAGTTCTCTCCTTCATCACTCACTTCTCTCGTAAAAGAAAAGATAAACAAAAGTGTTATCAATCTCGGAGAGGAGCCAAAACGCCAAAAATGTGAAAGGAAACATGTCTTTTTGTTTTTTTTTTCTCAACCTGAAGAATCAAGTTTATTAGGCAGATTGCTAATGGTGGCCTTGAGCTGGCATTTCTCGAGAGCCTGCAAAATGAATTATGGTTCATCACTACAGTTCATCAGAGAGGTTTTATTAAAATCTCATTCTTGTTTCTTATTTCACCTTCCATATATCATCGTCGGAGTAAACACCTAAAGGATCAAGGTTGGTTCTTATACAGCCACGGAAAAGAGTTGGTTCTTGAGGAATGATGCTGAGTTTCATTCTTAAATCCTTTAGGCCAATCTTACTTATGTCAATGCCATCAATCAATATGGAACCACTTGCTGGTTCCACCAAGCGAAAAAGAGCACTGATTAACGTGCTTTTCCCACTTCCGGTCCTACCAACAACTCCAACTCTTGTCCCTTCCCTGAATGTGCAAGAGATTCCTTTGAGAACCAACGGAGCATTGGGGCGATATCTTATCTGCAAACAGAAAAAAAAAAAAGAGAATCAAAACAATGGCTTAAGCATCATTGAAAACCATGACAAGTAATGTTTCTATTTACCTTAAGTTCCCGCAAGTGAATTGTACCATTAGAAGGCCATGAGGAAGGTGGTCTACTATCATCTACAACTGCAGCAGGTTCTGCTGGTATGCTCATATACTGTTTTATCCTCTCCACCGAAATGATAGAGTTCGATAAGGTGCAATACCATCGTGTCATAAACACCTGAGTCTGTGTCAGTGTTAATGCATAGGAGAGTGAAAGCCCAACTAGGCCTGCAACACAAAGGCACAAGTTCATGCATGCAGACTATCAGTTTGATGAATATCTTGAACTATTATAGCAAAGTGTTTCCAAAGGCAAGCTCAAGTTAAGAGTGCAAATCTCTGGAAGATGTGATGAGGTTGATAATTCATGTACCTGGAGATATGTATCCCTTGGGAATAAGGATAAGCAGAAGTGCACAAGTGAATAAAGTCACATTCTGCAGAGTCTCTATCCTCAGAATCACCCACTCCATGGCTGCATTAGACAGAAAGAATAGCACGGCATCTGCGTCGACTAGATTTAGGTAGTTTTTAAAGAATCTGTCTACGGTTCCAAAGGCTCGTATTGTCACCACTCCAAGTGAGGTTTCTGCAGCATAGTTCATCACTGGAGCTTTGGTTGTTCCGTTGATCCTAATCAGCTCCCTTGCAGAGGCTAAATAGTAATCCTTTTTTTCAGAGAAAAGGCAGATGTTAATAATGACCTTTTGCTGCATAAATATGTAAAATGGAAACATGTACCAACCTGAACAACTTTCGTGGCTGCAAAAGCAAGAAGAGCTATGATGATTACTTGCCATGTCACATATGTCATGACGAATAGAGCTGTAGTGAGCTCAACAGCTCCTGCTACCACAAAACTGAATGCAAATGGAATGTCAAAGTCCAAGACGTTCAAATCAGATGATGCCTGCCAATGTTACATTCAATTTATTTCATTATATTGAGCTCAATGAGCTGTAGTGTTATATACATGTAAGGAAAGCGATCTTACTCGGGTGAGAATGCGTCCAACGGGAGTAGAATCAAAGAAAAGCATCGGGGCTTTGAAGACTGCATTTGTGAAACCAGAGAAGAAAGCTTTCGAAGCTTTTAGTCCAAGATGGGCAGTTGTAACAGCTCTCGCGTATACAAAACCAGCACTAAGAGTTGAGATAATGCTATAGACTCCTATAAGCATTGTGGCAGTGAGGTTGGGGATCCCAATTCCATAAGCCAGCCAGGAAGTTGATGCAGCCTGAAAAACTACAAAGCCAACCTGACCCAATACGCTTGACCATAGAAGAAACCATCCTTGGGAGACACGGAAATAGTCCAAGAAAGGCTTCAACCCAACATAACCTGACTCTTTTTCTTCTTCCTGTGTTAGTTGTGCCCCTGGAATATCCGTTGTTGCGATCTCTTCTACGACTTTTTCGACAACCTCAATGTTACTTATCTCTCTGTCTCTACCTCCTTTCCTAAGATCTCCGAAACTTGCATTACTAGCTAAAGGTAATATAGTCACTGAATCATTATGAGCATTCACAAGCTGTTTGAATGCAGTCCCCATCATTAAGAGCTCCTCATACTTTCCTGATTGAGTGATTCTTCCTTCTTCCATAACCTGAGCATGATCATCAATCTTTATTAATAAACAAGTAAGACATAGACAAGTATATTCTTTATCTCCTGCTATTCAGGTTTTACCAGAATTTGATCGACTTCAGAGAGAAACTCGACTTGGTGAGTGACCAGAATGACAGTTTTCTCCCTCAGCGAGTCCTCTACACATTTCTGCAGTCATAAAAAAACATGTCAAAAAGCAGTCATTAAGAAAGGCTTCTTCAAAAAAAATGTTCTCTCACTTACATGAAAAAGAAATCCAGCTGTATGAGCATCCACGGCACTAAAAGGATCATCAAGAAGGTAAACATCAGCGTCTGCATAGACAGCACGGGCCAGCTGAATCCTTTGCTTTTGTCCTCCACTCAAGTTTAGCCCTCTCTGTCCTATTTCTGTGAGATCACCATGTCCAAACCCATTTATGTCCTTATCCAACGCACATGCTTCAATAGCAGCATTGTATCGTCTATTATCCATGGGCTTTCCATAGAGTATATTGTCTCTGATGGTACCACTTTGGATCCAAGAGGTCTGAGAAACATAAGCGATGGATCCAGAGACTTTTACCTGTTTCAATAAGACAGCAAAAAGGAAACATCGTTGAACAAGGGAACAAAAGAAAAGAGAGTCTAGGTGGCTGCTTTGCTTACAGTTCCGGAAACTTTAGGTATTTCTCCGAGTACTGCATGCAACAACGATGACTTTCCTGCCCCAACTGGTCCACAAACCGCAACTTTCTGCCCATTCTTGATATCCAAATTTATATTCTTTAGAGTCTGGATCTTAGTTTCTGGATCCCAACTGAAGTTACCTGCTTGTATGTCAACAGCTGTCTCAGACTTCTCCAGACCACTTCTTTCAATCTCATCAATCTTGAGCTCGTCGTCAAGGAGAAAGTTGTTTATCCTATCGAAAGAGACACTGACTTGGATTACAGAAGATATCGCCTCAGGTATAACTCTAACAGGCTCTGACATCACTCTTAATGTAGCTAAAACCGTGAAGATGGTGCTTGCATTCAGCGGCGCGCTCTTCAACAAAGCACATCCAATAAAGATAACAGAAGAAACTAACGTAGGAGACACCCAATACAAAAAAGTACCAAATGCCTTTGCCAGCTGAGCCTTAGCCAACCATTTGAATTCATCATCACGACAAGACTCTATCTGCTTCTTGAACTCCTCTTCCCATGACTGCAGCTTAATGACTTTCATACTGTTCAGAATCTCTGATGTTGACCTCAGACGCTTATCCTGCGCGATCATGAACTGTGTCTGGCAGTTCTGTAAAAACTTTGCAAATGGTAGATTTAGGAGACCACACAGTAGAAGAAGAACTAAACCAGGTAAAGCTCCTACTCCAACTACACCGAAAAGCACAGCTGTAGATAGCAAAAGCTGCAGAATAAAGCTCCATCCCGAGTGGAACCACCACAAGAATTCTCCCATTCGATATGCATCCACCGCAATGTAGTTCACAATCTCTCCAGATGAATGCCTTTTCCTCCCCAAGCTTGATAACTTTAACTGCTTTTTGTAGGCAGCGACCATTAGCGCTGATCTAATCCTCATCCCTGATCTTCTTGCTGCAAAATACCAATGCCTCATCGACAAGGACTCAACTAGCTTCAGCATAACCAGACAAGCTAAGTTGAAGAAGCCAACGCGGAGATCCCTCTCGTCACTGTTTGCATAGTCCACAAAGACATATAGCATTAGTGGAAGAGACACAACAGCAACGGTTCTGAGAAAGGCACATATTGCTATGAATATGTTTTCCTTGAAGTAAACTTTCGCAACGGCTCTAAACACCAAGTTTGTTTTCTTCGTTGAGCATCCCTCTGTGAGAAGAGTATCCCATGCTTGAGAGAATTTACTGTAAGCTAACTCAGCCTCATCCTCCGGGACCACACTTGGGATATCTTCTGAGCATAATGGTTTCTTGAAACCCAACGAGAATAAAGGATTCATCCATGAGAATGTCAGGATGCTGAAAAACCCAGCTGTTGCTAACCTCGCTGAGTTTTTTCGAGGTTCTCCGGTTAATAGAGGAGTAGAAAGGCCTGTTTCACTGCAATCTTGAGCAGGAGAAGCTCTGAGATTGATACAGGAGCAAAGGAGAAGCAAAAGGCTCATCAGCCAAGTGATGATGTCAAAGACTCTGATGCCTTTTCCCTGTAAAAGTGTCTCAAGTTTTGCTGCAGAATCCAGCAAAGAAAAAGAGATCCACCAAACAGATGCAAGAATCTCAATCCACTTTGAGCCATCAACAAGCAATGAAGCCGCAAGTGAGAGCCAAATGATCCCTTCAACGAAGCAAGCAGCCCTGGAGCTTTCATCGACGTCATGAGCACCAAAAATCAGATTTCTCAGTCCAACACCAAGAAGAGAGATGCTAGTAACAGCACAACATATAGCAGCAGCCACAAAGATCCAGCTTTTCTTGCGGCTCCTGACAGTAAACCGTTTGGAAACAACGCAGCCAGCTATCAAGAGCAAGTAGTAGACGCAGAGGAAGAATAGGTTTATAAGATCTATGGCGGTTCTTTGGAAGCAATGAGAGGCCAAGTTCAGCTCAACGTTACACCATGGAAGACTCCCTGCAACATGAAAGGAGATAAAAAATTAGCATGTCACCAACACTTTTTATGAAATAATAATATCAATCGAACTTTTAGTCTTTTGAGGGACACAAGAAGCTAAAGAGAATGAAAGTCAAAGCTCACACCATAGTATTAACAATGATTGTACATAGAAATATTATTTTAACAAGTTTAAATTCAGAATGCTTGGTTTTTCCCCTACAAGAACCTCACACACAACCCCAAGAACGTTAAAAACCAAAGTTAAGCATTGAAACAAGTAACTCAAAAGCAAACAGAGTGAGCAAAAAAAAAAAACAGAAAGTAAATCCTAGTACCAATCGAAACCACCATTGTAAAAGCAGCAACAAAGCTCAGTCAATTAGGAAGAAATAAAACCAAGAGCAATAAGCAAAGAAGAAGAAAAAAAACTCTGCATTATAACAAAACGTGAGAAAGATTCTAAATTTCTAACAAACGCTAAACGACGAGTATCCAAGTCCCACACTTTCACCTCACCTTATCCTAGTCTCTGTCGTTGCATTTTCAACGTCAAATTTGTACTGTGGACCAACATGAGGACACACGACAATCATTCACCAAGGACAATTATATAAATTTTCTTCTCTGGCTTGTTTGTTTGTTTGTTTGTCGTCAAGGAAAGTTAAAAGAGTAAAGTAAAGAACGTACCTTCTTCGTTTGTGTAGCCGTCTCCTCCACTGCACACCTCCTCGAGCCGCCCGTTTAATTTCTCGGCACTCTTAGCAGATCCCTTTGTAAACCCATGGCGGATTCAGAAAAATGTGAATCCTTTCCTATTCCAAAGATCGAGTATTGGTCAGGAAATTTGAGGAAAACAACTTCGGTGGATTGATTTGTTCGTTCGATTCCGGATCCGAATATGACCCAAAAATCAAACCGGAAAGTCTTTCTGATCCGAATATCGATCCGGTCCAAATGCGGGTCAATGTATCTAATGCGCGCGGAAATTTTTTCGTAATATTTTACATTTTTGTCAAATGTGCATATACGAGTACTGTGTATATTTGTGTCTTTTAAATTTTAATCTCTTATAACAAACAGTAACGTTATCATACATTAAAATATTGAGAGGCACAAATAATAACCGATTGATGGTTTATACACATTTGTCATGCACTTCGTGATTATGTTATGCATATGCATACGTAACTAATATACTCTTAAGTATTCATAAAGTAAAATATGCAACAAATAATTGTAATCATTCTAAATTTGGGCATGAAGGTTCTGATTTCTGAGAAGAAGAATTTCCTCTGCAGCTTGCCCAATACTCAGCAACGAGCTTAGAGAAGTAAGAATCAGTCTCCATCAGCTTTGAAGGCTCGTCATACTCCACAAGATCACCTGTTTGGTCATGACTCATGCATGAGCGTCCATAGATGTTCACGATATGTTTAAGAGATGAAAAGAGAAGGTTCCTTAGAGAGAGAGAAGATGTTTACCAAAGGAGAGAACCATGACCATGTCACTGTCTATCACCGTTGGTACTCTGTGAGCTACTGTAATCACCGTGCAGTCTGCAAACTCTTCTCTTATGATTCTCTGAATGATTGCGTCAGTGGCTGAGTCAATGGAGGCTGTAGCTTCATCCAACACCAATATCTTGTTTCTCTTCAGCAGTACTCTTCCGAGACAGAACAGCTGTCTCTGTCCCACGCTCCAGTTCTCTCCTTCATCACTCACTTCACATTGAGTCACACCAACAATAAAAGATGAACATATGAGTGTAAAGGTCATCTGGTGAAATGAAAACATAACTGTTTTGTTTTTTTACAATTACCTGAAGAATCAAGTTTATTAGGCAGGTTGCTAATCGTCGTCTTTAGCTGGCACTTCTCGAGAGCCTGTATGCAAAAGAAATGGTTCCTCAGAAAGGTTTTAAATTCTTAGATATATAAATTTCATTCGTGTTTCGTATCTCACCTTCCATATCTCATCGTCAGAGTAAACACCTAAAGGATCAAGGTTGGTCCTTATGCAGCCACGGAAAAGAGTTGGTTCTTGAGGAATGATGCTGAGTTTCATTCTAAGGTCTTTTAGGCCAATCTTACTTATGTCAATGCCATCAATCAATATGCAACCACTTGCTGGCTCCACCAAGCGAAACAAAGCACTGATTAAAGTGCTTTTCCCACTTCCGGTCCTGCCAACAACTCCAACTCTTGTCCCTTCCCTGAATGTGCAAGAGATTCCTTTGAGAACCAACGGAGCATTGGGGCGATATCTTATCTGCAAAAGGAATCAAAACAATGGCTTCAGCATAGTTTAAACCATCATCTTATAACAAGTAATGTTTCTTCTTTCCATACCTTAAGCTCCTGCAAGTGAATTTTACCCTCGGAAGGCCATGAGGAAGGTGGTCTACAATCATCCACAACTGCAGCAGGTTCTGCTGGTATGCTCATATACTGTTTTATCCTCTCCACCGAAATGATAGAGTTCGATAAGGTGCAATACCATCGTGTCAAAAACACTTGAGTCTGTGTCAGTGTTAATGCATAAGATAGCGAAAGCCCAACTAAGCCTGCAACACAGAGGCACGAAGTTCATATAGAACCTTTTAGTTTGATGAATATCCTGAAAAAAATATAACAAAAATTCACAGCAAAAATTGCTGGAAGATGTGATGAGGTAAAAAAAAAGAATCAGGTACCTGGAGCTATGTAGCCCTTGGGAATAAGGATAAGTAGAAGCGCACAAGTGAATAAAGTCACATTCTGCAGAGTCTCTACCCTCAGAATCACCCACTCCATGGCTGCATTAGACAGAAAGAATAGCACAGCATCTGCGTCGACTAGGTTTAGGTAGTTCTTAAATAATCTGTCTACTGTTCCAAAGGCTCGTATTGTCACCACTCCAAGTGAGGTTTCTGCAGCATAATTCATCACTGGAGCTTTGGTTGTTCCGTTGATCCTAATCAGCTCTCTTGCAGAGGCTAAATAGTAATCCTTTTCAAAGAAGAAGGCATATGTTAACAAGTAGTAACTCCTAGGCTGCATAAGCCAACTATGAAAATATGTAAATGCAAAGCATGTACCTGAACAACTTTTGTGGCTGCCAAAGCAAGAAGAGCGATGATGATTACTTGCCAAGTACATATGTCATGACGAATAGAGCTGCAGTGAGCTCAACAGCAGGTGCTACCACAAATATGAATGCAAACGGAATGTCAAAGTCCAAGACGTTCAAATCAGAGATGCCTGCCAAAGTTACATTCAATTATATCATTATTTGAGCTGTAGTGTTATTCATACATGCAAGTAAAGCGATCTTACTCGGGTGAGAATGCGTCCAACGGGAGTAGAATCAAAGAAAAGCATTGGGCTTTGAAGACTGCATTTGTGAAACCAGAGAAGAAAGCTTTCGAAGCTTTTAGTCCAAGATGGGCAGTTGTAACAGCTCTCGTGTATACAAAACCAGCACTAAGAGTTGAGATAATGCTATAGACTCCAATAAGCATTGTTGCAGTGAGTTTAGGGATCCCAATGCCATAAGCCAGCCAGTAAGTTGATGCAGCCTGAAAAACTACAAAGCCAACCTGACCCAATACGCTTGACCATAGAAGAAACCATCCTTGGGAGACACGGAAATAGTCCAAGAAAGGTTTCAACCCAACATAACCCGTCTCTGTTTCTTCTTCTTGCGTAAGTTGGACCCCTGGAATATCCGCTGTTTCAATATATTCTTCGATTTTTTCGACAACCTCGATGTTTCCTGTCTCTCTGTCTCTACCTCCTTTCCTAAGGTCTCCTAGACTTTCATTACTAGCTAAAGGTAATACAGTCACTGCATCATTATGAGCATTCACCAGCTGTTTGAATGCAGTCCCCATCGTTAAGAGCTCCTCATACTTTCCTGATTGAGTGATTCTTCCTTCTTCCATAACCTGAGCATGATCATCAATCTTTAAACATCAAACGGCTAAGACATAGAGTGTTTGATACTGCTATTCAAGTTTTACCAGAATTTGATCGACTTCAGAGAGAAACTCGACTTGGTGAGTGACCAGAATGACAGTTTTCTCCCTCAGCGAGTCCTCAACACATTTCTGCAGTCAAAATAACACATATTAAAAAGCACTCTTTAGGAAAAGCTTCTTAAAAAAAATGTTCTCTCACTTACATGAAAAAGAAATCCAGCTGTATGAGCATCCACGGCACTAAAAGGATCATCAAGAAGGTAAACATCAGCGTCTGCATAGACAGCACGGGCCAGCTGAATCCTTTGCTTTTGTCCTCCACTCAAGTTAAGCCCTCTCTGTCCTATTTCTGTGAGATCACCATGTCCAAACCCATCTATGTCCTTATCCAACGCACATGTTTTAATAGCAGCATTGTATCGTCTAGTATCCATGGGCTTTCCATAGAGGATATTGTCTCTGATGGTACCACTTTGGATCCAAGAGTCTGAGAAACATAAGCGATGGACCCAGAGACCTTTACCTGTTTCAGTAAGACAACATAAAGGAAACATCTATGAACAAACATACATCTATGAAATGAACAAAAGAAAAAAGAGTCTTGGTGGCTGCTTTGCTTACAGTTCCGGAAACTTTAGGTATTTCTCCGAGTACTGCATGCAACAACGATGATTTTCCTGCCCCAACTGGTCCACAAACCGCAACTTTCTGCCCATTCTTTATTTCCAAATTATATTTTGAATAGTTGGAATCTTAGTTTCTGGATCCCAACTGAAGTTACCAGCTTGTATGTCAACTGCTGTTCCAGATTTCTCCAGACCACTTCTTTCAGTCTCATCAATCTTGAGCTCGTCGTCAAGGAGAAAGTTGTTTATCCTATCGAAAGAGACACTGACTTGGATTACAGCAGAAATTCGCCTCAGGTATAATTCTAACAGGCTCTGACATCACTCTTAGTGTAGCTAAAACCGTGAAGATGGTGCTTGCATTCAGCGGCGCGCTCTTCAACAAGCACAACCCACAAAGATAACAGAAGAAACAATTGTTGGAGACATCCAATACAAGAAAGTACCAAAGGCCTTTGTCAGCTGAGCCTTAGCCAACCATTTGAATTCATCATCACGACAAGACTCTATCTGTTTTTTGAACTCCTCTTCCCATGACTGCAGCTTAATGACTTTCATACTGTTCAGAATCTCTGAGGTTAACCTCAGACGCTTATCCTGCGCGATCATGAACTGTGTCTGGCAGTTCTGTAACATCTTTGCAAATGGTAGATTTAGGAGACCGCAAAGAAGAAGAAGAACTAAACCTGGAAAAGCTCCTGCTCCAACTACACCAAAAAGCACAGCTGTGAAAGCAAAAGCTGTAGCGTAAGGCTCCATCCCGAGTGGAACCACCTCAAGAATTCTCCCATTCGATATGCATCCACCGCAATGTAGTTCACAATCTCTCCAGATGAATGCCTTTTCCTCCCCAAGCTTGATAACTTTAACTGCTTTTTATAGGCAGCGACCATTAGCGCTGATCTAATCCTCATCCCTGATCTTCTTGCTGCAAAATACCAATGTCTCATCGACAAGGACTCAACTAGCTTCAGCATAACCAGACAAGCTAAGTTGAAGAAGCCAACGCGGAGATCCCTCTGGTCACTGTTTGCATAGTCCACAAAGACATATAGCAGTAGTGGAAGAGATACAACAGCAACGGTTCTGAGAAAGGCACATATTGCTATGAATATGTTTTCCTTGAAGTAAACTTTCGCAACGGCTCTAAACACCAAGTTTCTTTTCTTCGTTGAGCATCCCTCTGTGAGAAGAGTATCCCATGCTTGAGAGAATTTATTGTAAGCTAATTCAGCCTCATCCTCCGGGACACACTTGGGATATCTTCTGAGCATAATGGTTTCTTGAAACCCAACGAGAGTAAAGGATTCATCCACGAGAATGTCAGGATGCTGAAAAACCCAGCTGTTGCTAACCTCGCTGAGTTTTTTCGAGGTTTTCCAGTTAATAAAGGATCAGAAAGGCCTGTTTCACTGCAATCTTGAGCAGGAGAAGCTCTGAGATTGATACAGGAGCAAAGGAGAAGCAAAAGGCTCATCAGCCACGTAATGATGTCAAAGACTCTGATGCCTTTTCCCTGTAAAAGTGTCTGGATATTTGCAGCAGAATCCAGCAAAGCAAAAGAGACCCACCAAACAGATGCAAGAATCTCAGTCCACTTTGAGCCATTAACAAGCAGTGAAACCGTAAGTGAGACCCAAATGATCCCTTCAACGAAGAAACCAACCCAAGAGGTTTCATTGACGTCATTAGCACCACCAGTCACATTTTTCAGTCCAGCACCAAGAAAAATGATGCTAGTAACGGCACAACACACAGCAGCAGCCACAAAGATCCAGCTTTTCTTGCGGCGCCGGACAACAAAATGTCTGGAAACAACACAACCAGCAATCAAGAACAAGTAGAAGACGGAGAGGAAGAGTAGATTTATAAGATCTATGGCGGTTCGTTGGAAACAATTAGAGGCCAAATTCAGGTCAACTTCACACCATGGAAGGTCCCCTACATCATTAAAGAAAAACCGACAAAGAGAGAAAAATTAGCAAATCATCAACACTTTTTAAAAGCATAATATATAGTTTATATTATAGTTTATAAACAGAACTTTTTTGTCTTTTAAGGAACACAAGATGCCAAGAGAGTGAATATCAAAGATCCCACCATATTACTATCAAGAATTATTATAACTCCTTACATACAAGAACCTCATAGTCACACAACCGAAGAATGTCACAAACGTTTAAAAATTTGTAAATTAAGCACTGAACAAAAAGTATTCCAAAGAACTGAAGAAAGCAAAGTAAGAGACTTTGACTTTAAAAATGATTAAAATCGTACCAATCGAAACCACCATTGTAAGAGGCAGCAACAGAGCTCAATCAATTACAAAAAAAAAAATGAGCAAAAAAACTCAAACTTTTTATCAAGACTCAATTGATAGCGCATTGCAATCGTTTTCTTGGTCTTTTTCAAATCTGAAGTACTCGGTTGTAACTTGTCGTACTAGCAATCATAAGATGGGTAGTAGTTGCATATGCATACGTAAAAATTAAAAGCTTTGGATCTGTGTGTGTGTCATCTACTCACCGTGGACCCACATGAGGAGGACACACGACAATGACGGATCTCGATTCATTCATAAAGGATACCAAAGGAAACAAAATTAAAAAACAAAACTTTCTACTTCATCATAAAAGGTGAGATTTTGTTTGTCGATAGATTAGTAGTTGATTGTTAAGAGTAAAGAACCTTCGCTGCTGTCTCCGTTGCACTTCTCGGCCGTCTTAGCAGATCCATGGCGGATTTAGACAAAATGCGAATCCTTTCCTCTTCCAATTTCCAAGGATTGAGTAAATTACGAAACAACGAAACACGGTTAGAGGAGTAAGAAATTTCGGAAAAATCAACTTCGGTGGATTTTGTTCGTTTGTAAACCAAAAATCAAACCGGAAAATCTTTCGGATCCCAATATCGATCCGGTCTAAGTGCGGTCCAATGGATTTAAATGCTAGTGCAGACTTAATGAGTTGATTTAAATGTATTGGATATTTCATATTTGGCATGCACTTTAATTTGTGATTGTCCTATAAATGTATTAAATACGTAATAAATAATTGCGTACGTTATTAGTTGTCATGAACTTTAAGTATTCATAAAGTGAAACATGAAACAAATAATCGTATTATGAAACAGAAATATAAATAATTCAGAAAATGGTTGACAAAAAAAAAGGAAAAGGTGGGATAGAAAAAAAAAAAAAAAACAGAAAAAGAATAGGAAGAAGAAGGACTTATGGAAGGGGATGGATCTCAGAGGGAGTTTATAAAACATACTAGCAAATGTTCTTTGTTTAGCAGTGTGATCAAGTTAATTATATATATGTAGTATTTGAGTCATTTCTGTTTGGTAAATGATGCTTGGAATTTGTGTATGTGATAGTTTAAAGATAAATGTGATACATTTTTACTTTCATGTTATAAACTAGCTAGCCGTCTACATAACAGATGATAGCATATGTGTTATTCGTAATTGTGATAAATCAATCATCCATGTGATAATTTAGAACTTCATGTGATATATTGGAGAAAGAAAAACTTAACTAAACGATATATCTTATTTGTTGCTTGTTAATTGACTTACATAATTAAGAAAGAAAGGAAAAACGAAATGAGTATGGCAATAAAACCCACATTAACATATCGAGCCAGTAATGTGATAATGGGCTCCAATTTTTGAACTTTTTTCTTTTAAAAAACTTTATAAGTTTTCAAGAAGCAATAATTCAGTATTCAATCTACAATAAAACACCTAAAAGTCGAGTTCACCATGTCTGGGTTTTTTAAACTTTGTATTGCAAAATTAAGATGTTAATACTAAAATTCCTTTTACGGATTTAATGTTGATAATTTAATCCTGAACTAACCAATTAGGGCCACCGGCCACAATGTCACACTGAAATCTTGTGAGCAAGTAACGAATTGGTTAACTGAAATTAGATTCTAACTTTTATTTAGATTAGATTTGACTCAACTAGCCAGGTTTTTATTCTTAAAAAGAGTTATCATTTTCAGTCCACGAGAAGGAATTGGTGGATTTTACGTAGTATCACAAAACAAGTAAGTGCATGCATGAGCATATATACACAACTCTATATGTATATATGTTCCATTGAAACTCATATACCAAAAAGGAAATCAACATTTGCATGATAAAGCAGTTAGATAAATAACGGGCCCCATAGATAACTCATTAGAAGGAAATTTGATTAAAAACTCATCAAAAAGTGCTGCTACAAGTTAGACTTTGTGTTACAACCAAACTATACCCTTTTAGTCCTTCTCTTCGGTTCTCCTTCTCATGTTGACTTTAGTTTGTGCACTTCGTATGATTCCTACCACAACCAAGAAAATCAAAACTATCACAAAGAAATACGCAAAACTATACTATCTCTATTAAAAACAACCCTTAATTACCAGAATGGAATGTAGTTGGCTTAGAAGTGGAATGAGCAAAGAAATTAAACTACTTATATCATCTTCAACCATCTGATGACTCTCGTCTTTCGCCGAAAGCACATTGATGAATGTGTTGTTGTTTGGGACCAGCTTAAGAGCCACCTTAATTAAGACAAACACAAGCACATCCCAAGAAATTGTTACGAGAATAATTTGTTTTACTTCTCGAGTTAATGAACATTAATACAGTATATAATAATACCTTGAAAGCAGCTGAAGAGATCCATCCATGCCATGGTTTTATAGTCAAATTATAACTTTCTTCAACGGCTTGTTCCATGTTTTGTGACATGTCTTTGACCAGCCGTTGCAATAGCGCCAACGTAAAATCCATCGCTCTAAATATTGTGAGATTCAATTGTTAAAAATCATTTTCGTTGTTCGAGATTCAATATGGTTTGAACTAAATCCGTTTGTGAATTGTGATAAATTTAAATGCACGAAAATTGATACGTACCTCGTTAGCCAAAGAGCAGCTCTGCTACAGCTTTTAGGCTTCCTAGAGGATCCTTCCTTTGCTTCTTTTCTCAGTATCTCAACCAAATTTGAGTAGAGAATAGGATCAGACTCCCACATCTTCTCCAATCTCTACACCAACTCACCAAACATAATGTGTTAAATTCAATAACTTGATAAACCCATTAATAAGAAAGAAAAAACGAGGGTGGAGGAAAAAACGAGGTCCATTCATTCGATATAGATTGAAAGAAATGGTGAAAATAACCCTGAAAGCAACGTAAAGGTGTAGATGGGTCCACGTGTCGAAAGAGAGGAAATTTTCTTGGACATCGAGTCGAAAATTTTAATCATGCTTGCTAATTATACGTTGAGCTTTAGAGAGTAACTTGACATTAAAAAAGTAATACTATAGCGTAAGAAAATTAATATACATATTCATAAATTGGGTTACGCAAGTGATTACGAGCATTGAAAATGATGCGTATGTGTACTAGTATTAAACATACAAAAAGACAAAAACTAATTACTTGAATATTTTGATCAACGTCTTGTCGGAGAACTGCCATTGTCGGGCCAATCTTATCTGCAATCAATCAACAAAGTTTCAGGACAACCATTGGAGGAACTAGTTATGCTGTAATTCAAGAAAACCAAACAGTAGTGAGCTATACTCGGAAACTAGAACAAACTCTTTAACGTTAACTCAATATATCCACCAAAAATATAATTATTAAAAAAAATGAAAAGAAGGAAAAACACCATTAAATTTAATTTACATACCAAGAACTTGGATGATTAATCTGCAGAAAGAAAGGAGAGGCTTCAAAGGTAAATTGATGATGTTGGTGGATTCTGTTTCGGTGGTAACTATTGTGGTCTTGGCTATGGAAAGAACAGAGAGTTCTTCAATGGCGGATCCAATCTCTGTCATCTTCTTCTTCTTCGTTGTCTCTTCCATCTCACTTCTCTTTCGTTTCATCTTCTAGTAATTTTTCTCTTTGCTTCCTCGAGTATGTTTGTGTGTGCGCGCGTGTGTATGCCTCTACTAGACCAACATGAGGGAATACGGCTATTTATAATTCCGACTGTTGAGTCTTTCCTTCTTCTTCTTTTTTTTTTCTGTCTTATTCCGGAATATTTGTTAAATATATCTTGTAAATATGTACGAAATACATTATCTGTAGACTATAAAAATAATAATATGTTTATGGATTCTCTCATCGAGATGATGGTGATTAGTGAGTGATTACTATTGGCAACCCCTATGTTTGACCTAGCTATCGTTTTTAGTTCCGGGATTTAATCAATTTTGTTTACTATTCAGTTAATTAGATTGCTAAATTCTCCCCTAATGGCACAATCTGCGCTCGAGGCTCTTTGGTTTATTGGTTTATTACAAGTGTTGTCTCTGTTTTATCGTTATCTGAAACTAATATAGTTTTCGATTATTATTTTCTTCATAGTTTTAATCTGTTTTTGTTAAGTTTGACCCTACATTTATCTAGACATACCAATTTTTCTTTGTCAGCAGCAGTACCTTCATAATCATATAGATAACTAAACGAATCTGAGATAAATCAGCTTAACAATAAATTAATAGTCAGATGAAGTTTCTTACTTCTAGTCTTCTACGAGGAGTGTCTAGAAGCATGTATATACTGTGTAGGACCTTCAAAAGTCTAAATGATAGCCTAGTAGATAAGATATCAAATTTATGCACAATTTTGGATAGAATGACCCCTAAATAATTTGCATTTACATCATCAAATAGAAAAATACAATTATTCACATATGCACATACATATACATATACATACACTTACACGTGGAAACATGTCGTTTTGTGTGCAAATGTACATGGAGAAAGTGGGGCAGTTAAGGAGTTTAGTTTGTGGGTCAAACGTCGTACTTAGACATAACATTTTTTAGTACTTTAGTTTAAGCTTCTTAAGATCATCTTTATTTGGTTAAACTTCTAAACGAGCCGACAAAAACACACAAAAACTTATAAGCGAGCGGCTAATTAGCATATTAAGTTGTTAATTTTTCGCTTAACCAAGTTAATTAACCTCATTACCATTAGGATGTAGGAATGGCCTAAAGGAGGGATGCTGTAACAAAGAAAGCTCTGAGATCACATCTCAAGGCAAAATCCAGATAAGAGATAACCATAAAGTGAACATGAGTTCATACATATATAGTAAGAAAGTCGTCTGGTTATAACTAAAATCGAACGGTCGCTTTGCTAAATGAAGTAATGTCCAAAGTCTATAGAACATGCTGGTGGGTAAGGCACTCTAACAATTAGTGGGACGAATATTTTGGCTTATGTATTAATTATACACTGAATACATTTTCTAATCTAACTATTGTACGGTCTACATAAGTCTAACTCCCCCCTTAGACCCTCTCTTCTCATCCCGATTCATGAATGACCAACTAATAATAATGTTGCATAATACATTATATTACACATGGCTAAGCCCAGCACGCCGTTTATATTCATTTAATCTATTAGTCAACAAATGATATAACCATTTCTTTTTTGGAATCAATTATTTGTTGTATAGAGTTATTAAAGAACTTTTTAAGGTAATGCTTATATAGTTATATTACAGCATACCAATTACCAAGTCCTCCGAATGTGGTCTACTTTTCTTCCTATCCAGACCATAGGGTCCCGAATCACGATGTAGATTCTAAGAAATAGAATACTACTACTACTACTACTACTTAATAGTGATCTTTTGTCGCACTTACTGATAATATTTAGTTTTCTATTTTATAACCAACCTATTAATCTCCATGTCTCTATTGTTAACTTGTTAATTTAGGGTTATCTCTTTCTTGATCTCATAATGCATGTGAGTGTTGATTTAATCCTATGTGAGTTCGTTTATGCACTGCCTTCTATGTAACTAGCCTTTTCACGGATTTAGCTCTTTTGTAATTGTTGTATTTAAAGAGTTTTTATGTACTTCGTAAAACTGAGTAATACACGTGTAAGCTTTAGGACATCGGTGAGATGATTTTTTTAGTACCACATAATTTGGTCAAAATTAAGAAAAAAATCAGAAAACGTATATGAAAATTGGGTTTCTTCCACCAAGACGGAAAACTGGCCCAGGTTTTCTTATTTATGAGGTATTTTATCGTAAAAACAAAGTGAGATTTCAATTTCGTAAACGTAAAAGTGAGGGAAGGATGGATATACGTACGAGTATTTTATCTAAGAAAATAAAATATGGCCCGGAGTTACATACCATACCAAAAGTTGGATTATGTATATTCGTGATTTACAAGAGCAGTCGAACGCGTTGTTGTCATAATAATATCACCGCGACACTGGCACCTATTTTTATGCGTAATGTAATATTTTCACAAACAATGTGCATTCAGGGCCGGCCCTGAAAAATATGGGGGGGGCAGAATAATTTAGTAAGATTTTGATAAATTTTGGGGCTAAAAATTATTATTTTTTTTTAATTTGAGGCCAAAATCTATACAAATTTTTTTAATAAAAATGTGGGGACCAAGCCAAAAGCCTCACTTGGCTTGCCTCAGGGCCGGTCCTGTGTGCATTTTATGTATTGTTGAGTAGATTTTATCCATTGTTCATACAGTTTTATCATGGGAAAATAACCATTCGTCACTTGCATAGGTAATGTGGTTGTTTGGGTCTTGCTAGTTAGTGTGCGTTGGATAACTCAACGTAGGCATAAGTCCAGTCGAAGCCGCGTTGGAGGACTTTCTGGTCTCAACAAGCTAGTGCGAGCTATCGGTGATGCTTGCCTCGTCTAGTTTTTTCCAAACTATTGTAGATTCAAACCAAATATTCCCAAGTTAATTTAAAGACATGACGGCTAAATGATACGTAACGTTACGAGATTCATCTAAACTAAATTATACACTACGCGTAACTGGTTCACTAAAAGTTAACACGTTAACGTGCATGGTTATAACTTATAAGTGATTCACCTAAAAGGCTATAAGTATATAACTAATTATTATTGTTCTCTTAGACATGTTATTTACAGTTTCTCCATCGTGTTCTTACATATTCCATTTACTTCTCCTAGATGAAGGGAGTCAAACAATTATATAATTAAGATTGGTTAGAAAGTATAGTTCGGGTAGATCAAGAAATATTTTAACTTTCCGAATATTGCCAGATATATACCACAAGCTTCCCATGCCGCTTTCTAATTTTATATAGTGTGAATACTCAAGATTCTTTACAATTTAATTCAACTTTTAAAAAAAAAAACTTTGGACCGTTTACCAACATTAACAATAGTATTGAAATATGCGAAGCATCGTCGAGCTGTAATGTGACACTTATCCGTCTCCTATTGAGCCATTACATTTTCATTTTATCAATAACGACATATCTCATATCTCATTTTCACGACATACATATATAATATCGATCGAACCGATAACTAACTAACCTTTTTTGTTTTGTGAACAAACTAACTAACCAATTTTCTGTATAGCATTCTGGCATAATCCATACAAGCAACGACATGCATGCACACATATATCCTTTTACCTCTTTTCATTCATTTAAATGTATATTAACGAATTAATGTCATTTCAGAATCTACATATGGACATCTAATGTAATGAGTTATATGAGATTCTTTATGCTAAAGATTCAGGTAGTCCTTAGTTTTAGGGTTTGTAATGAAGCTATAGAGTATACATACGTATATAGAGTGCCAGGGGCGGATCCAGGAAGAAAAATCGTATGGGGCACAAATAACTAGCAAAAATTACAAAGTAAATATAAAACATAGTCCAATAAGAAGAGATGTGGGAAGAAAAAAAAACAATAAAAAGAACGAAAATATACAGTTTTCAACAGGATTCGAACCATGGACTTAAGATCTAACATGGGGCACTCTTTAGCAACTAGGCTACAGGATTAATAAAGACAGTGTTCCCTTATACAAATATTTAGATTAGTATGGGGCACGTGCCACACCTACCTTGGCTGTAGATCCGCCCCTGTAGAGTGCTCAATACTTGAAAATGTTTTTGTCTTAAGAGAATTTGCGTATCAGCAAGAAAGTCAAGCCGGCTAAATATATTTAATTTTGGAACGAAATTATTATCTACTAGTTGACATATTGCTCAATTAAAAATGGTGATAAGAAAATTGTTCTAGCTAGTGTTCCGCTTTAATGTATTTGGCAGTTCGGTAAGGCATGCAAGGATGAACAAACTAGGAATCTCTCACTTTCTTCATTTGTGTTTTTTTTTGTCAAAGAATCGCTTTCTTCATTAATCGAATATATACCCATCATTTTTTTTTATGTCAGCCCCCATGATACGTCCCTGGAATAGATCGGCTTGAAAGCTAAGTGTTTGAGCGGATTGGAACACAAAGTCAATGTTGGATGAGAGTTGAATGAGAGTGATGAATGGATCGAGTGACTATACTAGAGAACCCGCGGAAGAGATCTCTAACACCACCTCCAACGTGTTGATATTACACACAACAAGTGAGAGGAAATCTGTGGACTTAGTTGATATTACGCACAACAAGTGACAGAACAATGATCAAACAAAAGAGAGGTTTTGGATAAAGATTGATTGATAAACTGAAAAGGATTTCGTCCAGTACAATATAAAGGGAAAGAGAAGAAGGGAAAAGGAAGAGATGAGTCAAGGAACAAACTCCAAAGACTATCTCGGAAAAGCAAACACAATTAAAACAAAGTTTGAACACAAATATGACCCTTGATCTTCATGGCCACGTTTTTAGCCTTCTTTATTGATGGGCCTTGGTCTTGATCAGCTAAATGGGTGATTTGTATGTGACCCATTTGCCTCATTAAAAACCTTGTCAAGAAAACCCATTGGGACAAAACTTGACAAGGGAAAAAGAGTACAAATGAGACACATGCCCATTTGCTGATCTCTTGAGCTTGGATCAAAAACCAGGGAGGTTTAGGATCATGTCTTCTCCATCTTGGCTCAAGATTAACTCCAGAATGAGTAATCAGTTCCATTGGCGCAGCTACAGAATCCTTGGAAACAAGCTCCTTCTCAGCTGCAAGCTCTTTAATTCCGTCAGGTTCCAGCTCCATATGTTTAGCTCCATCAGGTTCAAGTTGCGCGGCTTCAAGTCCCTCCTCGGCTTCAAGCTGCTCCATTCCATCTTCTTCCTCGGCCAAAAGCTGCTTTTCCTGAACCTCCTCATCCATGATCGCATCACCCCATATGCATGGATCATGTAGGATGTCTTGGTAACTTAATTATGGAGCATTGGAGTCTCGAAATGCTTAGTGGAAATTTTGGGCTTAAAGGAAATGACCAAACTCGTGATTCAGACCAAAACACACTGAAGCGACGACAAGATGGAACAAATTCTCTTTCGTTAAACACTTTGCTTTCGAACGACATTTATTATCAAAATGATTTACCTAAATACTGTCACTTTTGAAGTCTTATAAACACCATATGTAACTAATTTAGAGGAGTGATTTACACTTTGAGTGACTTTTTGAGTTATGTTTACAAAAAAGAGGGACTTTTGTTCAGAGGTGGACTTTTGCTTTATGTGATGTGTTTGTAAATTACAATTACACCCTTAATGAATATTGGGTAAAAAAAATTGTAATTTAATTGTCTCCAACAACCGCTCGGAAACTTTGATGACTCATCGTAATATTTCACCGGAATCTATGTCTGATATTTGCCGAGGCTCTCATATGAATTTTAGACTCCGGTTTGACGAAATCTTAGTAGCCAGCTTAGATCTCCGCCGCCTGGACGGTTATAGTTGGATAACTGACTCATTGGACGATTTTGTCTAGTGACACAGAAATCAAGTCCTTTGATTGTCTGGACGGTTATTGTTGGATAACTGACTCGTTGGACGATAGTGACACAAAAACCAAGTCCTTTACCCCTATTGTATCTAGTAATTTGTACAGTTTGATGGTGGATGCTTTTTCTCTGCTTTATAAGCCATGAAATTTCTCTGTGTACTTTCTTCATTAGATAAGCCCTGAAAATCAGCAGACACACAGTTTATTTGAGAAGTGCACAACGTTAATTAAGAAATAGATGAACCAGTAATCACAATGAAAGACCATTTTTCATTAATTATTTACCAAAGCATCTAATAGCATTGTGGACGATATTTTATAGATTGATTTTCATGGACAAATCTGGTATCAAACTAAAAGTATATCGTATATTATCTAACATGGACAAATGTTCTAATCGTGGATCACTCCAGAACTCACTAACTGTGTCAAAAATCCTCTAAAAAACAGCCCTATTGGCTTTCCACAATAAGATCATAAGCTAATAGGACCCCATCAAATGTTTCATCATACTTTCAAAACAAAGAGTAATACACAAAACTATAAAGAAAGCGAACATTAGCATCAAGTAATTATCATCAAGAAAACACTGATTTACACAATAGATTATACATACAGAACAATATGAGCAATTGTACCAGACTGATCAAAGTTGTTCTTGGTCTCCGTAATGCTATACGACGAAGATCTTGTTTGTCCGCTCCCACCCTCACCACCATGAATTGGTGAGATAAGATGCATTGGGCTAGTGTGTGGCTTTAGCACTTCTTGATCATCCTATGGGACAGCTTTCTTCGCCTCGACCTGAAATAAAAAATGAAAGGACTCATCATTCTTTTTCGTTGATCTATCAATAACATTGCCCCATAAACAAAAAAAAACAATTCCCACAAGTTAAAACAGAAAATCTCGAAGCTAATGAGACCAACAGATTCCTACAAAAGCATGAATACATAAAGATTGAAACTATATTGCTCAATACGCATCAATTAGGAGAGTTTCATAACTAAATACAACATATAGATCTCTAAGAGAGCATGATTGCAGAAAGATCAAAACTTTAGAAAAAGCCATCGCTCAAGAGTCAAGACTAATCAATGAAGAATCTTTTGATAGCATTTTCAAGATTACTAACTGTTGGGAATCTGTCAATGACAAACAACCTATGAGGTAGCTGCTTATCCCAATCTTTGTTGATGAAATTAAAAGCTGCGAACTTCGGACCTGTGTTGGACAATAGGTAAGTAATTCATCAGAAGTATCCACTAAGAAAATGGTACACATAGAATATGATGTTGTCCAAACTGAAATTATCCACTAGCTAATAAATTGACAAAGCGTGGAAAAGGAAGCATCCAACTAGTAGTTGTCCAACGTTTACTATTTTCTATCATATTCATGTTCCGTAATAAGGTTTGAAGATGCGGGATACATAATTTAGAAATTTGAACTTGAAGAAGATGGAATCAACGAATCTGGGTTATTCAGGAGTAAAAGCATCCAGGAGTAAAGCATCCAATCAGTATTTGGGTATTTCGTCGACCTGGTATTTCGAATCGGAAGCTACGGGTTTCCCAGAAATACGGCGGAGAATGGCGGCGAATCTCAGTATCTCTGCGGAGATGGTGGTGGTGGTTCCGGTAAGTAACAGAGGGGAATTTATCGTGGTGGAGAAGGCGAAGAGTGTATTTAGACTCATCGCGAAATGGGTGTTGTTTTGTTGAAATCGGGAAGAATTCCGGTGAGAGAGAGGAGAAATCAGCTTGTTTGTCACCGGCAGGAGAAAAGGTCACCGGCGTTTTTGTGTTTGACGGAAAAGAAGTGAATGTAATATTTGTTGGTTAAATGTGAAAAATAGAGAATTACAGTCTCAGGTAAGTGAAAACAAGGGGCATAATGTAATTGCACTTTGTGAAAGTCCACCACTTTCACAAAGTGACTCAGAGTGTAAACTATAACTCAAAAAGTCCACTTGGTTGTAATTTTCTCAATTTAGAGTCATGAGCTTTGACAGAGCTCCACGTCACCGCACGTGACTCTAACATAAGACTTCCAAACTCGTGTAAAAAAAAGAACAAAACCAACGGTAAGAGTGAGTTTTGCTCGGTCGTTTTTTTTATTTTCGAAATCCCAATTTCACCCTTTTCACAAAGTCCTCTTCTCTTGAAGCACTTTTTTTTTTTTTTTTTTTTAATCGTGTAAATGTTGAGAGAGAGAGTGTAGATTATTTGTTTGTCGAAATCTGGGAATCTTCTGATACTGATTGATCGAATGCTTCTTTAAGGAGAGAAGAAAATCCATCTGCGAGCTCGAATAGAGAAATCTCGCGATTGCTGATCTGATTCTTTTTCGGATGTTAATTATTGCAATCGTTGATTCGTCAATCTATTAAGATTATCTGGAGAAGATAGTGTCAGAGAGAGACAGAGAAGGATAAAATGAACGGTGGTGATGAGGTCGGAGCTTCTTCAGACTTACCTCCGCCTTTGGATTGGAGATTCTCTCAGGTGTTCGGTGAACGCAGCGCCGGCGAAGAAGTTCAAGAAGGTAAGGCATCGATTCACTACATACATGCATCTCTCTGCTTCTGTTTGAGCTCACCATTGGATTTGGATCTAATCTTCCTGATTTTTGATTAGGGTTTAATCTGGTCGTTTAGATCTAATTAGGCGTCTTGGATTGTTTAGGCGATTACGGTTCTAATTTGTGTGGTCATTGTAAAGTTTTGATTTTTGATGGAAATTTAGTGGCTTTTGTGTCTTACTGTGTTAGTTAAAGTCATAAGGAAGTGATTAGTGTTACTTGTGGCAAAAAATATGTTACTTTTCTGTGTGCTTTTTGGAACTTTTGTATGCTGATGAAACTTAAAGATACAGTTGGTCTAAATTTGGATTAAAATTGTTAAAATGTAGCTGGTGTTTCCTCTGCAGTTGATATCATTTCAGCGATTGAGTTTGATAAATCTGGAGACCATCTTGCTACTGGGGACCGTGGAGGACGTGTTGTTCTTTTCGAGAGAACAGATTCCAAAGATGTATGTTCCTCATTGCCTTGCAAGCTCTTTCTTTACCTAAATGCGAGATGAGATGGTTTGTGATGCTTTGTTGCATGCTGTTGATTAACAGACCAGTGGAGCTAGAAGAGATCTTGAAGAGACAGACTATCCACTGAGGCACCCTGAGTTTCGTTATAAAACTGAATTTCAAAGTCATGAGCCTGAGGTACGTCTTTTACTTTCTTTTTTCCTTTCTACAACATAGGTTATGCCGCTCATGCTTGATCTTTGTCTACCAGTTTGATTACCTCAAGAGTTTGGAGATAGAGGAGAAGATCAACAAAATTAGATGGTCTCAAACAGCAAATGGTGCTCTCTTTCTCCTTTCGACAAATGATAAAACTATCAAGTTCTGGAAGGTGAGAAGTTTACCTTTAGATCTTGTTTACCAGTTGCCTTCTAAGCTGGAATATTTAAACATGATTCGTTTCTTTTCTTATGTGCGAGTGTAAACAGGTTCAAGATAAAAAGATCAAGAAAATTTGTGACATAAATACGGATTCTTCCAGACCTCTAGCAAATGGAAGTGTTGCAACCTCGAGTAATTCAAACACTAATGGAGGTTCACCTGACAAATTCATCAATTCTTTTAGTAATGACTACTCATTTCCGCCAGGAGGCATCCCTTCGCTGAAATTACCTGCGGTAGTTGACTCTGCACAACTTTTCATTCTCTCTTTATCATATGTGGTTTGGCAAGATCTTAGTTTCAGTAAGAACTTATATAGGAACTCATGATCCCTCTGCAAGAAACCCAAAACCTTTTAAATCTTCGGGATTAACTCAAGTGCAGGGTCGAAGTTTGAATGCTTGAGTGAGCTGAAATAATATGAAGCTTTGGCATGTAAAGAAATCTCAAATAGCATTACCCTTATCAATTTATATTTTCTTTGATTAATTGTCTTGAGTTTCTCAGTCCTACTTTCCTATGATTATTTTCCTTTCCATGCTCTTTACTACTGTTGATTATAAATTTGTGTTCTTTTCTTGATGCGGAAATTCTTACTTTACTCGAGTGTAGACTAATAATTCATTTACATGATTACATCCTACAGGTAACTACTAGCTACGAGACTAGCCCTGTGGCTAGATGTCGAAGAGTGTACACTCATGCTCATGATTATCATATCAATTCAATCTCAAACAATAGGTAGTGTCCGTCAATTTGCTCACACAGTTGCTTTCCTTCTTCTTACTTGCACTGATCATCTTCTTCTCTTGGTGACTTTGCTACCAAATTTGAAGTGACGGCGAGACATTTATTTCTGCTGACGATTTGCGGATAAATCTTTGGAACCTGGAGATCAGCAATCAAAGTTTTAACATTGTTGATGTCAAGCCTGCGAATATGGAAGATCTTACTGGTAAGCTATACAAAAAATAATATGTTGCGAATGGATGATCAAACTTAGTTATTACCTTTCTGTCCTCTCTCTTTTATGTTCTTTTTAAGGCATGCAGCTCTCAAATGTCATTTGGATACTATAGCCTGGTCAATGAGTTGTGTTCCACTCAAATGTTCAGCTCGTTTAGATATAATTGCATTCTTTTTGTCATATCTCTACCCACATGTTTGATTTGCTTTTAAGTAAGAGTATCCTATTCGTTGTTGCAGAGGTTATCACATCAGCCGAGTTTCATCCTACCCATTGCAATACCTTAGCGTATAGCAGTTCGAAAGGCTCAATTCGCCTGATTGATCTGCGACAATCAGCTTTATGTGACTCACATTCCAAATTGTAAGTCTTGAGACTGATAGATATACTAATGTTCTCAGTAATGCATTTAATAGAAAAGAGGATCCAATATGTATAGATATCTAAGTTACTCTCTCAGAATGTGATTGTTAACATCCTTTGTGCTACTCTAGGAATAATGTCTGAAGTACTTGTTAGAATAAAGTGAATGATGTTTCATAACTAGCAAACAACATTTGAAAGGCTAAAATATGCATGGTAGGGAGATCACACAAGCATAATCGACTTATGTTTAGGATACCATAGTTGCATTGCAAACACAAAAGAAACCATATTATCTTGTAGTGTTTCATAACTTGATGCAACAACACAGGTTAACACTGCTTGTTTGTGCAGGTTTGAGGACACAGAGACGCCAACTTCTAGATCATTCTTCACAGAGATAATTGCTTCCATTTCAGACATCAAATTCGCGAAAGGAGGAAGATATATACTTAGCCGTGACTACATGACGCTTAAGGTTCATACTTTTTTCAAAGTTTCTCAGTGCATTATATCGCATTAAACCGAGAGAGTTGCATTTGGCATTGGTTGTGCCATGCCTTTGAAGTTATTAGTGATTAGTTTCAAACTGAAAATTGGACTCATGGTTATGTGTTACTTGTCAGTTATGGGACATCAACATGGACTCAGGTCCAGTATCAACGTTCCAGGTTCACGAACATTTAAGACCAAAGGTCAGTTTCCTGTTCTTTGAGAGAGTTGCATCAGCAGACTCAGTGCATAACTGATGACTCCCTTTTTTGTGATTATTTCCAGCTCTGTGATTTATATGAAAACGATTCCATCTTCGATAAGTTCGAGTGTTGTCTAAGTGGTGATGGACTGCGAGTGGCTACAGGTTCCTACAGGTATGCCTGTAACGCATATCACCTTCTTTGATTTCCACGTTTACAATTTCACTCTCTTGAATAAACTTCCCCTGCTTTAAATTTGTTTCCAGCAATCTCTTCCGTGTGTTTGGTGTTTCCCGGGGAAGTACCGAAACTACAACCTTGGAAGCAAGCAAAAACCCAATGAGGTAACAAACTTGTGCTAAAGACTAACAGTCTCTTCTTTCATTTTTTCCTTTAGTCTAAATATTGATCAGATTGAATATGTGTTTGAACTTATAGGAGACAAGTCACAACTCCTGCGAGGCCATCAAGACCATCCTTAAGCAGTATAACGCGCGCGGTTAGAAGAGGTGAGTTAGTTTTTCCCCATAAGCTCCTTAAGCTAAATAACTATATACTAAGTAAATGAATGAATATTTACCAAACTTTGGGAACACAGGAGCCGAGAGTTCTGGAGTCGATGGGAACGGTAATTCAATTGACCATACAAGCAAATTGCTGCATCTCGCATGGCATCCAACAGAGAACTCGATAGCTTGCGCCGCTGCGAACAGTTTGTACATGTACTATGCTTAAAGAAGAAACATATACTTCAAAATGGAGAAGAAGCTTGGCTACTTGTGAAAACTGAAGGATCTCAGAGATGCTTTATATAACATCATCATCAGCATCTTCATATCACAACTAAAAACTGGCTCCTTTATATGCTCTCTCTTTTGTATCATCCTTTTGACTCTCTCTTTTTTGGGGGTAAGTGGCTGGAAATAGCAGTAGCTGGGTAATGATTTCTCTTTTTACTCATTACAGTAGCTAAAAACCAGCCATTTTCTCCAAGTCTTTAGAAGCTTTTTTTACTTGTGTTCTGTCTGGTTAAGTTAAATGTTGGACGAGAACCAGCCAAAAGGGAATCCGATTACAAAGAAGAATCGTGATTGTAGTTTATTCTCACATGACTTGTTGTGAGGGTTGTTATTTTCGAATATGTTTGGTAACTATTTTTAAGATTAAAATTTAGTACTATATCTTCATGTTGTTGTTGAGTTTGTTTGTTGTTTTGAGTTCATAGTAAACTCTTGTTGTGTAACTAGTTTTTGACTTTTGAAAATAAAAACACTCCAACGCATCATCATTCTTTCACCATATTATTCTTTATATGTTTAATATATTACATTCCTTCTAAACCTGAAAAGAAAGACTACGAACAAAGTATGAAGAACAAAAATGATTCTCTTACGTTTGATATTTCAGTTTTTTTTTTTGTTTTTCTGGATGTAATAATAACTTGAAAATTCCAAGAAATTAGTAAGTTGATTTGGCAACTAATTAATATGTGTCTTCTCATCAAGATTTGGCTACTATTAATTAACAAGTGTCTTCTCATCACTCTGAAAAATAGAAAAAAAAACTAAATTAGCTATAAACCAATATGATATTCGAACGGGCCACGTTGAATCAAAGCCGTCCATGCGTCAGGCCGCAGCCACAAATCGTAGCCGTAGAAATGACGCGATGATGGGAATCAGAAAGAAGTGGAGAGTTTGTCCCACGTGTTGGGCAAAACAGAACACACGAACGCCATATGGTCAGCTCTTACGGCAGCTTAACGCGACGACAATGTCCTTAATCTGTTTCCCTCGACACATGGATGGCTCTCGTTCATTCCCAACGATGCATAACCAACGGCTGCGATTCGATTTTCTTAGGTGTAATCATCTCTTCTCTCTCATTGAGTGCACATACTTGCTTCACAAGAACGCTATCTACTATCTGTCTCCTAATTCTTGAGCCAGAGTGGGTTTTACAAATTATGGCATGTGAATGATGATGGACTTATTGGTTATTTTTTTATTTCCAATCTTTTTTTGGCCTAGCTAATTACAATAGTAATATTATACACTGATCACGTCTGGTTTAATGCCAATTAGATAAGTTAAACATTAGTTATGGTTTTAATTATTTGAGGTGTACGTGTAAGGGCTTGTGCATGGATAAGAAAACTCACGTTATGGTTTTAGTTATGGTTCTCGTTGTCTTTTGTTTGACGTCTTCTTGTTTGTGTTTTGATTTATAACTAATATGCGAATTCACTTATAAAAACAAGATTTGAGGATAAAATGTATTGAGACGTTAAGAAGAAAAAACACTAGATGGATGCTTTTTATATACAAATAATGGTTGTCCAATCCAACAACAAAAAACGGTTGAACGTGAGTGATTACATAAATCCATAATTTCAATATTCATTCAAAGTACAATACGAATTTTGTTGTCTAATGGATTTTATCATCATTTAACCCCAAAAGATGATAGAATTCCTGCAGATGTATAGATCACAAAATAGAGAAAAAGAAGTAGAGAGACTTTTAGCCATCAAAAGAAAAAGGCAAGTGTGTTTGTTTTCGGGGTAAAGCAAGAACAAATATAAGAAAACAAAAAGATACGTAGAATCGAAATTGTCTAAACATATGAAGCCAAACAACCATCTTGGCACCAAGACAGGCGTATCCAAATATGTTGGAAAAAGTTATTACCCCTCGATTTATTCAAATCTCTTACAATGTTCCTTTATAAACGAACTCATAATAATTCTGACTACTTATGATTTTTCTAGAATTGTAGAGTTTAATTTAAACTATACCGTGTGTTTTACTAAAAGCTAATCAATCTTACTAACATACTTCCGTTTTATCCAGGAAACTTCATATAGAAACCTCTATCCGACAAAATGACATCAAACAAAACAACTACTATGATAAGTATTAGTTAAAGAGTCAACAAGTCAATGTAAAAGTTCAACACCACGCTCTTGTCATCTAATTAAAAAATAAATACAACTAATTAGTATAATATTAAAAAAATTAATCAATAGGAAGAGGATTACGGAAGCACTAATCTTGTAATTTGGGTTGCCCTATAAGACTGGTCACACCACAGCTCACAAAGCTTGTCTTGTCGTTTAGACTTTAAACCCAAACACTCTCTCTTCCTTCTCCTTCTTCCCCTCTTCCGCTCTGCTTCTAGAGAGAGGAAAGTGTTAAATTTGTCTTATTTATGCCATAAGAACCACTTCTCTCTCTCTCTCTCTCTCTATAAATCCTCTCACTCTCCACCTCTTGCAATCCACAACCTCAAAATTCGATCTTTATTTCTGTCTTTTAACAGGTTTGTTAACAAAAATCTATTCTTTCTTCAGCAAGAGGTTTCTAATTTAAGGAAAAAGACTCTGTTTTTTTTTTTGCTAAAATTTTTCCGGGAAAAGAAAAGATTTTTCTTCATAAAAACAAAAGAAGAAATGCAGGATCCAGCAGCTTATTATCAGTCGATGATGGCGAAACAGCAGCAACCGCAATTTCCGGAGCAAGAGCAGCTAAAGTGTCCACGCTGTGACTCACCCAACACCAAATTCTGCTACTACAACAACTACAATCTGTCACAGCCCCGTCACTTCTGCAAAAGCTGCCGCCGTTACTGGACCAAAGGCGGCGCTCTACGCAACGTCCCCGTCGGCGGCGGTTCTCGCAAGAACGCCAAACGATCCACTTCCTCTTCTTCTCCTCCTTCCAACACCCACAACAAGAAGACCAAAAACCCGGATCCGGATCCGAATTCTCAGAGCGGGACCAAACCGGAAATGGATCCGACCCGGATGCTGTACGGGTTTCCGATCGGAGACCAGGACGTGAAAGGTATGGAGACCGGAGGGAGTTTCAGCTCGCTGTTGGCGTCGAATATGCAGCTGGGTCTTGGAGGGATCATTCTTGATGGGTCGGGTTGGGATCCGGGTATGGGTTTGGGTATGGGTTTGAGGAGAAGCGAGGCGGGTAATAACGGTGGTGGTAACCCGTGGACCGATCTGGCTATGAACAGAGTGGAGAAAAACTGAAGAGAAGAAGAAATGGAGGGGTGTTTTGGTAAATTAATATGAAGTTGCAAAAAAAACTGATTTTAGGTGACTGAGTCATCACGTAGACACATGAACAGTTTCCATGTTATGTCTTTTTGGTAATATATTCCTCCTACTCCCTCCCTTTCTTCTTTAAATTTTTATTTATATAAATCGGTTTGTTAAAATGTTAAACTTTGTGTAATAGAATGAGATTTTTCAGTTTATTTTGTGTCTTGGTATAGTTTACATATATTTCATGATCCATAAAATTCATGACGTGGAATTTTAAATTTTTGGCTCACAGCATTGTTGTTATCTTATGGTGAAGCGTGAGGTATTTAGCCGACGATTTCATCACATTTCGTATGTCATTAGTTAGTGGTAAGTAAGTTTGAAAACTATATTTAAATAGAAATCCTTTTAAATATGCGCAGAATAGGTTCGTATAAATGGTATATTAGATTAGACAGAATAAATAATTGTGCATGAACCGACATAGATCAGAAACATTCTTACGGCATGTGACATTCGTATTTTAATTACTTTTTAAGAGCCTAAGTTTCTAGAACCATGATTTTGACTCCCCTACTAGCTAGTAGTAGTAGTCGCCGGTTTTTCTTGAGTTGAATGGAGCCATAATTCATGTACTGACGAAAAGTTTTAATTGTCAAATTATTTGGACAAAGAAGACAAAGGTTTTTATTACATCTTTGTAGAGATGTGGGTAGAAAAATAGTTTCTCCGCGATATTTCATTCGTACGTACCCCAGAAGAAAAAATGATATTTTGTATGCATTGGTCTTTTAGATTTGGAACATCGTAAATTACTAATATTTGCTTATCACTACACTCGGTAAACAATCGGAATAACATTCACAAGAGGAGTGGTTAATGTTAAATGGTCTTTGAAGAATGTTATAGTGGCTATGGTTTACTCACGGATTGATAGGTCCACGTCACATTTTCATTTTTTATTGGTGATGATCGGTCTAATACTGATATATGGCTTACTGAGTGTCAGAAGTTTGTTTGATGAGATCCTTAAACGTTGTGACAGAAATAAAGAAAATTGGGTAGCTTTGAGATGGTTCTATTCAAAGGGAATCTGTAATGAGAGAATCTAGAGACATGTAAAATACTGATATATGCAAATGAACAGTCCACACAATAAGAAAAAAAGTGTTTCTTATTTATAGAACACTGTAGTTTAGATTTTGAGTAATTGAATCACGAATTGTTGTCTTTGACGAGCTAACATTGATGGTTGAAGTTGAATGCACGACTCATGCCGACATTCTAAATTGTGCACTAATCACTTCTTGTTGTTATTATGACTTATTTATGCCAAGCACCTCATTTTCTTAATTTTTTCCTCATCTCATTCTCTTATTCATACGAATTAAATATTTTTACCTTAAAATACATCAGGCTTTTGGATTGTAGTGGTTCGATAAATTTGTTTTGGAAATGGGAAGATAGATAGATTTACGAGAGATCCAATGTGGTAACAAAAATTTGCTCTTCCAATTTGAGATCTTTTGTATTAGACCGGGGAGACAAATAACAACAACTTGTGCTCTTTTTCTTTATGTTAATCATATTTTTCGTTTTTTCTTTTGAGTTCACAATTTTTGTTTTACTAAAATTGTGAATGGAATGCATCAAAGGCGTGATTGCATGCAATGTCCAATCAAACTCTATGATCAGATGCACCAACGCATGTTTTGCAGACCATGTCCAATCAAACTCTAATATTACAAATTTTAGGCGTTGATTAATTAGGTCTAGGCGTCCAATCAAACTCTAACTAAAAGTAGCAATCTTTCTCTAATAAAAGAAGGTATAGTAGTAGTAGTGCTAGAGTATTAATTGTCGAATTAGAAAAGTCCAATTCTTGTATCTTCAAACAAATATATCTGTACTCCATGTATTTGGATAGAACGAGACCAAATGATAATCTAGTGTATATATGTAATAAAGAAAGTAGATGGCTCTACCCATACTATGAAACCAAGTTTTAAATATGAGATTATTTATTTTTAAGGACACCAAATAATGATAAGAATTAAAAAAAAGTCAAAATGAAAAGGGCTGGCAAATTAAATGGTGGTCCATGTGGCTATAGATACTAGATAGCGCTAAGATACCGAATTTTAATAATGGTCCACTTCTTAGGGACTAATTAGGGCAAAAGATTTGAAATGAAGAATCAATATTGGTTTAAAGTTGAATTGACAGTGTTTAACTAAATGTGTTAAGCTATCATTTCTGAAATTCCTCTTGTGTTGGGCTCACTGTTTCTCAACTTTGATGACTGTTTTGGTAATGGTCCACTCTTATTCACTTATTACATCACCAGATCCACATGTCTTGTGGGAGCTGTTTTGCTCATTTCATGTTTTTGCTTATCGTACACTATTTTCTCCTCGACAGTTTTGATTGATTTTCTTTTGTTTATGAGAAAATTACGAAGATGATTAGCTGTTTTTTTCATTCTATTGACATTGTTTGTAGTTCAAGGTTAAAAAAATATCTGTTCTTTGTTGACCAGGATCAGTAGACCCACAAAGTAGATGTGAATTTGAATATCTATAAATATGACTGATAAATTACTACAAGTGCAATGAGCACTATTCATCTCACTGTTCTACTTCAACATGTGACATCCCAATCAATCCATTATTCTTATTTCTTTTACCTCTTTCAAGTAAACTTTTAACATATTTATTGGTTGGTTTATGATATCCAGATTTGGGACCTCTAAAGAAAACCATGAAACAACGACAACCACATTTTCAAGTCTTCTGGTCGTATAACATTTTTAATGATAACAGAACAATAATGTGAAAATTCTAGGGGAAAAAATTCAGACAAAGGGGAGCATAAAGGTTGGGCTTAAGCTTAAAGCGACCTGACTGTTTCAACAACCTGACTGTTTCAACAAGTGAAATCAAGAAAAGAGATCACATGGAGACGAGACGAGCCTTGTACATAACGATGTATGCCATATGCCAATCACCTCCTCCAGAGAGTTTAGTTATATCCTCTTCGCGTTGAAGGCTCGTGTTGGCATCGTCGTATTGAACCCACTTACCTGTATTAAAAATGTGTTAAGAAGTGCTCTCAAGTTTTTTAAAGTACACAAATGTGTGAGAGCTTAAGAGTTATGATTAAGTCTTATTTGTTTATGTGTTATAATGGAACTGACCACTCTCTTGCTTGACCCATGCAACATAATGTCCAGAGTCTGCGCTCCTGCCTTTGTGGGTCAACACCGAGACCAGGTCATAGATTCCAGTCATGTGTAACGAACCACCTATTGGCAAAAGGTCAAGATAACGTAAAATCAAAATATGAATCCAACAAATAGACCAATTACAGAGCGTTCCAAGCTAGATAAGAAAGATGTTGTGAAAGAATATACCTTCCTGTTTGTGACCTGTGGATGATTCGCCACTTCCGCTTGATGATCCCTGCAGAGGATTATAGAGCAAAGATCTTTAGAAAATCGTATTTAGCGGCAGGGTCAATAGATAAATACAAAAAAAATTGTACCTCAGCATCGGTCATTTTCACATCATCACTCTTTGAGCTGCTCTTTGCACTGGGTTGTAGACCAAGCTTTTGACCTTCGATGTCTCTAAGTTTCTGAAAGTCACAGCTTGTCAGTCAATTTGATTAACCAACCTCTCAGATACTAAGACCATGGCAAAGATGGCTGTGTATACCTGGCGAGGAGCTTCCAGTTTCTTTCGAAGATCCTCAGAACAAAGGTCAAATATATCCAACTCCAATGGGTAATCCACTTTCTTCAAAGATCAACCATTAAGAGACTATCATAATCATGTCGTGCATTCAAAGTTCTCTTTAAAATACAAAAAAGAAAAAGCTTCTATACCCGGAGAATTTTTGCTTTCTGATTACTCTCCCTTTTCCAGAAGAATCTCACAAACTGAACAGTCAAGTACCTTCAAGATCAGTAATAAGAGTTAGAGAAACTTCTTTTCAGAGGAAAGAGGATTAAAATTAGCATTGAGTTCAAGTTTTCGTCTGAAACATGTTGGTAATAAATCTTGTGAAAAAAGGATTGAAGAAATAATAAGAAGAGACTAATCACCTTGGCAAGGAATCTATGAGAGACTCCTTAATGTAAACCGCAGTGCGGCCCAGAGCAGGAGATGTTTTTTCAAGTTCTCCTTTCAGTCCCTACAGCAAGCAAGAAGAATTGGAACTTTTATCACATGAACTACCACAGATGCAATGCTACATGGACAACAGTGACAACATACAAGTTTGGGACTTCATTTTCTCACAGAAAAGATAAAAGCAAATACAGTTATGTGTTTGAGTTAGAACTGAGGACGATCTCCCACATAATCGTGATACAGCAAATATAAATTGAAACAGAGTCTTCAATGGATTGGTAACGTTACTCACATGTTTTAATCCTTCATGCAAGTGGTTCACCTCATGTGATATATGGCATTTCAGAGAATAGACAGATTCAGTCTCTGAACTTTCTTCGCTACTTTCTTGGCAATGCAACCTACAGCAACAGAAATAGCTTGTTTAATATACACACAACATTTCTTCTACGCAAGAAAAGAAAAGAGAACACGGGTTAAAGATTTTTATATATCTAGGTTTCAAATGACCATGTGCAGAAGATAAAAATGTCAAAGTAGGCCATAAACAACATACATACATGCATGCACCATATATATTGGCAGATATACCCACAGACAACTGCAACAAAAAAACATGAACAATTCCAAGCATCTCATGTTGACCCTTGAAAGGTAGACATCGACTCAATGAAAAGCATTATGTAAAGGTGTTCAATATTGCTCTCTGTCAAATACTACATGATTGTTTTCAGATCAACGAGACCAAAAAGAATAGATCTATAAGAAATCAGCACACAAGAGAGCATTTGAACGTGAAATTAGTGTTGTGACCGACCTGCTCCGAAGGTTGAGACCAAAAAGGGCCTTCACAGCATCAGGATCTTCGCTAGGCGATGGAGCTTTTAGGGACTGGGAAAGAGTGAACAACATTTGCGTCCAACATTCTTCAGCATCCTGTTACACATTTAAAAGGCTCCTGGATTCAAAAACTGGAAGGTCAAAACCACAATAAACCGAGTTGGCAATAAGCAACAAACCTGTTGCATGTGATTTCCATTATGCAACTGAGCAAACTGAGGATATTTTTTCTGTAACACCTGCATCATGACCAAAAATTGGTATGAGAGAATTTAAAAACTATGATAATTTTGGAAACTGCTTTTTTATATAAGGCTTCCATACAACCCAATTTGACATGCATATTGAGTCAAATATTGTTACTGAAAGTTATTCTCAAGTTTCTACTGAAAAAACCACAGCTAATTTTTGTATCGGCAACTAAGATGTCAAGTTAATTTGCATGCAGAAAACTCCTCAATTGATATTAGGAACTAACAAGAATAAGAAAAGAAGCACATATTGTTACGCATACAAGTACATAGACTAACCATCCAGAACGGCATAGGTGCAACAGCCTTGACACTTTTATCAAGCTCACTAAATAACTCACGGGTTGCAACAGTGAGCATGTGAGAAGTCTGATCCACATCCTTGTTTCGAGCAGATTGGTAACTAATGAGAAGAAAAAAAAAATCAAGAATCAGATTTTGGTTACATGACATAGCTGCAATGCATAACATAAGTGAGACGAATGGAATTTTTGAAAGAAATAAGACTGACTTGACTAATTCAGATTTCAGCTCTGGGACAGATTTTAAACACTGCATCGTGGAGTTCATGTAGCAGGTGTTGCCAAGATTGACTAGGCCAGCACTGTAACCCTGAAACCAATTTGTTATGTTCGTTAGTCCATGTGAAGCCAAACACTTCGAAAACATAAGAAAACAAGCAGTCAAGCACACTGGTATGCTTTTCCTTTTCCCTTGAACTGTCATGAAGATGCACTAACAAACAAACCACAGGAAACACTTCTAGGTTAAGAAGAAAAACTAACCAGATTAGCGGCCTGCTCTTCTTCAGGAAGATCCTCCATAAAGACAGGACCTTTCTCTGGAGCCTTCACTATTTCATCCGCAGTTCCCATCATCATCAACTTTTGACCCTACATCAAAGAAAAGCATGAAAAGTTCATAAGTATGGAGTATAAAACCATAAGCAATCCAGGGAGACAGTGGCAATGAATTATGAATGCAAGAGAGTTTTTACATTTTTCAGTCCCATTGTGGACCAATCTGCATCGTCCTGCATCAATCGAAAGAAACATGTTGTAAATCATCATGAACAAACAAACTGAAGAACACATTAGTAAAATCTAGAGACACCAGCAGGCGGCGAATCAAAATTACCTTCAAAAGTCCACCTTTGACCATGATCTTTTGCCGCTCTGGTGGTACTCCACTCAAATCATACAACTGAGCCTTGAAAACCAAAGGAGGCTGGCTCGTATCAATCTCGATACTTTCAAACACCTTCTTCTGCCACTTCACGCTTACTGCAGATAAATTCAAACACAATTCACCGATTAAGCAAAAGGAGGAGCAGATACATCGATTAAGCATACATATTGAAGAAATTTGAAGAAGTTTCACCTGTTAACATGTTGAATGCTGAAGGAGAGCGAGATTGATTGATTTCTTGAAGAGAAGGCCAGCGGAAAAAAAAATGTTCCTTTCTTTTTCTACTTAGATCGTCTCTTTAATATGTCAGCCTTTACGGTCGGGTAAATCCGGTTGGGTTGGGTCGGGTCGGGTTTATTCATCAAACCTACAATCCAATACGGCGGCGTTTAACAAACTTAAAACAAAAAAAAAAAAAAGAGGAAGAAGAAGAAGAGAAGAGAAGAACAGAAGAAGCCTCTCTTGGGTCCCTCTCTCTCTCTTCTAATCATCGTCTCTCTATCTCTCTTTCTCTTTGCTCGCGCGTCTCAATCAGTTAAATCTGTACATACACATATACGCGGATACATGGTTGTAAGGATATTGCAGTGACGACGGCGCAATTTGACCGGATGACGTACGGAGGATCGTCGAAATTCAGTCGCGGTGGCGGCAGGGGCGGAGGAGGAGGAGCCGGTAGCGGTGGACGCAACCGCAATTCCTTCCCTCCTCCTACGAACCGGCATCCTTCTCCCGTCGGGAGGATGTCAACGGGAAGTGGCTCAGCCGCCCCACGACAGCGGAATACTACCAGCGTCAAGGCGGCTGCTGCTGCTGCGTCGACCGCGCCTCGTACGGTTGAGGAAAGCTTTAGTCTTGTTCCGAGGGAGAGTCCTTCGGCTTTTGGAATGATCATACGGTTAGCTCCTGACTTGGTGGAAGAGATCAAGCGGGTTGAAGCACAGGGTGGAGCCGCCAAGATCAAGTTCGATGCGTTTCCTAACAATAGCACCGGGAATGTGAGTTTCCACTAAATTTTGAAATTCAGGGAAAGAGGATTTCCGATTTCCATAGTTTGAGTTGAATTGCTTCAGCTAGTTGCACTCTTTCATTGGGTGAATCTTAAATCTGCTTGCTTTTGGTAGTTTATTTACTTCTGTTTTTTTGCTGTGCCATTGAACATTTTGGCAATTGACTTCAATCAAGGTGCCCTAGATTAGTGAAATTGGGGGAAAAAGGTCCTTTAGTAAGTAGATGGTAATGTAATATTGAATAAGAAGCTGGTTTAGTTCTGCATAAGCCAAATAGTTAGCATTCTGTGGTCAACCTTTTACTCCTTTTAAACTATGGCTTGTGGGGGAGAATTTCTGTTGCATATATGTGTTGGCAAATATTCCATTGATACATTAGTTCTTTGGTCGATTCTGGGTAGACATTGACTTGCTTATTGGTTGAGCATGTATTGTAAGTTATGTTGGTTTACTCATTCAGTTGCTGCTTTTATGGTCTCTTTATTCTACTGGCAACATATTTTGTTTGTCAATTGGATATATTAACCCCTTCTGCATGCCTTTTTGTCATTTATTTCCCTCGGCATCTGGTTTTTGTTGTTATGTCAAAGTGGTGTTTTCCGTTATGCTAGTTTTGACTTTGTTCAGCTATTTTTTATCTTGATTGAAACAGATAATTAATGTTGGTGGAAAGGAATTCAAATTTACCTGGTCTAGGGAGCCTGGTGATTTATGTGATATATATGAAGAGCACGAGAGTGGGGAAGATGGAAATGGTGTGCTGATTGAGGCTGGATGTGCGTGGCGAAAGCTGAACGTCCAGCGAACTCTAGATGAGTCAACCACGAGCCATATGAAGATGCGCTCAGTTGAAGCTGAACAGAGAACCAAATCACGCAAGTACAATCTCTTACCAATCATTTTGGTTGCATCTCAATATCTATAACTTTTTTCAGCATAGTTTGTCCTTTAGCTGCAAAGGTGTCTGCTCTCTTAGGTTTTCTGTTTTTTTTTCAGTATTCTATGGGTAGGGTAGTCTTCTCATGAGTCTTGGCACTAGAACATATAACCTTTGATGGAGCTATGAACAGAGTATCGGACCTATCGGTATACGCATAGATCATCTTATTTGCAGTTAGGCTGCTGTGGATGTCTACTTTCATAGATTCTGAGCTTAGTTATGGCTTGAACGGGTTTATCTTTTAGCTTACTCATGTAGTTTTCATCTTGGGTACTCTCAGTTTTTTTTTTGTGACACACACAGTCAGATAAAAGGAATGTTTCTCACTGTGCTTAACAAATTGCATACTTCTGTGTCCATCTTTAAGTCTCATCAAAGTGCTTATGCCTGAATTACCCTTACATTTTTGGCTATGTCAGGGCAATTGTTTTAGAACCTGGGAATCCATCATTGACAAAGAAGCTAGCTCTTGCCGAAGGTAACTTTTTCGTTCTGTTATTTGGTGTCCATGCGAAGTTGTTTTTGCGCAGCTAACATGAGATTGTTGTTAAACCGGTTGTACCTTCCACATTTTCTCTTTCCTTTCAAACTCAGTGGTTTAAAAAACTCTTGTTTGAAACTGAAAAACACATGCTAAATTTACTACGTGGTCAGGTTTTCATCTCTCTGAGCTTCAAAACCTGTAAGTATGTAATCAAATTTGGCTATAATCGATAATATCGTAACATCTTCCCTGTACTTTCAGGAAGTCCATGGAAAATGTCAAATAAACAGAAGAAAGAACCTCCGCCTAAGAAGCGGAAAGTTGATCCACCTCCAGGTAAACAGAAAAAAACTTTTGCAACGAGCCTATGGTAACACTTTTTAAAGACTCTTGGGAGCTACTATATTTCCTTGCTGTTTTCTCAGTTCCAAATTTTCCACTTGTGGTTTATTGTAACAGTTCCAATCGGAGGTCCAAAGCCTTCGTTCAGACCAGGGGTTTCAGCCTCTACTGTGAAAAATAGGCTATCGGCTTCCCCGGGACTATCTCCTTCATATGGGATTGGGAATGTTACTAAAACTCATTCTGCTAACGAGAATGTCAAACAAGTGCAGACAAAGGACAGAGATAACGTGCTTGCTAGCGGAAAAAACCCATCAACCTGGGAAAATAATGCGTTAAGGGACACAAGTGGGGGTCAAGCAACCAACGTTGATAAAGAAGTTGATTTGCAGGCATTGCTGGTTGATCTCCTCAAAGAGGCTCCAATGAGCTTGAAGGTAATACTTGGATGAAACGCAAGATATATGGCTGTTTTCATATCAAATATGTGTACCCATCATGATTGACGCCACTCTCTCTCTATTTTTTTCTAGACCTTAGAGAAAGCTGTTGGAGACAAAATTCCTAATTCCGCAAAGAAGATTGAACCAATTTTGAAAAAAGTAAGTCATGAAAACTTTGGTGTGGTTTTATGAGGTGCAGTATGTATGATTGTGTTTCTAATTGTTGTTGATAACCAGATTGCAAATTTCCAAGCTCCAAGATATTTCTTAAAACCAGGAGCAGAGTGGGAAAGCTATAAAAAGCATTCACCTGATAGCGGAAGGTACGTGTACTCTAAATGAAAGTTTTAAATTCTCATTGCAGAATATGACACTCTAGGAAGTAGGATAGGCATAGAAATCTATTATAAGAAAATATCATCAAGCAGCATTGCTTGTTCAGTGCAGAATGAACTCTAATTCGATAACTGTTATTTGGTAAAGAATGAACTCGAGAAGCTATAAACTATACTTTTAGTTATGCCATCTTCTCCTGTATTGCCGTATCTGGCCTTAGTACAACTTTTATTTTTCAGCTCACCTGAACACCAGCAATTGCTACCGATCACTGAGAGCAGTCGCGATCAGTTACCTGTTCCAGGAGGCAGCAACGTGGAGAAATTTTCAGTTTGCGAGCGGAACGGAGAAGGTTCACAAGACTATTTGTCTACTCATCTAGCAGAGCAATCGAGTGCGCAAGAAAATGTCGACATTGAGCATCATTCACCTGGTATTCTTCATGATGAAAAGCGATCTGAGAATAGAGAAGACCAGGCACGGAGGTCTAGTGATAGTGACAGCGACAGTGATAACAGTGACAGTGGGAGCGACAGTGGGAGCAGCAGTGATAGCGAGGCTTCTTCTAACAGTAAGGATGGTTCTGATGAGGACGTGGATATCATGAGCGATGGTGATAGAGATCCTCAACAGATAATACAGCCAGCTGAACGGGATGGTATTGATCTCCCAGGTCATGGCTCTAATCTTGTTGACATCGAGGGTCATGATTCTGATGCTGTTGACATTGATGGTCATGATTCTGATGCTGTTGACATTGACGGTCATGATTCTGATGCAGTTGATATTGAGGGGAACAGTTCAGATGAGGGTCATGATTCTGAATCTGGCAGAAAAAGATTATCTGATACTAACTGGAAGATGGAAGCAACAACTGGTACCAGTCCCGCTGCAAATGAAGAAACTGGCATTTCAGAGCAGGGAAATTTTGCTTCTGGTCACGACAAGCTACGAGAGCGCCAAAATTTTATTGGACAGTTGTTTGATGACACAGAGAATACAACGAAGGCTAACTTACAAAATGACCAACCTGACATCTCCGAGAGGCTGGCCAAAGACCAGCATCAAAAACCGGAGCACGATAGTCAGAAATCAGCACGGATGAACAATAGAAAATCCCAAAGCTTCAATACGTTACCTGCCATAGGTAAAGATTCACAGCGTTCAGAGCGCAAGTATGATGTAGAGCCGCTCAACGCTTCTGCCAGTCAAACGGCAGATCCTCTTAGAGGACTTCAGAAGCCATTTACTGAGAAGTCCAATAGACATGGTCAAATGAGACCTGTTGATAGTTCAGGTAAATCGAACAAACATTCTGATGCCTTAGGCAATGTCCGTAAATCTGATGAAGGGGGCCACTTTCCGAATGACATGCTTTCTAGTCGGTCAGGTAAGGCCTTCAGGGACAATCAAAGAGATGATGTTCATTCAAAAAATAAGTTTCCAAGGAATAGAAAAGATGGTGAGTCTGCCAATCGAGCTTCATTACCTTATGACGCATCGAATAGAAAACACGGTGAACTGGATGGAAGTGACAAGGATGCCAAGACTGTTTCAGGCTTGAGCATGGGTTCTTCTCCCTTGGATAGCCAGAGAACATATTTAGAGAAATTACCAAAGGGGAATGGTTCTGTGCTCCGGAAACAAGTTTCAGAGTTGGAGTTGGGTGAACTCCCTGAGCCATTGGGGGAAGATACATCATTGAAGCAACTCGAAGAGAAGAGTTCATTTCGGCAGTCAAGTTTAAAACCAAGCACTTCAGAAAACTTGGGTATTGACTCGGATAAACGAAAGTCTAAAAAATCTGACTCGAAAAAGCCAGCTCCTACACATGCCAGCAACGGTGTCAAAGAATTGCCCGAACACTTCGTTGAAGACTCAGAAAGATCCCAAAAGTGGGGTTTGCAGTCACATGGGCAGAACCTTACAGGTACAAATACTGAAATCGGCTTGCTAGATAAAGTTATAGACGATGCAGCTTTTAAGTCAAGACAAAAAGTTAGTAGAGGAAGAGTAGGAAACAGTGTGGAAGGTTATGGAGAGACGAATAAGAAAACGCCCGTTATAAAGCAGGGCTCCAAACGAGCATCCACGTCCCGCTCATCAAGGGAGAGCAAAAGACATGCGTCTGGGAAAACTGCAAATTCAGTCAATGGACACAAAGATGCAACGTCAATACCAGGTGACAGTGTTGTCCGGGAGAAACGAATGGCATCTTCCGATGACGTAGACTCTTGTTATTTGAAATACGAGAAAGCTTCTCCTGAGCTGAAGGGACCTATTAGTGATCATTTGCAGTGAGTATACTAAAATTATAATGTTTGGAAATCTAATTGCTTAGTACTCACGTTTCTAATCGATGACAATGTTTTTCTGTTTCAGGTATAAAGCTTATGTGCAGGAATATTTGGATAAATATGATAGCTACTGCTCCATTAACAAGATAATAGACAGCAACAGGTAGCTAGACGAACTCTTTGTTCATAACTCTCAGATCGTTTGTGTTGTCCTAGTTTTATCAGCTCTCGTGAAATTAATATTTCCATTATTTGCAGAAAGGACTTTCAAAAGTTTGAAGATGACCTTAAGTTTTCAAAAGGAAGGGACATGGAGAGATATAACAAAATTTGGGAGCAGATAAGGGAGTCTTATTGCAAATGTGGGGAGGTAATTTTCTACAACCACTTTATATATGTATATTTATCTGTTATGAAAACATAGCCTAGGGATAGGGAGTGAGAAGATGTGACGACTGTTAACTGAAATCTCTCGCTTATGTGCATTTTTGTTTACCGAGCAAGTTTGTTTGCCATATTTGCTGCTGACTCATACTAAAACTATTCCCCTTTTGATTGCAAAGATTATTTGATAATGACTTTCTGATATATGTTATCTGTTACACAATCTGCAGAGGCACAAACGTATGAAGAAAATATTCATGGTTCTCCATGAAGAGTTGCAGGTGAGTTTTACAAAATTCCCCCCTAGAAACCATAGTTTTGGTTTCTTTTCATCGTCCTCTCCATTTGTACTTTAGCTGATGTGTGATAACAATGAATTTTGATTACCTCTTGCAGCAACTGAAACAAAGAATGAAAGACTATGCATCATCTCATGGATAAGATTGATGAAACCGGAACTAAAGGATCTCTAGAAAGCTTGGACCTCATGCTCAAAGGTCAAAAGAGGAGAGTTTGATATTCCTCAACTTGTTGTGGGAGATTAGAAGTTTTTTTTCTTTCTTTCTTGTGAAATTAGATTTGATTCATAGGCCCAATTTTGTGTGAGTTGTATGTAGGGGAGACCTTTCGTAGATTATATGGCTTTAAATTTGTTTCGGTTGGTGTTCTTTTGACCACTCAATAACATTTATGTACAGATCAATATAGATTCTTCTGGTTCTGCTTTATTCCAAGTTTGATCGAAGGTTAAATATGATTCTTTATGTAGCATCAAGGAGTTGGTGTAACATCATGGCATGTAGAAGGAAACTTTTATAATAAATCTCAAATTCCTTATCATGAAAAGTTCATAATCAAAAACAAAATAAGCAATTACTTAATAATAAACCAAGCAGGTAAAGTTCATAAACACAAACATAAGAAGCAATCACTTAATAATAAACGAAACAAGTAAAAAAGTTCATAAACAAAGACAAAAGAAGCTCATTACTTGATAACAAACCAAACTACTGTCGACGATTCTGAAATCACATGCAACGTTGGAGCCTTAATTCTTCATTAAAGGGGACACCAGCTCATATGTGAAGAATGTTACAGCAGCCGCAGGTGCTGCTTTGATTGTTGATGGAACTTAGATTTTGTAATCTTGCCGAGAGCGTCAAACATGTTTTTGTAGGCATGTAACTCCACTCTGGCTCCATACTTCGGATCCCGTTGTAGACCTTCACCTGCAGTGACAATTAGATATAAAATGATTGTAAGATAATATATAAAATGCTTGAACATTGGTCTAGCTTATGACGATGAAAATCCTGGTATCTCTTCTTCACAACATCCAAGGGATGGCAGAGAAGTTTGGAGACTGTGCCGAAAGCTAAACCGCAAAGAAGAGCTGCGATTTGGAAAGGTTGTCTGTGTCTCTTGTTGTAGACCTAAGAAAAAGAAATGTGTTACAAACAATAGGGCGAAACATAACATAATATAAGCATAATATGAGCATATTACCGCAATCCAGGGCTTAAATGTGTCGTATGAGCATAATATAAGCATAATATTAGCATAATATGAGCATCTTATGAGCATATGTTATGAATATTATGAGCATGGACACTTAATTACTTAACTTAAGATGTCTAATTAAAATGGCAGTAATCTGATAGATCGGAGAAAATGCCATTAGGCTTTAAGAGGGCTCATATATGTTTAGGCCTTAAATTCTAGTGTATAAATATGCAGTTTCAGTACTTGTAGTTGTAAAAGTTACAAAGGTTCTTATCCCAGTAAACGTTTCATTAAAGAAATGCTCTAAAATCAGAGAAGAGGATTTGTTTGTCCCTAATCAAAATCTGAAAATCGAATTCACAATCGAAAATCGGAATTCACAATCGTCTCGTGACGTAAAGGAAAGCAAATAGTAATAGAACAAGAATCCCCAAAACGTAGTCGTTTTTAGTCGTAGTTTAGTTTGCCTTCTTCGTTTTGGGTTGGCATCATCAAACTCAAAAACTCAAAAGAACAAAAAAAAAAAGACGAAAAAAAAAACTCTCTTTTCTCTTCTCTTCTCTGTGTCTCTCTCTGCGTTTCTTCTACAGGCCGGAGGAAGCCAAAACCTTCAAGTCAAAAACACCGATTTCGCTTCTAATTGATCAAATTGATCGGAAAAATATAGAAACTTCGAACCTAGAGAAGAAATTTCTTAGAGTACATATCTCAGGAGAGGACTAGCTGGATCTCTTGTTTTCCCGCGGGCAGATCTTCCTCTAACCCTATTGCAACCAGTCTCACATCTGTCAACAAGCGTTTACAGCTCCTGAGCTTCGATTTTTTTCATTTTGAGGCTCCTCTGATTCTGTCGGTTACAGAGTTTATCAGAGAGAAGCATACCTCTGAAGAGATTAAACTTCACGGCGATGATCATCACCTCGAATTTGTAATATCAATTTGGGATTTTTCCTGCGTTCTGTGAGCTCCGACGGGGATTTTTTAGTTGGTGTGTCTGTGTGATGGGGAGTAGTGATGAGCGAAAGGCGATTGATGCGTCGGTGGGAGGCTTGGTTTGGGTCCGACGCCGTAACGGGTCATGGTGGCCGGGTCGGATAATGGCTCATCACGAGGTTCCTGATGATTCCATTGTTTCCCCTAAATCTGGCACTCCAATTAAGCTTCTAGGTCGTGAAGACGCTAGCGTGTAAGTACTCCTACTGCTCCTTATTCAATTGACTTTTAGCTGAGTGATTGATCGATTCAACATTCTTGTTTTGATTCATTGTCAATATGATTGATTGATATTGGAACAATGATGTGGTAGTGAGAGTTAAAATGGTTTTGCTTTATGATCTTTTCCAGGGATTGGTACAATCTTGAAAAGTCAAAGAGAGTGAAGGCGTTTCGTTGTGGGGAGTATGATGCTTGTATTGAGACGGCGAAAGCTACTGCATCAGGCGTTAGCAAGAAGGCTGTCAAGTATGCTCGCCGGGAAGATGCCATTGCGCATGCTCTAGAGATTGAGACTGCACACCTTGCCAAAGATCAACCAGATGGTTCGTGTACTGAGAAGGCTAGATTACGAAGACGTGTTTCCAGCAAGGGCAATGAGGACTCGACTGATGTTGCAAAGACTGAAGAAACTAGTATGTCTTTGAGAAAAACCAATTATGTCAAAGCTTCTAAGGTGCAGATTTTGTCAGAGAAGAGAAGAAGAACACCAAATGACTCGGAAGAGGATGGGACTGAAGGGAACAAACGAATGAGAGGGCTTGAGGATATTGGAATTGGTGTGGGATCGAAAGAAAAAGTACAGGTCGAGGCACTGCTCGAGGCTAAGGAGGAAAATGGCTCTGAAAGTGATATAAGGATCAATGGTTCTATGCCGAATGGAACTCTTGCCAATGGTAATAGCATGGATTGCTCTCCGAGTACAGCTATGGTGTGTGTTCCTGTTGACGAACTTGTCAATTCGGATTGTTTGCTTCTTCCAGGGATCTCTGAAAGCAAAGTTTCTGCTGTAATTGACAACAGCAACAATAAAAGCAATGAGGTTTCATGTGAGAATGTTGTTGAAGCAATCCATAGCAAGGCCAAAGAGAGTGAAATCTCCAGGATATCAGTTTCGGCAAAGGATGAATCGTCCAGTGGATTATTTGATGTTCCAGTAATTGGAGAAGATAAATACTCTGCAGGTATGAATGGCTAAACCTTTTAGTAAAAGTTGTGGTGATTGAATTTGTTCACACTTCTGTTACTCTTGGTTGGACGAAAACTCGATTTTTAGGACGAGAGGAAGCATAATAGCTCGGAAGAATCATCAATTAGATTTGTTACATGATGGATAAAGTGCTTATCTGACTAAATTCTGGACAAATCCTCTGGGACAGAATACTACTGACTCTTTGTTTTAGCAATAGATGCTTTTCTTAATCCTGTACTCAACTCAGTAACTAATTGTTATAGATGTTTCCATTTTTTACTTATCTGTGGCTAATTGTTTATGGTGTTAGCTTAAGATGGTTATCTGCTCTCATTTCTTTCTCTGCCTGTTTGGATCAAAAGCTTGATCAGTTATATCTAGTGGCTTCTTTTCCTGGTTTGTGATCAGAATGGCTTAAACTGATGTCCATTGTTGTTCCAGGTATTTCGACTGCGGCTCTCACATCTTCCTCACCTAGGAAGGCTCTTGTTTCTGAACCGACGAGGCAATCTGGTCAGAGCAGTCATGATGATATGGTGAAAAACGAAGGAAGTAATGGATCTGGTTGTACTACAAGACCAGCAGCTGCGCTTATCAACGGAATTGAGATCAGCACTTCAAAGTGGCAGCTAAAAGGGAAAAGGAATTCAAGGCAGATGAGTAAAAAGCAAGAAGAAAGAAGAATTGCTTACGCAGAAGAAGCCAACAACAATTCTCTAGCTCTCTGTCTCGTCTCTGATCATGAGCCACTCGGTGATTTCAGCTTTGGCACTCAGGCTATGGGAAGGAATTCTCAACTGTATGACGTGAATATCGAGGTAAAAGCCAACTATAAACCTCGGAGTGTTCCGCTGATTTCCCTGAGAAGTAAACTGAACGGTGTCGCTATTGTCGGGCACCCTTCAACGGTTGAAGTGATTGAAGATGGATCGTGTGACCGGGTTTTATATAGTCATACCAAGTCACTTGGTGTTCCAATGGTCAATGGTGATGTGAAGCCAAAACCATCGTGGAACAAGAAATCCAAGAAGAAGAAACCACACATTCCTCCACATAAACCATCACCAAAGTCAAAGAAACCTTCACCTCTATCCAAAAAGACAAGGTTCCTCTCTGCTCTAAGTGGTCAGAAGCTGACAGTAATTAGTAAGGAGAAGGCGAAAGAACAGGTTGTAGCTTGTATTCCTCTGAAAGTTGTCTTCAGTAGGATAAACGAAGCAGTGAAAGGCTCAGCGAGACAAGTGCACAGAGCATTACCATCTGCAGGCGATACATGATGAGATGAGTTTGGTGTCTGGTTTGTTTCTCGACTATATTTCTTACTGAGATGAAAATAGCCTTGTTCTAGGGAGTGGTGGATTTTTTTTCACAGTACAGAGAGATTCTTAGGTCTTGTGAGAAGAAAGAATGATATAGAAGAATATGGAAGTGAA